GTATACAGGAATGTTGGAAGTCCTGTAGTATTCTGTTGAGAAGTACCCTGGACTACTGTAAACTACTACAGGCATCAGCTTCCCGCCTCGTGCCTCGGAGGCAGAGCAAGCCTCCGATGTTCAAACGGCCAACTCCATCATCACCTCCTACGGGACAAGTGCCATGTGCCCGGCCTTGGAATTTGGGTACCTACAAAACAAGCAGAGTGTTGTAGGGCTTACAGTTCGGAATTTTGGGGTGTGTTTTCTTCTGCGGTTCGCTTGCAGTCATGCAGGGTCTTCTTACTGGCATGTTTTGGTTTATGGATGTTTATGGTATAGGGTTTAGGGTTTAGGGTTTGGGGTTTGGGGTGTAGAGCTTAGGGTTTAGGATTTAGGGCGCAGCTCTTCATTTCAACATGCTAAGCCCAATCCTCGGCGACCCAGAGCGTGCCCTCAACAGTTTGGCCAACTCCTTAACAAGAGCTTTTTTTGGACTGCGGGCTTGCAAAGACTCTGAGCACAGAAGCCTGGGCTTTTGTCAGACATGACATGTGTCCTGTTTACTTTGTCAGCCACAGAAGTAAGCGTCAGCTGTAGCTTTACATGAACGGAGAGGCCCCCCGGAACCCCCAACAGATCAAAGCAGCCGAAAGCACTGAACCCCAAAAGATGCTGTGGGCAGACCATCACTAGGCAAACCACTACTACTTCTGCGCATTGCTGCTACTACTACTGCTACTACTACTACTACTACTACTACTACTACTACTACTACTACTACTACTACTACTACTACTACTACTACTACTACTACTGCTACTGCTACTGCTACTGCTACTGCTACTGCTACTGCTACTGCTACTGCTACTACTACTCCTACTCCTACTTCTACTTCTACTACTCCTACTCCTACTACTACTACTTCTACTACTACTACTACTACTGCTACTACTACTACTGCTACTACTACTACTACTACTACTACTACTACTACTACTACTACTACTACTACTACTACTACTACTACTACTACCACTACTACTACTACTACTACTCGTTTTACCCTCGCGAGTTCTAGCACAATACTACATCGTTACTACAGGAGAGATATGACAGTGTGCCAAGGACCGCGCTGGCAAACAACTTCGGCGCGGGCCTGTCGGCGTCTGCAGGTGCGCGCTGACGGTGACGATGGTTTGGGCTATCAAGGTTCAAGATTTATGCTTCAGGGTCCTCATAACCTCTTAATAGCCGTGTATATGTCCCAGACGGCAGAATCGCATGCTGCGTTGTGAACAACTGGAGTCGAGTGTGGACAGGATTTGGGCAAGGTATGGGTTTAGGGGCTTAGCAAGAGTTGGGCAATGTTGGGCAACATGCCTTCAGACCGAAGGGAAAGGTGGTGTGGTGAGTTTCATCCCAGAGCCTCCCAAGCCTTCTTCAAGTGGCCCTTCTCGCCGAGTCCAACAAAAGAAAGCCGAATGTATATAACCCTCAACCCTTAACCCTTAAACCCTAAACCCTAAGCCCAATGTCGATGTCAAGGCACGCCGAAAGTGGCCGGAACCGGCTCTGCTGGTGTTGCTGCTCCGGCCTCAGCACCGAGGAACTGGCAAGTTGATCACTAGAATGTACAGTTTAGAGCAATAATCTGCAATATATGATACCTAATATACAATATATAATGCCTAATATATAATATATTTTATAAGACAGAATGAATAGTGTAGTATATTGTATAAGACAATGAATCCGAAATATAACATAATATAACATATTATATTATCGTATATAATATATTATAAATATCAAACTATAAATAGCATGGGAAGTTTAGCACTATGTTGCTTAGTAGAGTCCACCGGTTGATTGAGCTAGGATCCCCGGGAGCAGGTTTGCCAGTGTATCATGAAGACCCTGCTTGAGAGTATAGGGGCCCAAAAACCCACATAAACACAGGGATCCTACAAACAGGTTTTTCGAAATCCCCCTGAAAGGGGCCCTTACACCCCAATAGCAGGATCCTTGTGTTTATGCGGCTTTTTTAGAGTAGCAAGCTTCGGCTTGCGTCAGGGCTTAAGTATTCCAAGACACTTTCGCACTCCTTCTCTAAGTAGACAGAAACTCACGATCTACATACAGTAAACCCCCCTAAACCCTAAACCCTAAACCCTAAACCCTATACGCCCTCAACAGCGATGTACTTCTGGTAGCGTTTTTCGCCAGCACATCAGGAGTCCTCTTCCAGTTCCAGTGGCGACGCCGTCCGCAGCAGAGAAAGCGCCACACGAATCCTGCAGTCCAAAACCAAGGAGACCGTGGAATAGACGAATATACTAGAGAATTCCGAGGAGGCGACAGTGTAGTAAAAGACCATCCTTGGGGACGAAATGAGCCCTAAAAGGGCTTGTGGTTCATACACATTACATAAGAGCTACAGTAGTATAGGGTATGCGACCCCAATTTTCAGGTAATTTTCAGGTTCATTTGGTCCCTAAGGATGGATGAGGTTATTTTTCTTCAGAGCCCGAACTGCACAGCGTTGCCGGATGATTAAAGTGCGCGCTATGATAAATAAAGCCCGTGCTTCCCTTGTAGCAAGCATTCTAGCATCTTGTTTGTTTTTAGGGCTTAGGGCTTAGGGTTTAGGGTTTCGGGGTTCAGCATCCTACTCCACCAGGAATGAGCTGCCGTACAGCATGCTTGGGGGCCGAAATCCCACAGCTCCCATAGAGACACCTGAGTCGTGGGTCCGAAGACTACCCACAGACTTTGTGACTTCAGAGTTTAGGGTTTGGGGTTTGGGGATGTTTAGGGTTAAGGGGAACCCGGACACCATGAACCCTTAAACCCCCTGTACGTAGGCCCTGGAACTTCAGAAACTTAGCGGAGGACTTCTGCAAACCAGCTCAGATGGCTGGCAAGCCTAGCTAGTTGGTGTTGGGTTGCGACGGATCGCCAGTGAATGGGTTTGGGGTTGAAGGTTATTTCATGGTTTTAGGGATTTTAGGGTTTATGGATTTAGGGTGGGGTTTTGGAAACAAGGGGTGCAGGAGTTCATACCCTATGTCATTTTGTTCAGGGGGTTGTTTGAACCCTGAACCCAAAAGGCTTAAACCCCAAGACCCTAATACCCCAAACCAGAAATAATTCCCTAAACACCAAGAAACCCAAACTCTAATCACCCAAAAGTGCCCTGCAATGTGGTCTCAGCGTCAGCTAGGGGCGGGTGGCAAACAAACGCCCCAATACCCCAAGACTCAAACCCTAAACCCTAAAGAATAAGCCCTAGACATAGACACCGAAATCGACCAGGAGCTCTCGAAGACCCGGTACTACTTCGCTCCCAAGCTGGCCATCAACATCGACCCCTACCAGTGCCTCTTTTGGGAGACCGAGATAGAGCATGCTACTCCCCTCACCCCTGATATAAAACCCCTGCTACCCCCTGATATTAGGGGGCGGTTACGGTTTATACTGGCTAGAGGGAGGAGATTACTCTATTCTACAAGACTCTTAGCATACTGTAACAGTGTACTAGAGTCTAGTTTAGCATACTCCAGTAAGGCATACTCTGTACAGTGTACTCTAGTATGATAGGCATACTGTTGTTTAGCCCGCTTGCGTGTCGAACGCCGCCAGGCCAGAGTTCAGAAGACTCAAGCCGTAACAAAGATATACCTGATGGGAGTGCTCGACATGTGAACTGGTGTCGTAGGACCCGCAAGTCTGAACCCCTGCCTACTTGTCAAGTCAGCCCTGCACAGCTGCTGTGGCCCTTGGCCATCAGCCTGTTCTTGGTCATCCGACAGACAATGGTCAATAGCCTGATTGTGGTATGTAGTACTGTTAACCTGCTTTAAACTCCCCCCCCCCCCCCGTAATTAAAGAATTCGGATCCCGGAACTCAATTATAAACCCCCCCCCTTCAATAACAAGAAATCCCGGCCCAGGGCCCCTTTTTTTTTGGGGGGGGGGGGGGGGTTCCATAGAGAATTTCCCTTCTGAAGCGATTGCCCGGGCCTTGAACTAGAGCCTGGAGCCCTGTAAACAACCCCGAAGCAGCAGAGATTCCGCTTGCAGCAGAGAGCCTTTTCCAAAAAGGGGGAGATCACTTCGCCCTTTTGCAGCCCTGCCCCCCCCCCCCCCCAATAGGCGGGGCGGCCGGAAACAAAATCAATTGAGACGGGGTTATTAAAACGAGGTCAACATTAGCAGGGCTGCGGTATCCATACCACAAAAAACGTGACGCTCGAGTATCTCGTTCTAGGCATCCGCAAAAAACATCCTCACCATGACCGCCATGACAGTAACGCTCTTGGGGGCTTTGTACTCAACCGGTCGCCCATGATCTTTCCCCCTTGCATATCCTTGCGATGCATGTGCCACTGTGATCCCCATTCTGATTGCCCGCCTTCCGTAACTACAGATGGCACTGGGGTGCCGCCAGCCGGCCAATGGGTACAAGTTCTAGATCTCCAAAGTGCCAAGCATCAGAAAGATGACAACTTACCCAGACATCCTAGACCTCCCCAACCACTGGAAACAACATTGAGCAGTCGATGTCTACCCACAATCCTAAACGCCCCCTAGACTAAAGCAGTAGAATCCCGCAAGTGCCTCAAAAACCTTTGCTCCCTAAACCCTGACACCCTAAGCCCTAATTCAACTCCCCAAAAAGTCCCCAGAAGTGTGAGGTTACATTAGGCTAAGCCGACCCTAAACCCTAAACCCCTAAACCCTAAACCCTAAACCCTAAACCCCCCAAAAATCCCCGGACGTCTCAGGTTGCAGGCATCCCCCGAGTTCGGGCTGAGCTGGTCAGAAATTGCATACTTGCTCTGCTCTTTGGCCCTGGGTCAGAGGTCTTCCTACACAAACAGGGGCTTAGAGGGTTTAGGGTTTAGGGTTTAGGGTTTAGGGTTTAGGGTTTAGGGTTTAGGGTTTAGGGTTTAGGGTGTAGCAGTGGTCAGCTGTACGCAGTTGTGTGCAGACATGCCCACCCCAAGGCCACCCAAACACTACTCAAAACGAGCCAAAAAAGAGCCAGCCAAATCCAAGCCAGCCCACATCCAAACACTTCTGCACTCAACGCTGTGCTTCGGACTAACATGTAGCACGCTGCCTTATGTCATGGAGCCTGATGCCTTGCTTTTTGCAAGGTGACGTCTGAGAAGATGCCTTGGAAAAGATGTTAGATGTCGAGCTTTCGAGAGAGAGAGAAAATTTGGTTTTGCATTGGGCGGGCTTTCTCATTGTTCCATGCTGGATGTCGGGGTGTCAAGGCTGCATGGCGAAAGATTTGTTGCCATAAAGACGCCTTGCGAAAGTCATGTCTAGAAGCTTGCGAGACCCAAATCAGCGTTTGCGTTAGGGGGTGTCTTCGGCCGGAGGGCCTTCTCATTGTTTCTATTCTCGACGCCGGGGTGTCACGGTGTTGATATGAACAGGCCTTGTGAGAGTCATGTCTAGAAGCCTACCGGGGGGTATCTTCGGCCGGAGGGCCTTCTCATTGTTTTTTCTTCTCTATGCAAGGGTCCAGCACCTTCTGCAAGGAAAAGGGCGGGGGGGGTGGGGGGGGGGTGGGGGGGGGGGGGGGGGGGTGGGGGGGGGGGGGGGGGGGGGGGGGGGGGGGGGGGGGGGGTGTGTGGGGGGGGGGGGGGGGGGAGGGTGGGAAGGGGTGGGGGGGTGGAGGGGGGGGGGGGGGGGTGGGGAGGCGGGGCAGGGGCCTCTCAAGACCCTCCTTAATTTTTTGACCACTGGCCCAGGCTGAGCCCGTTAAAGGGCCCCTGGTCCAGCGAATCAGGACAGCCTCCAGAGGGTCCAGGGAGGCCTCCAGGGGGGCCCCAGGCCAGGGTTGCGCGGGCCTCCGAGAGCAGGAAGGTCGGGTTTAGGGTTATAATATATAATATATATATATATATATATACAGTCACTGAGCTAGGCGACTGTAGCCTGGCGACCCCTCAGGGGTGCGGTTGGCAGGCTCTGCAGCTCAGCAGAGCCTGCCATGGTCTCGCTGAGCGCTCGACGGCGCCTCACCTCTAGAATGAGAGGGGTGGTGGGCGGGTTTAGGGTTTAGGGTTTAGGGTTTAGGGTTTAGGGTTTAGGGTTTAGGGTTTAGGGTTTAGGGTTCGGGTTTAGCCTACTTGCTCTGCCCCCTGGCCCTGGTTCAACTTCACTTCCTGCACAACAATGGGCTTCTTGGGTTTTAGGGTTTGGGGTTTAGGGCTCATAGAGTTTTGGGTTTAGGGTTCAGGGTCTAGGGTGCAGGGTTTAGGGTGTTAGGGTTTCGTGCTTAGAGGGTTTTTGGGGTTTAGGGGCTGTCACGGTCTCGTCCGCTTCTAGGGGTTTTGGGCTGTCACGGTCTCGTCTGCTCCCAGAGGCTTTGGGTGGTTTAGGGTTTAGGGTTTGGGGTTTAGGGTTTAGGGCTTAGGGTTACAAATTACTTGCTCTGTAGCTTGCACTTGGCTCCAAGGGCCACGAGTGGCTTTTGGGTGATTTTTGTTGTTGCCATCCCTGCCAAGCCGACACTTTATGGGTTTAGGGGTTTTAAGGTTTCGGGTTTAGGGAACTATTCCTAGGGTAGAGGGTTTAGGGTTTCGGGAACTCTTCCTACAGAAAATAGGGCATCTAGGGTTTAAAGTTCAGGGCTTTTCCGTAGGGTCTACAGGGTGTCAAACTTCTAAGGAGCATCGTATATCGTGGTAAACGATGCCTCCTTGCTAAGACTCTGAGGGTAGTGTCATGGGCCGGCCCTTGGGTTGTAGAGGGTATATAAGGTGTATACAAGGGGTACCCCTTTAAGGGCCCATACCAAAGGATCATGCAGCTGCCCTAAGAAGAAGGACCTTGCTGCCCCCCAAACCAAAAACCCAGTATCAATGAACAACTATGACTAGCATCTGCTCCTAGGAGCAAGGGCTGGGAAGGGCTTGGGGAGGCTACAAATATTCGAGCGTGAGCGTGACAGCCACGCATTTTCTGCTACATGAATTACTTGTTCATTTACAAGATAATCTTTCCAAAAGTTGAATAGAGGACACGGTGGTGAGATATGGTTGAAGCCATTGTAAAATATACCATAGCATGTAGTGGTGCACAATTCTGGCCTACCAATAGCACGCGGGTGAGGAAGAAGATCTGAACTGCCCGTGTTCCCGCGTGCCGCTGTAAGGTCAGCAGAAAGGTGGCACTGATTGCACCAAGTTCCAGGCAGCGACCCCGCTCAACCGGCTCCACTCATCTCAATCCCTAGTAAACAAAGGGGAAAATTCCCTTTTTGTTTAGTAGTTTGGTAGCTTGGTAATCTAACACACTAAGCCCTGTTGCTCCAAGCGCTCATGAATGTGTCTCTGGTGATTAGCAGGGAGGGGCTCCTCGTCCCAACTCTGCTTACATGCTATAGCCCGGGTTTAGGGTTTAGGGTTTAGGGTTTAGGGTTTAGGGTTTGAGCTTTAGGGTTTAGGGTTCAGGGTTCAGGGTTGGTACAAGCTCACCATCGAACCCGACTTTTTTGGACCAGGTGGAGGAGAACGTTTACGGCGTAGAATTTGCCGATGACAGCAAGCCTGATGAAGCGCGGGCGACAACTGTGGTCAGCTTCGTTGCCACAAACTTCGCCGCCCCGAGGCTGAAATAGGTTGGGATGTTCCCCCTAATACTAACAGCTCCTTAACAGGGTAAGAGGGGGTACTATAATCCCTATTAAGGGCTGCTAGTATAAGGGGGAACATCCCACGAAATAGGACTCAGTGCTATGTTGGGATGGCAGATGCCAAAGGGCTCCACCCCTCTGAGAAATGATAAAGAGGCCAGGCACAAGCCCCACAGGAGATGTATGTAGAATGTCTGCCGGTTATCCGACAAGAGACTCTCTACCAACAACAGTTCAGGGTTGAGATGTTCCCCCTGATACAAGCAGTCCTACTGTAAATAGGGATTATAGTACCCCCCTATTATAATCCCGATGAAGGACTGTTAGTGTAAGGGGGAACATCCCAAGGCCTGCAAGCCTTCAACCCTTAACCCTTGATAACCCTAAACCCTAAACCCTAAACCCTAAATAAACCCTAAACCCTAGCATCTTCGAAGTCCTTACATCACACGCGGTGGGGCTCACTGCGGGAGTGGGCTAGGCTGCCGGAGTCCTTTCGGGTTTAGGGTTTAGGGCTTAGGGTTTAGGGTTTAGGGTTAGGGTTTAGGGCTCAGATGCAGTCAGCATCGCACAGGATCGTTCATCAGATTGAAGGCGGAATCTTTTTATTGCCCCCTGCAGAGAACATCAGTACACGCTGAGATTGCTGCACGAACAATCGCGACACTGGTGTTGATGATCCCCTGAAATCCTGTCATCCATTCTGAGTTTTTTGGATTACCGCCGGGTTCAGGGGGAAGGGGCAATTGTAATCTAAACCCGAAACCGATTGCAAGAGCACTTCTGCTGAGACTACGGCGACTTTGTCCGTGCCATGGAAGCAGCAGAAATTCAGTTCAGTAGGCGAAGGGATCCTTGGGGCTGGTCTCGAGCTGTCGGATGGAGAGGCTTGCTTGCCAGTATGGTTCCGTTTGTTAGGATAGTTCCTGTGAAGAAAGCGGTAGATGTAGTTTTAATGGTAGCTTACGGAGTATCGTGACTAAGTCAACTTCATTGTGTTGCTCACGCCCCAGGACTTCTTTGCATGTGGAAAAGTTTTGAGCCATGCTTGTCAACTCCTCGGGTTATCGGCGGTCCTCAGGTTTCTGAAGCCAAGAATCACAGAATACGAGCCATGAGTTGGCGGCATAAGTTAGTAGCTGTGGTGAACACTACAACACGTAACGCAATCCCAGTTTGTTTGTTCTCCTTTGTGAACTGCCTCCTCTACTTGGACAGGTGGGAGGGTCGAAGGTGCATCAAACTTGGAGTATATTGCAACAAGCCGTAGTACAGTCGAGCACGGTTCGCAGAACCACGTACGAGAGTACATGGGTGTTCTTCCGGACGTTGCCTTAGAACCATCTAAGGCACTGAAAATGAAGTTACCGAACCCTAGGCCTACAAGACTCCCTCAGTGCCTCATGGCACAACCCTAAACCCTCAAACCTACACCTGAACCTTTAATTCCCCCAGGTTACTGGACAACTAAGTCCATTCCTGTCTGAAACACCCTATACCCTGAACCCTAGACCCTAAACCCTAAACCTTCTTTTCTGTCTGAGGCCAGTGTTCTGCCAACTTTCGAGGGCGCGATTCGTGCCGCGTGCGGGGCTAACATCCTTTGCGTGTTCCAGTCGTTGCCACCATTCAAGGAATCTGGAACCGTAGTCAGGTGTTCCTATATTTCATACCATAGCAAGCCCCAAAGCCCATGGCTATTCTCGATTGTGAAGATATCCCCACCTGCATGCGGCTGGACTAAGTCTGCGCCGCATCATGGCAAATTCTATTGTATCCAGTATGTCCAGTACTACTTCTGCTTCATGCGAGACACCCTGTATCCTACGCTTCTGGACCCTGGAGTATACTATTCTAGTGCAGTTCGGTTTGCCTTTGCATCCGTCGTCTTGTAGGGTCTGAGAGTCTTCCGAAGACATGACCACAAGTCCCCCATCCCAAGACACCCTGTAAGACCTCATAAGCCCCCAGAAAACTCTCATAAAACCCTATTAAAAGAACCCTGAAACGCCCAAGCAACCCCTTTAAGCTTCAGACCCCTCCAAGCCATCTAAGCCCCCTAAACCCTAAACCCTAAACCCTTCTAGTGACTTTGAGGTTCGAAGGTACCTTGACGGTCGAAGATGGGGAGCAGATTGTCGTCGAGGTATCCTACCCAAGTGCCTTGGTCGTGGAGGACCGGCGCTCCTTAAAGGGATCCAACGAGCCCTTAATACCTTGGGCTCCTTGCAAGGATGATGCGGCTTTAAGAGTTGTTAAATTCCCACTTCTCCCCGGAGCTAGGCTTGACCCTGTCTAGGCATACTTTGGACGCGATTCTGGCAGCTAAGTGGATATGCCCACGCTCGCTTATGAGAGAGAAACCTGGTGTCATTGTGATATGGGGTTTGATCAGCTACCAAAAATGCACTTGAAAAGCCAGGCAGGACTTCCTGCAAGGTAGCTGCCAGCATACGAGGGGTTTTGTTTGAGGTTCCCTTGTAGGGGTCGAATTTAATATTCTCTGCTTCGGGTCCCGCTGCAATATGCAGCTTGGTACGTTTCTTGCCAGTGGGGACCCGATGATGCATGTAAGAACTCAGAGAGTTGAGGGTGCACACGCATGTCCCCCTGCAGGACATCTTCAGCAACGTTCAGGCCCGAACCTCATGGTTTGGGATGTTCCCCCTAAAACTAGCAGTCCTTCATAGGGGGCGTTTATAATAGGGGGGGGGGGGGGGGTACTATAATCCCCTATCAAGGACTGTTAGCATGAGGGGGAACATCCCAACTCGCGGTGAATGTCGCTGTTGTATTTTGGGAAAGCAGTGTTGAACATGTCATGACTCGGATCTTACCAGAAGGCAGGCAGCCTCTGTTTCGGGGGTACAACAGGGGAAGTCTAACTTAGAGCAACGTTTTAAAGTAGTGTAAAAAAACGACTTAAACTATATCTTATATGATGCTACAGCTTAGTTAGAGTATATTACAGTACGCTACACGCTTGCAAGCTGTGATCAGCAAACTTGCAGCCTCAACTGTAGCGCATCTAGACTTCAAGGCGCGAAGGTGTTGGGATGGAGGGTTTACAGGGAACTGTCCCGCAAGTGGAGCAACCGCATATTCTCACCAGAGAGAAGTAATGCTACAGCATACTTTGGTCTACGGTGCTATCGTTCATAGACCCTGCTATAGCTCAATGCAGTACACCTAGACCTTCAACCCTAGAGTTTAAACCCTAAGGCCTCAACCCTTTCCTCTAAACCCTAAACCACCTGAACCCTCAACCCTATACTCCAGGTGGTGGTCAAGATTCCGCCCAAGCCTTACCCCGGCGCCAAACCGACCACGACGCGAACTCGGCCCGAGCTCCTGGCTCCGCAGCCATCAGTGCAGCACAGACTAGAGGGTTATCTAGTAGGTTTGCAACCGTTTAACGTCTATAGACAGCTCCAAAGTGCGGCAGGATTTGTTATAGTTACGCTAAATAAATTAAGAAATAGCATATATATATATATATACATAGAGACATATATCTAATTATTTGTTTTTTGTTTGTGTTCAGTTGTTAGTTTTTTTATTGACTATATATATATATACATATATATATATGTAGATATACATATATATATATATATACTACAGGGGTCCTGTCTCCGGATGGAGCTTGATTCTGCTCTGTGCGCTTTCTTCGTTGAAACCTTCGTGAGAACTGGTGCAGGGGTGCCAGGCGGTGACTAAAACCCACGAGGTAGCAATCGTCAACTTGGCAGTACTTTGTACTTGTGCTGGTGGGAGCGGCAGTGGCCGCAGCAGTATCTAGTAGCAGAGTAGTCAGAGTAGTCAAAGGTGTCAGAGTAGTAGTAGTAGCAGTAGTAGTAGTAGTAGTCGTCGTCGTCGTAGTAGTCGTAGTAGTAGTAGTACTACTACTACTACTAGTAGTAGTAGTAGTAGTAGTAGTAGTAGTGGAGGAGGAGGAGCAGTTGTTTGTGGTGGTGCTTGTCGTGGTCGTGGTCGTGGTCGTGGTCGTGGTCGTGCTCCTTCTTGGCTGGATGTTGACGCACCTCTGTGAAGTCGCTGATTCCCTTCGTGAGGAATGTGCGAGCCTGTTTTGTTTGGCGTGGCTTTGCATGCTCATCTGTCCTACCCTGTGAATCCTACCCTAGAAACCCTACATCCTATAAGACCCTAAACCCTAAGCCACTTGAGTTGAACCAAGATTCTGGCCCGCGAAAGCGTCCACAAACTGTTCCTGAGGTGGTTCCGCCAATGGTTTGCAAGAGGACTGACCCGAGACATGTGCAATCTTTCATGAAAATCTGAAGCACACTAAGCATTTCTTGTCATAAGAGTACACTTTCAAGTGATTGGATCGTCTGATGATCTGGCGCCGATCCTTAGGGTGATGTTTTGTCGTGCAAAACAATAAGGCGCCGTACTCCGGCACAGTTGAAGTATCGCACTCTTAGACGAGCTGGCACAACGAGTTGGGACAGGCTGGATGAAGTCGTCAATCCTGACTCAGCTTGCCATTCCTCCGATTTTGAAACTTGGATTTCAGATTATTGGAGAGAGTGTAGCAAGGTATAGAAGTACAATTCCACAGAGACAGAGAGAGAGCGAGAGAGAGAGAGAAGAGAGACAGAGAGATGGAGCCTCATTCCAGGACTGCTTTACACAGCACAGGGGCCACAATGCAATTATGTACTGGACTCTACAAAACGCAGACAGATTTTTCCATTGACAGGCCTTGCCTTGCGCCCCTTCCGATCAGAGCCCATCCGAGGAAGAATGCGCCGGTCAGTGTTGGGGATACTGATCTCGCGCGACTTTCCGTCGCTTTCAAGCAAGTCTTTTCTGATTCCCAGAGCAACAGGGATGACAGACCCACTATTGCTTAGGCCCAATGTTCCCTGTGTTCTTGTACGTATGGGTTGCTAGACTAGGTTATAGCCGACTTTTACTATATCATAATTCCTGATAGTATACCACACGAAATAGTCTTGTACGAGGGTGCTGGGGTTTCCACCTTTTTCATCTCCCCAACCGACGCACGCACTAGAAGCTTTCCATGCTGCCCCTGCCGATAGCCAGTATCTAGTGGGGTTTTGGGTTGAGGGCTTTGGGTTTAGGAATATAGGGTCAAAGCATCATTACAGCTTCACGCTGGCTGTGTGAGGTTCTGACGAATCATTGCTCTACATCAAGAGCTGACCACCTCATTGGGAAACCTGAAGACCAATCATTGCCATGGGTTTGCACTTGTTTGTTCTTGCAGATATCGTGGCCAGGGCCATTGCTGAATGAAGTTTTACCTGCTGAAGAACTGTACAGCCCCTATGCATAACAAGCAACATCATGGCCAGCAGAACCGACCCAATACTGATCTACTGTCGAGGTTACAACAGAGGACACACCGCCGCCAGCGAATACTTCTCTGGTTATGGTGAGCAATACCTCGGAGGCCTCGATGGAGTCCCTTTCTTGAAGTACTTCCTTCCCGAGAATCCCGGTAAGAAATACTCGACTTCCACTACTACCTGTGCCACCACCAACCCTGCCTCGTCTTCTGCCGTAGTCTGACAGGAGAACCTTCAAGTACCCGTCACCACTACTACTGCTACTACGACGACGACTGCACCTGCTACTGCCATCTTCTTGTGCTGCTGCTGCAACTGCTGCTGCTGCCGCCGCCTCCGCTGCTGCTGGCGCTACCACTGCCACTGCCACTACCCTACCACCACTACAACTACCACAACGACCGCTACCAGCACTACCGCTACCACCACTACCACTACAACTACCACTGCCACTGCCACTACCACTACCACTACCACCACCACCACGACCGCCACCACCACCGTGGTACAATGCTCCAAAACGCGAGGTTGCGAACGCCTTTGAAGCGTGATCAACGACCCTCTCACTCGAAAGTTGACATGGGGGGATGATTTGTGGCACAAGCGTAGTACGCGACGGATGTTCGGGAGTGTCAGGAATGGTACACGAAACGTAAATTAGACGTGTGGGGCCGTGGGGTATTCTGAAGTTGTGCTTAACGAATTTCTTGGAGTGTTCAGTATGCCTCTCGACTGCTGGCGCTGATGCTCGCTAAGACGGAATATTTAACCGGAGGTAAATATACACATTTACACATATAGACAATGGCTGCGACCATGGCTGCCTGCCGGGCCTTCGCCCGAAACCGTTATATGAAGCTCCTGTCACAGGTGGTGACTGACGCACAAGTCGACCAGAAAGTTCGTGAGCTGATCTACAAGCACCGTGGCAGCTTGCGACAGCGTGATGTTATGATGCTGTGCTAGAGTATACATCCTACGATAGTTAGCGTATACCATGCAGCTTGCTTTAGTGAAGAGTTGAGTGCCGTTCGTTTATTGTTATCCGTGGCCCTTTTTTTGCACGTAGGTTTGGCATGACCTGGCCATTGCAGCTGCATCAGATACGCGCCCAATACACTGACGGAAAGCCCGCGTCTGCATTGGTAGAGTGTATGTCCAAGCCCATGTGTGCGTGTGCGTGTGCGTGTGCGTGTGCGTGTGCGTGTGCGTGTGCGTGTGCGTGTGCGTGTGCGTGTGCGTGAACACTAAACCTGAAAGGTTTGGTTCGCACATTTGCCCGGACGCTGTGCTTGGTGGCTACTGGCGCATTGACGCCAAGTACTCGAGCTTGGAGACGAAGGAGCTGCATCCTGGGTTCAGAGTTTATCGGCTTATAGGGTTTCGGATACCGGTCGGTTGCGAGTATACTACAAAGAACAATGTTGTTCTATGATCTTCCAACATACATCCTAAATTGTGTATTCTGGTAGTCATGGGACAATGCCAGAAATTGCTCATGGCATCCTTTGTGCATTTTTTTACCGCGATCATAGACATCCTCACAGTCATAGCTTTAAGTAGATTTGCTTAAGGGAATGCTGTGCGAGTATACAAAGGGCTGCAAGTCAACCAGGAATCCTAGCGATGATCCACGCTGCAAGTGTGTCTGCTTCTGATACCATGTATATGACACAAATGTTCCCCACACGACTTGCAGCAGCTTCGACGGTCGGTTCGCGATGCTTCATGGGGAATACGACTACTGTTAGCGGTAAGCCTAGGTTCATGGGCATCTTATAGCAGAAATTCCTGCCAGTGAGTGAAAACCATGCCTATGACATTGCCTTCCTTGTCCCCGTCACTGTCGGGCGTTTAGCATGTGCAAGCTCGGTGTAGCACCATGAAACCCGTAAGAGATGGTAGCCCAACACGCAAGCATGGGGCCAACGGCAACGATACGCATTGTAGCGCACCATGACCAGGACCGCGTCGAAGTGGACAACATTGCACCTCTGCTGAGTAGCGAGTCTTTCGTGAGTCGCTGCAAGGGTGCAGAGCCTTGGGGACTTTCCTTTACTCTGAAAGAACCCTAGTCTCGGAAAGTGCAGTATGCTGTGATATCTCTGGCATGGTTCAAAGGTCCTTTGTTTGTAGTATCGTAAGGCTTCCTTCATGCGACCCGGCTTCAAGTGAATGTGGACCCCCAGACTAAGAAGAAAAGTTGGAGAGGAAGCTGAGTAGTGAACTTCCGGACCTAGTTCGTTGCTTGAGTGAGGTGCTGCCCCGACCGCACAGAGTGTGCAGCACAGCATGGTACAAAATAGTATAGTGCAATGCCCAATCACAGCACACTAACTGGGCAGCATACTCTATTCTACTACAGGTTACTTCATGGTTTTTTTGCTTCAGCCTGCATTGTGTTCCCAATCGTTTTGTTTCCCCAAACCATGGTTGAAATCCTTAATATTGATCCACTGCCTTCTGAAAAGGTGGTTCTGCAAGAGCTCTGGGCCGTAGGAGCCCGAGGCATTTGGTCAACTCTGCACCCTTGCAACACCTATGCAGCACTATGTATTTCCTCAACCCCTACTGCCCAGATAAGTGCCAAAACACAAGGCCGAAACCTGGAAAGTTGAGGTGACCAGAGCCATCCAGTCAGCAGAAACAGATTCCAGAGCCTTCAATGCCGCTGCAGGCGGGGCGGCGGGGGTGATACGGTGAAACGGTGTGAAGGTTGCTCAACCCTCAACCCTAAACCCTAGCAAAAGACCCTAAATAAACCTATAATAGAAGAATACTAGTACGAGTACTTAGACTTTGCGCAACAGGGTAATAAAGGCTTGTAAGGTTTGCATTTGAAGCCCAGTATTGTAGGGTTATCGGGTTTCCAGAGGGCAAAATCTTAGGACAAGCAATGAAAAGAGAATGAAGGAAGCTACAGCACAGTATATATGCTATACCTGGGTATACAGAATATCACCTGAAGAGATACTCCGGACGTTCCGGAACTGCCACGTTCCGCAAGCGGGCCTCCGATCGTGCATGAAGAAGTAGGTCCATATACTTGCAGGTATACTAACGGCAACCTAAACCCTAAACCCTAAACCGTAAATGGTATACCAGGCTGCGCTGGACCGTTTAAGTGTAGAGCACGCTGTAGCACGTCTAGCATGCTACAGTATGCTGGGTCATATAACAGCACACGGTCAACCACTTCTACTACGCTAGGTTGCACAACACCACCACCACCACGACTACTCCTGCTTGTCCTACCACAACGAGTACTGCTGCTACTACTACTACTACTACTACCTACTACTACTACTACTACTACTACTACTACTACTACTACTACTACTACTACTACTACTACTACTACTACTACTACTACTACTACTACTACTACTACTACTACTACTACTACTACTACTACTACTACTACTACTACTACTACTACTACTACTACTACTACTACTACTACTACTACTACTACTACTACTACTACTACTACTACTACTACTACTACTACTACTACTACTACTACTACTACTACTACTACTACTACTACTACTACTACTACTACTACTACTACTACTACTACTACTACTACTACTACTATCACTACTCCTACTCCTACTACTCCTACTACTCCTACTACTACTACTACTACTACTACTACTACTACTACTACTACTACTACTACTACTACTACTACTACTACTACTACTACTACTACTACTACTACTACTACTACTACTACTCCTACTCCTTCTGATGCTGGCACTACCGCTGCAATCTCATGCGACACGGCTCTGCCCAAGACCTTCCGAGGTGTCGCAGGCGTCAGCACCAAAGGCACCCAGCCGCTTCAGGGAAAGCCAAGGGACGCCGACGCGGGGGGTGCGGATTGGGATGATGGCTTAGGGTTTAAGGTTTAGGGTTTAGGGTTTATCGTATCGATGGGTGCAGGGATTGCTGGCTGTTTCTTTATAGGGAATGAGGGAGTGCCCTTAAGAGTATATAGAGGGCCCGAATTCCCTGATTCCTACCAAGAACCACGGGTTTGGGATGAGGGTTTAGGGTTTGGGAGTGTCTTGGTAGCGGTAGAGACCATCCATTACGCATGGAAATGTCACGTTTCTGCGGCGACCCTTTCTGCGAGAGGTGCATGCACATGTGTGCCACGACGATAGCTGTTCTATTTGGTAACGTTACGACAATGAGGGTATGGGCAGAGAGGGGCTCAAGACTTGGAAGTCAGAAATGGGATGGGTTTACATCTCCAGGAAAACTTTGTTTGCCGTTCTGTAGGGGCTCTCTCTGTATGAGGATTCAGTCATCGGGTCGCGGTTTATCTGAACTGTACTAGAGCCCACTGCTCAAGTGAGGCACACGGGTCGCAAGGACACTTGCTGATGCATGGATCCTTCCAAAAGCAGAGGCTCCGGTCACCTGGACTGGTAGGAGTAGTCAGCATCATAGTTGTCGTACTCTTACACCGGCTGCACACAGAACTGGTTGGTGCAGTCAGCAGTACATGGTAGCACTTCTTATCAAACCCCTTAACCCTAAACCCTAAGCCCTAAACCCTCCTCGTTGACAGGTGCGGGTGCTGCGGGGGCTGCTGCCGAAGGTGGCGAATCCGAATCCAGCAGCTCAAGCTCGGATGAAACTCAGGGCGACGCCCAGGACGACAGCTTCCTGCTATTCCCCGAACAAACTGAGCTGCCTTCCCCATAAAGGGATGAGGGGAGGTGACGATCGGGCAGAGCACGATAAAGTTTCAGGGGTTTAGAGCTTGCGTCGTTTTGGATCCACAGCCCTAAGCCCGTCGAGCCTTCGTGAAGTGCCTGGTGTATACTGTTATTCGTCCTGCTTTCTGGAGAGAACTGCTGCTGCAGTGGCCTTGGACGTGCAGGGTTAGTCGTGAACAGCTCGCAGGTCGGGAACCTTGGTATCAGGGTCCATCGTGCGACCATTGTGTGGCTATTTCACCATGTTCGAGACGTCTGGAGCCTTGAGTCGAATGTGTGCCAATGCGCATTGTCACGGGCATGCTAAAGAGTCGTTGCCGGGTTTCAAGAGGCTTAAGTAGATGGATGCTGATAACCCGATCCTTGGTGTGCTTATGTGTAGTGCTTTGGGGGGTGGAAATGGTCGCAGAGTTCCTGCGTCCACAAAATCATCTGCAGCAGGTTGCGAGAGCACCATGCTGATGGTGCAAGACATGATATAGTCTTCAGCATAGTATTTTGAGCGCTGCTCTCTCTCTCTCATCAGCTGAATCACTTCAGGGCCGAATGCACGTCCTCCAGCCCTTCCGCATGTCATCGAAAAGTCACGTGTGCAGGAATCTGAGCAAGCATCCAAGACGACCAAGCTCGAGATCGAGCAATCTTGGAAGGCCAGCTAAGCTGCAATTCTGCGCATGTACATGCATGGACACCAGCTGAACTGCAAGATTGTGCACGTCTACACCGTAGCCTACACCCTGAACCCCTATTTCCTCGTGGTGCTGAGCTGTGTAGACAGTATGCAAGCGTGGTAAACTTCGATCAGGAGCCTATAAAGCTATTTGTATGATCCCTTCTCCAGCGCATCCGGCCCCTGTAGCACATATTCTTGCATCGAAAGTTTCTGTCGAGACATGGATGGGACAAGGTGCAGGGCGGAACTTCCACATCCTCATGTACAACAATGCCATGAGGTGTGTATGTATCATATAAACGAAGAAACAGATAAAGACAAATTGCGTGTATGCATAGATACATATATATATACATGTATATATATATATATATGCAAATATGCAGTCAATGGCTGCAGCTCCCCCTCCGGTGACATTCACCTTAGCCCCCCATATACAAGAACTGAAGGGCCTCATTTGAACAAACTCGCCAGACAACATCCCTCCGCGACGCAGGGCGGAGCGCCAGGGACGCAGCCAGCCGACTGGAGGCGGAGCTTCTTGGCTGATCTCGTGCCTCCAGAAACTACCTTACAGTATGTTTGAGGGGTTTAAAACTTGAGGAAATATGGGATTTAGAGGTTGTGGTTAAGTTTGCAATAGTACCTCATAGGCTCCTTCAAGAATACAACGGCACGACCCAGTCTGACGAAAGCAGTTCTATCGTATTCTGTAGTGGAGTAGAAGTAATAACTGAGTATACTCAATACTCGGGGGTAGCAGCATGGGACATCAGATGCTTTGTTAGGTTGTTTTTCGTGAGTGTCATGTATTCGGAGAACCGAACGATCACACACACACATCTCCTCGAAAGGAAGTCATAATCATGAAAGATTTGGGATGTTCGCACGTATGAAAACAGTCCTTACTGGGGATGTCAGTGCCCCCATTATAATAAAGGAGTGTTAGTATCAGGGGGAACATCCTAATGTAAGATCATCTTGCGCAGGGCAGCACTGAAGGGTGAGCTGTGTCTGGGTTGATCTCGTATTCGTTGACACACCCCAGGGCAGGCTCCCCTTCACCGAAGAGCTTCCCCAAAGCTGCAGCCCCCGCAGTCGCAATTATCTGGATTTCAAGTCAAGAAGCATCTAACTCTGAGAGCAATCACCGGGATGCGGCGGCAGTAGTCGTCTTCATGATACGTTGAGTTCGGGGTTAGGTTAGGGCGGTTAGGGTGCATGGTGAGTATTACGATGAGCAGGTACCGTTGAGAGACAGCTCCCTCAGGTTTGGACGAGGCTTTCAGCTCCAACTGGAAGATCATCGACCACGTCTTCCCGAAGTGTGTGGGAATTTGGCGGTTTGTGAGACTCGGACCATGAAACAGCACGTCAACTTCATGTTTAAGGCGGTAACGAAATTCTACATGGATAGCTTTTTGGGTGGCCCAGCAACAATCCAGGAAAGATGCAGACACCCAGCGGAAGCTGTGCTCTTGGGACAGAATTTCATGGGCTTGGTGTGCACTGGGCCCAATTCAGCCCTCCACTCGGCCTTGGATTGAATTTGTTGTCCACGTTTCTCTTACATCTCTGACGTGCGTGGCGAGAACAGCCCTGCTAATCTTCGCTCGTCATTTTCAAAGAGTGGAACCGCAGGGATCAAAGAAGCGGCCCTTCGTTGTTCCCTCTTGGGCATGGGCAGCTTCGTCGTAGGGGTAGCTACCTTCTGGGCGCTCCCGCATGAGGCTTTTTAATATGCTCTCATTCGGGGGAACCATCCTTTTCTGTGCCGAATCTGAAACTTTCCTTCATGGCCTTTTCCTACTGCTCCCACATAGACTGCAGCCATCGCTTTCGGAGAGTGTGCATTACTAGTCTTTCCTTGGAGAGCTATGACAAGCATCGCGAATTGTGTCACAACATGAGCCGATGTCCCTCCCTGCTGCGCCAAAAGGCGCCAGAAGTTCCTCTCTTTGCCAGGCGAGACTTGGCTGGAGATCTACTTGGAAGAAGGCCCGACTGCTCACGTCACCAAGCGCATCGAGGAGAGCTCTGTGGGGCAGCTGCATCACAGGGCTCAAGAACCTTGAATTGGGCCTAAATTCCCAAAGTGAAGGTGCCCCCTGTTATCTAAAATGCCCCAATCCCCCCCCCCCCCCCAACACAGGGCACCCTTGCCCTTGTTTCGGAAAAGCTAGCTTCCATTCCAGCTGAAGTGTTTGGGCCGATGATTGCCTTTGCACAGCCGCTCCGTCTGTTGCACTATACCTTGTCGGCTTGATTGCTTCGATGTGTAGCTTTTTTTCTCGCACGAACTTCTGCATGACAGTGCCCTGATAAGCTAAAGACGATTTGTTTTTTTGCGCCTTGCACCCCGACACCCTTTGCAAGCTGCAGGAGTCTGCCAGGAAAAAGGCTTGCGAGAGCACGCTGCTTTGTCCAATGGCATAGCATGGGTGTCTAGGGGCTTTGGGGTGTAGGCTTCGGGTTTGGGGTCTACATAGGGCCGCAGCGTTTAAGGAATAAGGGCTCAGGATTTGAGCGCGGAAGCGTACAAGAGCCTTGCATAGACATCAGATAGTGTCCACGAACGAAAAGCTTCAGGCGAAGACAAAGCTTAGAGCTACAACAGCATCGGACGTTGCGCGAAGCAACGCGAGAGCAGATCCTCGTAAAGATGCTATCCGCTCTTGTAAGGGTAGATAAACGGCCCGTAACGGCCTGCCGGCTTGCTTCCACGTGAAACTTGCCTTGGTCGGGGGCCGCAACCTTGCAACTTCATTCCATGCCGACGTCTTCTGCCGATGCCTCTAAACCCTACACTCTAATGACCTAATGCCTAAACCCCGAACTTGCTTAGGATGGCATTGCGCTTGGCATCTTGGGGTTGGAGTCCTTGTTGAGGACGTGCGCTCTTCGCTTCAGGAAAAGGTACCCAAAAGAGCCCAACCTTCATTTAAGGAGTATCCCTTAATTTACAAAGGGATCCTGAATATTATTTAAGGTATATTCCTGAAAGAAGGGGCATGGGCATTGGGCTCTTCTTTTGGCACATCTAGCAATTTGGATTTTTCGGCATGCGGGTCTCAGGGCACTGGTTGATCGGTAGCCCGCGGTTGGGCTTTTGGCTCCGCACGATTGACTCCTAAAGAGATATGTAACCACGATGGGATGCCTAGGCTTCGGTTGCTTCAAGGCACCCCCCTACACAGGTAGGAAACATACAGCTACGTAGGAGACATAGAGTAAACGTACATTTCGTACTTTGATGACTTGCGATAGTGGATTACAGAATATGTTTGCAGAATATGTTTAGCGCATTATAGTACATTGCACCGTCATCGAAGTCTCAAGTTCGCTGAAACCAACCCCCTTTGTGGAGCGCAAGGCTGTACATGAACGCCATTCGCCAGGAAGCGTTGCTTGGCCTTCTGCTTCGTCAGCTTTATAGGGCAGAAGAGCCAAGGACTATACGACAGTTCTCGTTTACAAATACTTACTCTACCAGGCTCTACAGTACAGAGAGAAACGAAACCACATGCTGCGCTACATACTAAATATAGAATCGTATACGTGACCACATGGCATGAACTCTCCCTTATCGGATGCGCAAGGCTCGTTAGTTGCTTCCATTTAGGCGTAGACACCCAAAACCCCCAAAAGCTAGGAACGTCATGGAATGCAGGTTTGAGCTCCAAGTGGTTTGGTCGGGACTTTGGGCCAAGACCCTCTTCGTAACTTTATTAAACCCTAAACCCTAAACCCACCCAAAACCCCCAAAAGCTAGGAACGTCATGGAATGCAGGTTTGAGCTCCAAGTGGTTTGGTCGGGACTTTGGGCCAAGACCCTCTTCGTAACTTTATTAAACCCTAAACCCTAAACCCTAAACCCTAAACCCTAAACCCTAATAGTGGCAGACCATCCCAGGCAGGAGCTTGTCCGCCTGGACAGCGAAGCGAGCACGCGGCTGTCGAGGGAACTCTGTGAGTCCAACCAGGCAAAGTTCGTGGGTTTAGAGTTGAGGGTTGTCCAGAGGGCTGGTGAGTAGTAGGGGCCCAGGAGACAGGTTGCAAAAGCGGTTAGAAATGATTCAGAGTTTCGGGCTTGAGTCTTCTATCCAGTGCATCTGTCGGAGCATGTCCTGTGAGAGGATCAGCCAAAATGCAAACTACTTGCGACAGCACCTGGTGCCACTAAAACATGCTAAAACAGACCCTCTGCTCGACATCTGCGTGCATGCTCATGCCGCGTAGAAGCCGATCTTCAGCTTGCCGAAAGTCGAGAGCTCGATCATGTCGGAAGCCTGCCCGTTCGCGCTTACAACACTCTTATGATGCAGTCATGTCTAATTTGAAGAACATATGTACATATATGTTACGAACTGTGAAGCTGTTGCTGTGAGGAGTCCGCAAACCGAAGCCAAACTGTAGGACTTGCAGAGGAGCAGCACGCAGGCATCGTCGTGCTACAAGAGCAAGCGATGCGGACTCTGGCTAAGCTACTCGTAGCAATCCGCAACTAAGCCTACACTACCTCACCGCTCGGGAATGCTGGAGGACCAACACCGCAGGTACTGAGCACCACAACGACTCCTACTCCTCTTACTGAGCATGACTCTCGTTTCCCCGCGAATACTACGACTCCTGCTCCTCCAACACCTACTCCTGCTCTCCACCACGTCCTAGTACTACGCCTGCTAAACCGTACGCCGGACCAAGAGTGTTCTGACGGGAGGCGTACCCTCACTTTCGCTTCACACCTACAAGGCTGAGGAGTCCCAACGCTACCATGGCGGCAGTGCAAGGTGGGGTGTGTGTGGGGGGGGGGGGGGGGGGTAGATGCTGGTTACCAGAGATTAGCGTCCAAGGGGGCTTCCACTTCCATGCACTGCCTTATAAATATGTCAAGCTCATTCACCATGGTCACGAACTGCCCGTCAAAAAATCACTTCCCCCGAATATTTGAAAACCCCTCCTCACATTGATGTGGGCACCACAAAAATGACTACAACGCAGAGGTTCCTTTTCCCGGGACGCAGGAACGCGGTGTTTGTCAACTAGGCTTCTTTCAGCATCCTCCATGCCGCCATGAGATTTGCCAGCATCAGCATTGCACTCCATGATGCTACTGATTGGGCGGGCCCGCACTCAGAATCAAGAGCCATTATCAGTTAATGCTAGGTCTTTCTCCCGAAGCAAAGGTATAAGTAAGGGAGATGCACAGAGAGAAAGTATGCTTTCGTGTGTTGTAAAGTACTAGTATGTTACAGTCAGTAATTGACCGAATGGCATGGTGTAGCCCTAAACCCTTCAAACCCTGGTGCTGTCGTGTGAGTGGCTTGGAATACGTCTTCTTGCTGTTGCTCCTCCGGCTATGCTGTGTGAGGAGAAAAAAACTGTCCCGGATGCACCAAACTCTGTCAGGAATCCGCCTTGGCCTCGACCAGGAGCGGTTTGAAAGTGGGATTCCGGCACATCTCATGAGGTTTGGCGGCCTGGCGTCTACGGTAAGTTTAGGGAGAGACCTGACAAACGCCAAAACCGCATGTACGCCAGTTGCCACAAAAACAAACACACCTCCGGGGGCTCTTCGTACTTGGGGGTTTCACAGTTGGGATTCAAAGTTCAGGGTTTCAGGGTTGAGGTTTGAGGGCTGAAGGTCTTTGTCCTAATTACTGCTGTTTTCCATGCCCAGCCCTCCCATCGAAGCACCGGAGACTTTCGAACAGCCCTAAAACTACTGTTGACTCGAAGCGCCGTTGTACTACTGTTAAACCCTCAAGCATGTTGTGCTACATTGCATATGTCATGTGTATCTAGTTTAGTTTGTTTTTCTAAGTTGTTGTTCTGCGTCGTTGTTATGCCATAATGTACATACACCACACCACATCGCACTCTACGATCCGCCCGTCGCCCCGAAACCTGCTGGAGGGGAGGCTCACTCCAACTCAGCCTCTGAAACTCGGAGCTAAACCCTAAACCCTAAACCCTAAACCCTAAACCCTAAACCCTAAACCCTAAACCCTAAACCCTAAACCCTAAACCCTAAACCCTAAACCCTAAACCCTAAACCCTATGAACCCTAAACCCCTCTCCACCTCCAACTTCCTAAACGAGTTTGGGGAGAGGAGACTGTCACCGTTTTCGAGTTCCAGCCCCGGCCAGTGGATGGCATCGGCTGGGAAATCCCGCTGGGAACTTCCATAAATGTTCGTGTCTTTGATGCAGCTTCATTGCTCCTGCTTCCTAGTAGGGAATGAGGGCATATATATATATATATATCAAGATATATATATATATATAGTTATATATATATATACACCCTTTAAGGGATTATGTAGGGCCCTCACTCCCTCGTTCTCAACTAAGAACCAGCCAGTCGTGACTCCTTGTCGCCAGTCCTCAGCTTTCTTTCAAAACATGTGCGACGACCCTCGGCTAGTTTTGATGTAAGGTGCTCCATTTGGGGGGGGAAGGGTTCGTGGCTGAATCCGTGTTGAGGCTTCGCATCAGCCCAGTCCGTGACCGACTTTTCATTCCTCCTCACCCCGGACAAGTATGGTCAGGACCAGAGCAACAATCCTTAATAGCGTAAGTTACTGTCCTGTACTATGATATTTGTAAGTAGTGGTATACTTCCACTGAGGCCACTGCACTTGATAAGGAGAGGCGGAGCTTTTGGGAACAGAAGCTTCTCGCTGCCCTACCTTGAGCATGCTTCTGGTAGCTTCGTCATGACCCATGTGTCGTGTTTGTCGCTCACTTGACCGCCGTAGTAAAGAAGGCGTTTTACTCCACAGCATGGGGGGGGCCATCTCCGAAGTGCTTCTGCTGAAGTTTGCTTTTGCAGGGGTTATAGGGTTTGTAGGGTTTGTAGGGTTTAGAGGGTTTATAGGGTTCCATAGGGTTTACATTAGGGTTTAGGGCTATACTGAAGTGGCGGGCCCCTCCCAGGACCCCATCGAGTTCAAGTTGGAGGCGACTCAGGACTACGCAACCCCCTGCATGCTCCAATGCTTTCATTCCAGTAGTAGTAGTAGTAGTAGTAGTAGTAGTAGTAGTAGTAGTAGTAGTAGTAGTAGTAGTAGTAGTAGGAGTAGTAGTAGGAGTAGTAGTAGTAGTACCCTGTAAGTGCATGTGACCTCTTAGGTGCTAGTCGTATCTGTTCTGGGACGCTGCCTTGACGCACGTTGTACCATACACTGTTGGTCCCCCGCCACCGGCATGCAGGAACTTCGGCTATGTGCCATTAGCGTGTTTGAGTTTCAGTTTTCTGATGAATACACTGTGAACAACAATCCGCTGGCAGTCAGCAGCACAAGATGAGGGATGTCCAGGACCCAGAGTAGGCCCTTGTTCCCTGTCTTAAGGGTTTGGGTTCCCTTCTGAGCCCGTTTACACCAAAAATGGTACCCTTTTCATTCCGAGGTTATTCCTGGGTCGATATCCTGATTTTGAGTTCTTAGTACCGGCCCTGTGCAGCAGGACAAGACACACGGCCCATGGAGAACCCTGCTGAAATTCACACTGGATGAACGCGCTCAGTGGCCTTGGCAGTTAAATTCATGTGGGGCACCTTAATGAATCCAAAAATACCATAAGTCCTTATTATAGGAACCCCCCAAAACAGGTACCCCTACGGAGCTGGGTGAGCTCATGTCAGCAGCAGGGGGGGGAATCTTCAGGAGCAACCCAATGAAGAAGCAAATCATAGCACCAGCTGCAAAGCATCTAATTAGTCTGGTCACCAAGCTTGAGTCGGCATGATATGGTGTTGCAGTTTGCAGATATGCAGAGTATTATATATATATATATATTTATATTGATATTGATATTGATATTGATACTGTCTCGGACAAGATAATTTACTGACTTTTTGGCGACAGTTGTTGCTGGAATGGCTTTTGGGAAGAATGTCGGAGATGTACTTTTGGCAGCTTCAAGCCTATAACTAAGCTCTCCTCTTGCTCGGGTGTGGCCAAGCGCCAAAGAGCAGAAATGCCGCTTTTTCAAGTTTCAAATTCGTTTCCGTAGTAGTTTCATAGTAGTTTCAAAATAGTTTCAAAATCCAGTTGCAAAATCGCTGTTAAGGGGAATCTGTGTTTTTCTACGCACAATTCACAAAAACGAAGGAATCTCAGAGGTTCCTGGTTTTCAAAAAGCGCGGACAGAAATTGCAGTTCCACCTTAACAGCGATTTTGCAACTGGATTTTGAAACTAGTTTGAAACTGATTGGAAACTAATTTGAAACTGTGAAAACAATTTGAAACTTGAAAAATACGATATTCCGGACTTTCTGCCCCCCATCCTGGCCCCTCACATACGGCCCTCAATTCACTTTGGTCAGCCGTGACTAGAGACCAGAGTTTCTGAAAACTTGCCTCTCCAGACAGTCTCGGACAACATAATTTACTGACTTTTGGGCGACAGTTGTTTGCTGGAATGGCTTTTGGGAAGAATGTCGGAGATGTACTTTTGGCAGCTTCAAGCCTATAACTAAGCTCTCCTCTTGCTCGGGTGTGGCCAAGCGCCAAAGAGCAGAAATGCCGCTTTTTCAAGTTTCAAATTCGTTTCCGTAGTAGTTTCATAGTAGTTTCAAAATAGTTTCAAAATCCAGTTGCAAAATCGCTGTTAAGGGGAATCTGTGTTTTTCTACGCACAATTCACAAAAACGAAGGAATCTCAGAGGTTCCTGGTTTTCAAAAAGCGCGGACAGAAATTGCAGTTCCACCTTAACAGCGATTTTGCAACTGGATTTTGAAACTAGTTTGAAACTGATTGGAAACTAATTTGAAACTGTGAAAACAATTTGAAACTTGAAAAATACGATATTCCGGACTTTCTGCCCCCCATCCTGGCCCCTCACATACGGCCCTCAATTCACTTTGGTCAGCCGTGACTAGAGACCAGAGTTTCTGAAAACTTGCCTCTCCAGACAGTCTCGGACAACATAATTTACTGACTTTTGGGCGACAGTTGTTTGCTGGAATGGCTTTTGGGAAGAATGTCGGAGATGTACTTTTGGCAGCTTCAAGCCTATAACTAAGCTCTCCTCTTGCTCGGGTGTGGCCAAGCGCCAAAGAGCAGAAATGCGGCGTTTTTCAAGTTTCAAATTCGTTTCCGTAGTTTCATATTAGTTTCAAAATAGTTTCAAATCCGGACTTTCTGGCCCCCATCCTGGCCCCTCACATACGGCCCTCAATTCACTTTGGTCAGCCGTGCCTAGAGACCAGAGTTTCCGAAAACTTGCCAGTCTCCAGACTGTTGATGGACGAAATCCTGCATCACTTTTATTATGCAGGTCATCCCTTCCAAACCCTGAATCTTAACATTGCTGTCCTTGCAATGCTTCGAAAGTGCATGTGTGTGTGAATGACCGAAATCCTGCATCACCCGTACGCGCACGCAACATTGAAATTCGAGGGGCGCGGGGAGCTCGAGTACCAACCGTCGCACGCGTGTAATGTAGGTGGTCATGCAAGATTTTGTCCATCCACAGTATTGATATTGATATTGAATTGTTCCTGTAGAATGGCCTGGTTGGATTGGGTCTAGGAGCATCTATTCTTGAAGCATAAGCAGTGCCATACCACAGCCTCAGGCTTAAGGCAGTCAGTTTGTACTGCTGTCTCAGTTTTACCAAGTTCTCCAAATGCACATTGTACCATGGTGGTCTGGACGTCTCGCGACGGCAGAACGAATAAACAGGGAGAGTGTCTGAGACATTCTGCCGGCATGCTGTAAAGAATAAATGGAGTAAATGTATGTATGTCTGTGTGTGCACGTCACGGTAAACACGAGTTTAGTGCCTAAACCCTAAACCCTAAACCCTAAACCCTAAACCCTAAACCCTAAACCCTAAACTTTGGGCTTCACACCCAGGCTGTTGCAGGGCATCCCCAGGCCCCCAGGCCAATGCCTCCCTGTAACACAGCGCGACGTGGCTCCAGTGGTGTTGCGTGTACATTGCTCACTCATATATGGTACACCAGATGGTCTTGTCTATAGCACACTGCATGGTTTTTAACACAGCCTGCTCTACATATTAGGGTTTCCGAAAGGGGTAGCCTTTTTGGGGGGGGTCCCTTTACGGGGATTCTATTCTATTTGAGTTATAACAGGGTTCCCATATTTTGATATTTTGCGAGATACCCATAATGGATATGCATAGGGCGTTTGCAAAACTCGGCCTCGAACTCAGGGTTCTGAGCGACGCCCCGGCTGCTGGCGAAAGCACGACCTTCCGTGAAGCCTGGTCTAGGTGGATCCCCGTTCGAGGCAAGCATCCGCAGGCAGAATCTAGTATGCTGTTGCATACGACATGGTCTCTTAGAGAACTTTCTACTGTGTACTGTAGCGCCGTTGTGGTATGGAGCCAAAACATGGCATTCTATTCCATATATCCGACTATACTATAAACTATAGGTATTTACAAAACAGTGGAACCAAACAGAGCTTTCTATACTATATGATATATAATATACCCTTAAACCCTAATCCCTAGTATCGCGTGCAGGTGCAGCCGAAGGCTACTTTTGGGACAACACAGATCAGACGTGCAAGGAGAAGCGGCTTGGTAGCCTTCGCCCGAGGGTTAGGGTTTGGGGTTTAAGGTTTCAGGGGTTTAGGGTAAGAACCATACAACAGAACTCTTAAGCCCAAATTCAATAGAAGACGCTCGTTACGGAATGTCTGTACTTGAAGGGCGCTTGATGAGTGTTGCAGGTGTTTTGTGTGGTTCTTGCTCGTAGTGTCGTGAGTGCCATTGTCATTGCCAGGCTTTTTCAGCACGACGCAAAACCAACAAGCGAACACCCAAACACATGCAGACCAACAGCAGTAACGACGAACGATAGCAAGAACACGAACGAGACAAGCACGACAGCTTGGGTACCACCGACCGCTCACTCTGTTCACTATTATTGTATTACTAAAAGGCAAGAGAGCGAAATGACTGGAATGAATGTAGCGAGCGCGGGGACATAATAATAATAATAATAATCAAATAGGGCTTCGTGACCCTGGGATTCAATGTGCTACTGTACCTTCTCCGTAAGGCCCGCTCTTGCGTGGAACTGCAACGGATATTGTTTAAGGTTTAGGGTTTTCGGGTTTTCGGGTTTTGGGTTAGGGGGTTTGGGGTTAAGGGTTGGGGGGGGTTAGGGTCTAGGGTAACCCTAAACCCTTCGTTTGCGCGTTAAGGCAGTGCCTCTGCACCGCTGAAGATGGCACGAACCAACCTGGCACCAAAGGCGCTGGGATGCTAAGTTTGGAGCTCCAAGTTGGAGCTCAGGGGCAAATTATCTTCTGATTCTTCTTGTACTGTATTTCTAGATTCTCATATGGCATATGTCTTTGTATTGCTTCCTTACCATGTCATTACATGTGTATGCTATTGTGTTTTTTTGTGTTATTTCCGAGTTGGAGCAGTTGCGTGGTTCTTGTCACTCCGCAGCGTAGTAGCAGCAGAGGAAGTTGTGGTAGTGGCAGAATTGGCAAGGTAGAAAGCTAATGATGAGGGGGGCGTTTTGTGCCAGACGAGCCTATCTTGCCATTGTTGCCATTTACAGCACGCACATGGACGTGTTTTTCTTTTTAGGGCCCATCCTGTAGTCGAGCCAGGCCGCTTCTGCCTGTCGGACCATGGATCACTTAACTGCCCGTCATGCTGCACGGATGAGCAGCGGTGGCTTGGGCCTGCAACATTGCAATCTCACTTCTCACAAGCGCAGAGCTCCTTTTGCATGTAGGGTTTAGGGTTTTGGGTTTTGGGTTTAGGGCAGCTGTCGTAGGGCAAGCTGTAGAGAAAAGCTCAGAGGGCGGCCGGCCAACCCTTGCCGCCTCAAAGGCCCCAAGCTCTCCAAGCCTGACACGGCTTTGAAGCATGCACCGTAGACGACAACCAAATGGGGGTTTACGAAAATAAGGGGCCCCCAGTATAGCCCCCCAAATGGTAGGATTCCCTTATAATGAGGTAATTCGGAAACCGCCAAATAAAGCAGACGGCGGTGATGTGGGCGTGGGATGGTCCAACGAGTGGGTCGGCGAACAGGTGCTTATTAACCGACTGAAGTGGTATCCTGACTGCCTACGGGCCAGAGCTTTCAAGGCCTTTTTCCCCGGCGGTTGCCTAGCTGGAGAAGACACGCCAAAGGGAATGTTTATCTTTGGGGCCTCATGACTTGAGATCCTGAAACCTGGGAAGCAAGCCTCATGCTCAGGCCCCATCAGGGCGTTAAGTTGTGTTCAGGCTCGAAGCTTTGAATATTTAGGTGGCAGCAAGCACACCCCAAAAAACCTGCGGAACCCCCAGAGGACCGGAAATCTTGGTAGGATTGAGGAGAACACTCCAACCACCCCTCGCCTGGATATTTTCAACAAGTTTGGCACGCCATTCATCACCGTCAAGGACGGAACAGACCAGTACAGGACAATGTATTGCTTGGCCGGCTGTTACTGCGTGGCTAACCCAAACTTACTTGAGTTGCGGTTGCCAGCAGTGTTACAACTATTAAGGAAGATTCATTAAACCATACAGGGATCCTTAGCATGATGTATAAGGTATATTCCATAAATTCAGGGGTAAGGGGCTCTCTGAGACGAACTAAGGGCCACATGCTCAACTTTCGACTGCACGGCAGCTGGTCCGACCAGCGGAACCCGGGCCGACCGCACCTCCGCAAAGTGTGCCTCGGGAGAACGCATCTCAGATGGTCTTGGGTTTAGGGTTTAGGGTTTAGGGCGGGAGCATAGCCAAGCTCGTTGCAAAAGGGTTTAGGGTTTAGGGTCGTCTCCGAATATGAAGCCCAGGGACTCCAATACCCCCTTATTCCCCCACAAAATAAGAGGGTTCCTGATATGGTTTATAAGGAATACTCCGCATTATAAAGGGGCATTGGAGTCTTTGGGAGCCCTTTTTTGGGGGGAGAGGGGGGGGGGGAGTGCGGATATCCGCTTCTCTGCTATTTGTGCTTGGTGACTACACTCGCACAGCTGGTCTTCAGCCGTGATATCAGAGCCTTTCTGTTGTGATGTCTTCTTGGGACCGCAGTTGTTGGAAATTATCTCGGGCTGTGTTCATGCGTGACGTTAATTTTTACTGCTGCCGCCCAGACTGCATCAGCCTCTACTGCGGCCATGCCAACACAGTGCACTGGTAACTTCGCGCATGGGCGTAGTAGATGTCTACTACAGTGGGAACACTTAAGAAGTTGTAAGGCCGGTGGTCGTACTTTTCTAGTAGCATGTCGCGACAATGTGATTTTTCCGGGCCAGGAGATCTTGAAAACCACGTTGCAGAGGCTTGTTATTTTCGTTGGCGCTTTCCAAGTGTTCACGGCAGCCCCCTCCTCAAGCTCTCGGCTTGCATGGTAAGATGGCACATACAGTGCCCCGGCCCCCTATTCGAGGATTCAGGCTCCTCCTGTAAAGTGGCATTGCCTGGGGCTCACATCACACCTGTAGTTCTGCGGTTTCAAGACACATCCTGCACGTTTTAGGGTTTCGGGTGCATCTATACAGCAACAATGGTTATGGTCACCATGGTCATTTTTACATTTGGAGATCGAAGGCTGGAACCAGGTGAGGATACAGTGAAGTGTTTCGTATGGTTCCCAGGCAATGGCAATAGGCAACTTCAATGGCCCCCGCACACTTTCGCATACCACAGCCACGCCCGTCCAAGGTGTATCCGGCCTATGCACAGCCGCAGCTGATGCTGCAACCTGCTGCAACACGACTGAAGATTCCAGAACGGTTCAAGACTCTCAGTGATACTTCCGACTTCCCTTTCTCACAGAACGGCCAATGGTGCAGATCGTTGTCTTGCGGTGCATCGGCAGAGAGGGCGCCATGGAATGCGAGATAATCTCCGTGGCATGCCATAGTAGACTTCCTTGTCGTTTTCAGCCAGCAAGACAGGAATCTTGCACTTTCAGCATGTGCGAATGCAGTACACTGCTCTGGGAGATTCCCCCCCAAAGACGGCTCAGAGCCTCTGCTTTGTGCTCAGGTGATGACGTGACTCTGGCCAGAGACTTCAACCTCGTCATTAAGACGAAGGACGAGAACAATTGCGGCACGGGCCGAGATGTCCATGTTGGGAGCTCGGAGGTAGCCAAGAAGTCAAGAAGTGCAAGAAAGATCATGTTCTGGGATGTTCCTCCTTATACTAAAAAACCGCCTTTAGCAGGAATTATAATAGGAGGTGCTATAATCCCCTATTACGGAGCTGTGAGTAGAAGTGGGAACATCCCAAATCATGTTGCTCAAGCCATCACAGCGTCTCATACAATCGGGCCCAGCCCTTCTGATACACATGGTGGGGTTTAGGGTTTAGGGTTTAGGGTTTAGGGTTTAGGGTTTAGGGTTTAGGGTTTAGGGTTTAGGGTTTAGGGTTTAGGGGGACGCCTGTGATTTCTGCCGAGGCTACCCTAGACGGAGTGACGGCGGATGGAAGCGAGGTCTCCAATAGCCAGCAGAGAATCTGGGACCCGGAGGGTTTAGGGTTTAGGGTTTAGGGTTTAGGGTTTAGGGTTTAGGGGAGTAGGCCCTTATTCCCTTTTTTTAAGGTCTAGGGTCCCTGATAATTAATCCCCTTGAAAACAAGAAGGGCGCCCTTTTTATATCTCGGTTGCTCTTGGGTCTAGGAATGGCCACGAAAAAGTACGACGACTTCAAAAGGGGCGACAGGCAGACCTACGCGCGCCCAGGCTGCGCATGGATGCACTTCGATGCCTGTCAAATGCTCAGGAGGATGAACAAAGACGGATAAAGCCCTAAGACAAAACCCGAAGCCCTAAACCCTAAAACCCTAAACCCTAAAACCCTAAGCCGTAAACCCTAAAACCCTAAGCCCTAAAACCTTAAAACCCTAAAACCCTAAGACCCTAAAGCCCTAATTATCCTCAAGGTATCGGTCCAGCGAGAGGATGCGGCCGAGCCAGATCTGCTTGAAGCTTGACATCGGCGGTGCAAGCCCTCGCTGGTGCGTCGAGTACGTGAGAGTCCTCTTGGGGCGAAGGAATATTTTGACTTTATTTGGGGGTATTTTTGGTGCACAAAAGGTCTTTCTGGCAACATCTCTTCAGTCTTTCTCCAAAGTTTCACTGGACCCCGGCTCGACGGTCCTTCTGTGCTGTCACGGAGGGCCTTTTGGTTTCGCAGGCCTGTCAGCCTGCCAGCAACCAGCTTAGGTCCTGAATGGAGATGTTTCGGGCTCCCCACAGATTGGTGAGGATGTCACAGGCAGGCGAGCTGTTACAGAACATATCATGGTTGACAGACATACACTCTCGAGCAGAGAGAGGTTTCCCTTTCTTTAGAGTCTCTTCGTGTCCGCAGGATGGGTGGATTTCGACCAGGTCAACGACAAGCAGTGCCTCAACCTTCAGTTCCAGTGATCCGAAGTCGCAACGCAGCAGTTTTGATTTAGGGTTTACGGTTTAGAATGTGCGCCCCCAAGAGTTCGCCTTGCGATGGAGAATCCATCCTGTTGGCGGCAGAGTGTTGGTAGTTTCCAAAATGGGGGCTGTGCCGGTGGTTCTTGTGCTAAAGTTGCAAAAGATTGCAAAGTTGGGGGCTTTGGGAAATAGCCTCCACTTCCGGAAACTCAGTTCCAATTTTAAGCGAGGTCACCAAAGGTGCCGTGAGTTTTGCCTCCTCAGGAATGCGTTTGGCCTTCGAGTGATGTTATGTTCACGCCAAGTCATGCTCCATCTCAGAGTCCCTCGATGGTATACTACAGTGTATTGCAAGTGTTCAGGCTCTACTGCCACTACTGCCGCCACCACTAGACGACCAGTACCCCTAGCGATGACTGCTACTACGAGAACCCGAGGCATCACTGTGGTAGTACAAGTAGCCGTGGGAGCACATAGTGGTGGTAGCAAGCGGTAGCAGTATTGGTGATGGTAGTTCTTGTCGTTGTCTTGGTGGACCCTTGGGATATGTTGGATTTTCCCTGTTTGGGTTTAAAGGATCAGATTCAGGAATATATTGTTCAGAGGGGCTTAAGGGCCATCCTAGTTGCTGTCACAGAAGGGCGGAGCTCCGAAGCTTTGACATCACGCGAAAACCACTCCAAAATGTTGCAACAAACGTCCGGTGCGACAGTTCTTTGCGACGACCATGCCAATCGCGCAGGTTATGAAAATGGCATCCAACCACTGGAAAGTCCATGTTCAAGTGAGTTCACGCATATCAGCCTGCCGTAGGCGTGTACATCTTACATCCCCCCACCTGGGCCCTATGTAAGCCCCATGTTAAGGATACCCACATGTAGCTCACACCTGGAAATCTCCTTACAAGGACTTCAGGCAGAAGCACAGCCCAGTGATCAGAGCTGACTCAACGACAGCAGCAAGGAAAGCCAACTGGAATCAGTTGAACAGGAGCTGCCGAAAGGTAATCAACGTAGTTGTTCAAATCGCGCGCTGACTCGCAAACCGGACAGTGAAATGATTTCTGTGAAGCTCCACGGCAAGTTGGCAGATGAGTTCCAGACGGAGCATAGAACAACTATTGAACAACATCCGGGCTCCAGTTCAAGTCCAAGAGTCTACGACTGACGCGAACCCTAAACCCTAAGCTCAAAACCCTGATCTTCAGGGTGCTTCAGTTTGTAACTTCCAGTAGTACCAAGGAGCTGAGCCCCGCCAATTGATCTTCTTAGCGTATTGTAACTCTAGAGCACACGACACCTGCACTGCGCTATGCTACATTCATGAACACCAAAGCTTTGGGCCTTAAACTCTTGGGAGAGATGTGCCCCTAAGCCGAAGAAGCCCTCTGCACCATGCGATGCCCGTATCGATGAGTCGGCTCGCGCTTACTGAAGATCCGTTTCCTTTTGCCTCTTTCAGCCTCCGGTGCACCTCAGAACCCGAAGGCGCACGCGACTCGAGGATGCAACATGGGCAGTTCTCTAAATGAGGGTCCCCTTCTTCCTTCTTTTTTTTTTGGTGCTTAGGGGTGTCGGATTTCGGAGCACCTAGAGGGGGTTAGGGGTCTCGTCAGAGATACTTGACTTACAAAGATGTCCCGCATAGTCAAGTCCACGATCATGGGGCTTACTACGGAAGATCGATTACGATATAGACTTTGCAGACGCTCTGCCATAGAAGACTGGTGGAGAAGCTCCAGCAGCTCCCCTCATTCCACTGGAAAATGCCTTACACGCAAGTAGTCTGCATTGTGAAGGCTGTATGGCCTGTGCTCGTGATCACTTCATCTGATACTGATACTTGTACATACAAAATAGCAGATAATGGATAACATATTTGTCTCCGATGTAGGTACTATGCCATCCTACATACGGTGACGTTTTTTAAATAAGTGGAGGGCGGCCAACCAGCAACGGCCAGGGGGGTAGTATAAAAGACCAGTTTAAATCCGCATGTTTTCGTGTTTATGCACTAGCCCCCTCCAGCCAAGCCCCCCTCCAGCCCCCCCTCCAGCCAAACCCAACCCTTCCTCCACCTCCAGGCTCCACAAACCCCCTCTCCAAGCCCCCTCCAGCCAACACACCAACTTGTCCAAGCCCCCCTCCAGCCAACGCCCACCCCCTCTCCAGCCAACCTCAAACCGCCAACCCCCCCTCCAGCCAAGCCCGTCAACCACCCAGCACCCCTCCAGCCCCTCCCTAAGCACCCCCCCAACCCCCTGGGTGAGGTTGGCTGGCTGGAGGGGGGTGTTGGCTGGAGGGGGCTTTGGCTGGAGGGTGTTTTGGGGGTGTTGGCTGGATGGGGGCGGTTGGCTGTGGAGGGGGGCTTGGCTAGGCGTTTTGGAGGGGGTGTTGGCTGGAGGCGGTGGGCTGGAGGCTGGCGTGCTGGGTGGAGGTTGGCTGGCTGGAGGGGGGGGGGGGCTTTGGCGGTTGGCTGGTGGAAACTGGCTGGTGTTGGAGCGGTGTTGGCTGGAGGGGGCTTTGGCTGGAGGGGGGCGGTTGGCTGTGGAGGGGCTTGGCTAGGCGTTTTGGGGGCTGGGGGGAGGGGGTGTTGGCTAGGCGGTTGGCTACAGGCTGGCGTGCTGGGTGGAGGTTGGCTGGCTGGCTTTTGGCTGGAGGGGGCTTTGGCTGGAGGGGGCTGGGGGGGGGAGGGGGTGTTGGCTTGGCTGAAAAAGGTGGAAACCGGTGTTGGAGGGGTGCTGGGTGGAGGTTGGCTGGCTGGAGGGGGGTGTTGGCTGGAGGGGGCTTTGGCTGGGGGTGTTGGCTGGAGGGGGGCTTGGCGCGGGAAGGCTTGCTGGAGGGTCTATTTCCGGATGTTTAAAACGCTGGGCGGCCTGACGCCGCGCTCCACGGAGGTAGTATGAAATACCTGTTTGACTGTTTAGATGTCCGGGTATTTAAAAACAGGCACCGTAGTCTATGTAGTGGATGAGATCGTGTTGCTCAGGGTGTCTCGACCCAGACCATTCTGGCAAGTACCCCAAAAATCCTAATCATATATATATATATATATATATATATATATAGCATAGTTATGAAAATAGTTTAGTACAGCACTGTGCAGCGAAGTATACTGTGGCAAGTCTTCTATGCTGTGCCAGCATCGTAGAACCATAAGACGGGCGACCGGCAGATTGGGGAAAGAGCTGTATCCCCCAGAATCCGAACCCCCAAAAACCCTAAACCCTAACCCCACCCCCATGTTTTGGAGAGGTACTACACTTTGGGGAATTGTTTGCAAAAAGCGGACCCTTTGGCCATACGATGGGCTTCGTGGTTTCAAGTGGCTCATGGGCTGCCCTAAACCCTAAACCCCTAAACCCTAATCCCCTAAACCCGAAAGCCTAAACCCTAAACCCTCAACCCTAAACCATGGCCACTGCTAGTCTGTGCTGGATGTTCTTAGCCAATGGAGGGCCCCAGCCACGGCTTTTCCTCCTTGCCTCCCCATCGCCTCCCAAGAAAGCAGCGCTGCACCTGAGATCTTTGCGCGCACCTTTCTCATCGAAACAACACATGATTCAGTGGTGAGGACGCTCGATGTACAGGAGGTAGCAATGTAAAGTCTGGCGTAGACTCGGCGTAGACTGTAGCAAACATTCTATCGTTGGTGACGTAGACCTCCAGGGTCCGCTCGTGAAGCTCCCTCGGTGGCTCTTGTTAAAACAGGCCTCCTCGGATTTGTGTGTGGTTCTGGGCTTGTAGTTAACAGGGGTAGGTTTGTATGTCTATTTATATATACATATATACGTAACTTTAGCACCGTTTATAACCCCGAAAGAATCCCCTAGATATCTAGTTTTATAGGGCCCCCAAACCTACCCCAGCAAGCGAACTTGCGTAGCTATACTTGGCACCCTGCAGGCCAGGGCCATGGCTGTGCGCATGCACTCCGCTCTCCTTCTGATCCCTCTTATCGCCTTCGGCCGCGAGGTGGAGGTGAGAAATGCTGGGTTGAGATGCCCTGAACCCTAAACCCTAAACCCTAAACCGCAGCAGATACCAAGGACCTTGGGTGTTCTGAGCTCTTCGTACGGGATTGGTTAGATGTGGTTCGATGTACTGCACTACAAATGCGAAGAGAGTCCTTCGGTGCAGTTGATGAGAATTGAGATGTGTTAACCACAGAACGGAGGGTTCTCCACATTTGTCAGTGGTTTTGCCTGTGGGTCACGAGGAGTTTTATTGCAGGAGCTCGGATCATGGCTGGCATCCCCTTAGGATGCGATTGCATAAGCCTGATGCCCGTTTCTCTGTGGTGCAGAGTAGTAGAAATAGTAATCCCAAGAGAGGGGTTTAGGGCTTGTGGCTTTAGAGTTCTTGTGGTTTTCGGCTTGGACGGTTTGACGTTTAGGATTCGGAGTTACAATCATACTACTTCCGTGCCTGTGACCATGACAACTCCTATCTTCAGTATGGCTTTCTACCAGCAGTAACTAGTATTACGGCCACTATCACGAACATTATGAACATTTTTAGGCATCCGCACCTCATGCGATGACCTAATGAAGCTGCGAGCGCGCTCTCATGCCTCACTTTGCTACCATGCTTACGACAGCTACGCCTCTGGCCTTTTGGATCATTGAAGCCCGAGCCCACAGGAGCTCGACCTCTTGCAGATCACAAGCTCAAAGACTGACATCGAGGTGGAGGAAGGGACCTCAGAGTTTCGCGCATTGCGCATGAAGCCTGTCTCCTGAAATGCCGGAGGCAAAGCGGGGCCCCCAAGGCTTCTGTTGTGTCGGCTATCGTGTTGCTAGTGCGTGAACGAGGCGCTTACGTATGAACTGCAGCCCTTAGCAACTAAGGATACGCTTTGCAAAGTTTGCTAGCTTTGCGGTGCCTTCCTTCCTTTGTGAGTGCTCATGCAGGCAGAATGTTGCATTCTGCGGGGAATACCCGGCATGAACAAACATCAAATCAGGACTCCACTATGCGGCAGGCCCTATGCCCTACCGTTCGGGCTGCAGCAGTGCTCTTTCCAGGATCGATAGGTGCAGTGCGGATGTGCGAGCGAGCCTCGTAGGGAATGTTTGACGACGCGTGCAGCTTCCTTGGCTTCCATGGAACCCTAAACCCTAAACCTCTTAAACCCCTAAACCCTAAACCTCTTAAACCCCTAAGCCCCGAAGCCCCTAAGCCCCTAAGCCCCTAAGCCCCTAAGCCCCTAAACCCCTAAACCCCTTTAGCCCCTTTAGCCCCAAAACCCCTTTAGCCCCTTTAGCCCCTTTAGCCCCTCAACCGAGGCCCGGAAAGGTGACGACGACCGCAAGAGCCGTCCCAGGCGTACCTTGGTCAACTCTCAGCTTCCTTTTGGGCATCTTGTTGACCTTGTTGACCTTGTGGAGTTTAGGGTTTAGGGTTTAGGGTTTAGGGTTTAGGGTTTAGGGTTTAGGGTTTAGGGTTTAGGGTTTAGGGTTTAGGGTTTAGGGTTGCTGATACTTCTACGCAGCATATATGCAGCACAGGCCAGCATTGGCCTGACGACTGGTCCGAGTGGTCCGACGAATTGATGGATGCAGTCAATCAGACCAGCATGGAGGTGCAAGGTGTTTTGGGCGTTCAGGGCCTCAGCTCATGGCGCCCAGGAACCTCAATTGTTATTCAGGCTCCTACCTTGACAATACCCATATTTCCACTGCCAACTTCCCCTAGCATCTTGTTGAGATTGTGCAGCCTCTACTGTGTATATGTGGAGACCAAGAGCGGTGTAGTGTACACGAGCTGTACAGTAGATCATGGCACAGAAAAGTCGAGTATGCGATCGGTAGCCAAACTCAAGGTTGGAACATGTCGAATGTCTCGGGATGTGCGTCTCAAGATCATCGCCCCCCTGCTCTCTCTTTAAGGACGAGCTTAAGGATGTTTCTTTGAGTGGAGGGGAGACTACATCTACCAGCATACCACAGCACAGTGTAGTATACACAACATCACTTTGCCACACTTTATAAACCATGTGTGTGCTGAGATCTCAAGAATCCCAATCCCCCCTGGGATCCCCAAAAGTGGTGCCATGACGAGTTTGGAGCCTTTTCAGGGCTAGCGCCAAGGAAGGTTCTGCATGCAGAGTCACCCTAAGTCGCGTCCCACTATGTTGTGTAGATGCTAGGGTTTAGGGTTTAGGGTATACTGCATTATGTGTCTGAATGCCGTAATTCAGCTAAGCGTATGTGGAGGCGAGCCATGATGAGATGCACAGCAAGCTGAGCAAGCTCCAGGCGACAGCGAATGCTACTCAGGCAAGCCTGGGCCTGCATCCTGTGCGTCCTGCATACGACAATGAAGTATACATAGCAGGAATATAAGGCATACAGCAGGCGTATAGTGCGTATGCATATATATATATATGTGTGTTAATATGCATACGTAACAGGAAATAGCATACAGCAGACATATAGTGCAGATAGTGGACTGTGCTAGATAGAAAAGTTCAGTAGACTGTAGGATAGGATGCTCGTCATCACATTCCTGGACCCAAGCTGACACAAGCCGAGTCCTCGAGACGGTCCTGATACTGATCCAGAAACAAAGCTCTTTCAGATGTTTTAACCTAGGACCCGGAGTAGGCCCTTGTTTCCTTTTTCAGGGGTTAGGTTCCCTTATCCCCTTAAAACCAAAAAGGGTGCCCTATGAACTGTACTTATAACCCACTTATAAGCCCCTCAAGTGCCCTAATGTGGTTATAAGTACACTTATAAGTACAGTTATAATTGGTTAATAAGTACCATGAACCTCCAAGCATTTATTCCTAGGTTACTCCTGGGTCTAGTAGCACTGAGAAGCACCGAAACTCAGCTTGAAGGCCGGAGAGCGTCACCATCTTGATCCACTTAGGATTTAGGGTTTAGGGCTTAGGGTTTAGGGTTTAGGGTTTAGGTTTTAGGGTTTAGGGTTTAGCTCTCAGAGACACACCATGCAGTGGCGAGAGGCGCGAGGGCAAGAGTCTCCCCTGGGCCCATAAATCCAAAGCCCTAAGCCTAAACCCCAAACACCCAAAACCCTAAACCCCGAACACCCAAAACCCTAAACCCTAAACCAAGAACGCGGGTCACTTCCATCCTGGTGCAGGAAGATGTCGCTGACGTACTGCGTCTTGCCAAGGAGACGAATGACCTCCTCAAGAGCACCCAGGCAAGTGAATCTTGTCAGTTGAGTGCCGCAGCTTCAGAGTGCCTTGCTTTGCTTTGCATATTATATGATAATATATACTAGTTACCATGATAATATACACTAGTTACTATGATAATATATACTAGTTACTATGATAAGCAGCTGTTTCTACGTACATTTGTGTAGCCGGCAGCCACCGTCAAACATGAGTTGCGTTTCGGAAGCAACCCAAGTGCGACCCCGCAAGGGCAGCAGCGGTGGCAGCAGCGGCGGCAGCAGCGGCGGCAGCAGCGGCGGCAGCTCCGGAAACAACAAAGACGGCTGCCTAGAACATCTTGGAAGGGTTGTTTAAGCCTGCAAGCCATATGGCCGACATGGTCATCCCAACTACTCATACGACGAACACTGCAAGACCTTGGTGTCACCCAGTGAAACTCATAGTTTCAGCTCTTCTCTCGTGGAGTAGCGCCAAGGCCAGGGACGTGCTCATCATCCACGAGCAAGGCAGTGAAGCTAACACGTGAAGCTTGCGAGTGCACGGACATGTTGCTTGAGCTTTCCTTCAGGGTCTAGTGTACTGTAGTAACTACCACGCACTTTAGCATGTGCTCGTATGCGTGAAAAGTTCGAGTTAGATGCCAGTCTTCTACGATATGATGCCATAAACTGGAGAACTTAGAACGAACTAGCTACAGTACAGCTCACTATTACAGCATATGAACATACTACAGAGTTTACCATATCTACTATCTCTTAATCATCAGCTTCTGTACATTTGATGACCATACTGTCAGGTCATATAGTGCTGCTTAAACTTACTGTAGCAATGTTGCAAAATACATGTAACATGCTGCGCCTACAACTTTTGTAGTCATATTCAATTTGTAGTGATGGGTTACATCTGCAATATAAACAGTAAGCCCGCAAGCTTTTGAGTTTTTACGAAAAAACACCGCGCCACACATGCTGCACAGTAATTCCATCACAGATGTACATACCACATCACAACCACAGCGTTTCAACATAGCTGCACAGTGATGGGAGCAGCAAGCATGGTGATCTGAGATCTTGAGCTAAACCCGTCACAAGCCATAGTCGGCCTCCGAAAGGATCGGACACCTTTGACACTTTCGGGGCCCTGATTGCCTCGAGCGGCGGCAGGGTGGAGCGCTGAGATACTGAAGAGCTGTTTGCGGGCTGTACAGCCTTGGTAGCCCTGTGGTGTCCTTTTTTGTATTTTGGGGATCTAGGTTCCCTCATACAGGTAACCAACCAGACAAAGGGTACCTGTGTGTGGTTAATTGCTGGGCTGCCAAGCGGTTAAGGGTTCGGGTTATCTAGTGATGTTGTTTTGTGGTCGCTGGTACTCTAACTCTGTAGGGCTTTGAGTATTTTGAGTGTTGTGGAGGACTTCATTACGAGGCCGCGACGCGGACGTGATACTTATGATGTCCACACGGGAGTCGGTCCATCGGAGGTCGAGCCTTGCAGGAGCCCCTTAAATCAGAAAGCGTGCAAACAAAGGTCACCCAGCAACCATGAACTAATCACAAGCTATGCCCGGCAGCGTGGTCTTCAGTTCAAAAAGACCCTAACCCTAACCCCTAAACACTCAGAGGGAAGGTAGGGAAGACCAGACCATATCATTGCATTTCCATATTCTCGGCCTGCTCTTATTGCGTTTCTGCAGGCCTCGAAACACTTGCAGTAGTGTATGGCAAGAGTGTACAAGACTTGTACCTTCTAGCATCGTACGGATTAGACAGCACCATTCTTAGTTGCAGAGACTGGCCTCTGCGCAAGCGCCTCACCCCAGCTGTCTTCGCCCTATCAACAAGCACCCATTAAGTTTTGTTGGAGAACCCTATAAGCCCCAAACCATAGACTTCGGGGGGCCTACGCAGGGGACTGAGAGCCCTTTTCCCGAAAACCAGCATCTCGATAAAGATTCCAGAAGCTGCCTCAAGAGGTTTACAAGAAGCTCTTGGACGAGCTGGTTCCGGAAGATATGCGCAGCATGAGCATTGTCATGCTGGATGTGAAGGCACCAGTCCGTGCTGAACAGGACATGCAATGTGTAGCAAGCTTTGCTGCACAGCAGCAATCATCTTCTGCCGTGTGTAAGAAGGCTGGTATACTGTAGTAAAGATATCTCAGGCTAAGCTTTTGACCGCCGATTCCGGCATATCTCGGAAACTAGTTAACTAGTTGGGGAGCCACAGCTCTGGGAATTGGGCTGTGCTTGTCTTAGAGACCTGCTGGTCGCACTTGTGGCCACTCACCCGGTTGTGTCGCCGGCGAAAGTCCAAATGCCAGAGGTTGTTTGCCGTAAGACCGGAGCTGGCGTTCTTCCTGTGATGCATGTCTGCAGGCTGCCACTTCGAACGAGTCCGACGCTTCTCTTGTTGCAGATTGGTACAACGAGGACACAGGCCACGCTGCTGTTAGTGTAAGACTGCTGAAGTATATGAGTGAGTGATGAAATGTGCCCACAGCTCTAGCGATGTGACAGAAAACCTACGTAGCTGACTCGCACTAAAGACTTCAGCTTCACTCAGCTTCACAAAATGTCGATGATGACATTGCTTTTGGACACCCCTGTTACCATGCTGTTTTTATGGTGGACGATTTCTCTGCCACGAGCACGTGAGACGCTGCAAACCTGATGTTCCCAAGCCATTCTCTGGAGTCAAGAGCCAAGGCCGTTTGTTAATGTCAACAATGCTGGAGTATGAGAAGATTGCGTATAACTACTACGAGATGCCGGAACACTTTTGTTTGTGCACTCAACATGATATTGCAAAGTTCCTGCGCAAGTTGTGCTATGATAACTTCGCACCCCTCTTGAGAGCGCATCCTAGCTAGCCTCTTTTGTTTGACTGCCAAGGCAAGGTGAGCTGCTACGCCGTACCACCACTGCCAGTGTCCGTAAGGAATGTCATGCTCGAGCGTTACGGGTCTCAACTCAAAGCTTGGCTGATGCAGGTACTATTCCCCTGTTACCGCAAGAAGTACAGTTTCAATGCTGTCTGTTGTCATCGTGCCCCTTAAACCCTAAACCCTAACCCCTAAACCCCTAAACCCTAAAACCCCCCTAAAGATCTCCTACAATTTCCGTGGCTTCAGGCGCCGTCCTGGTTGTTTTGGTGGAAGTCGGCCATCCGTCTGCAGCCAGATTCCAGGGTCAGGCTATTCTGCCTGCGTAAAACGCCAGGGGTGGTTATAGGGTTTAGGGCTAGGGTTTAGGGTTGAGGGTTGAGGGTTTAGGGTTTAGGGATGGTTCCTCCTTGAACAGCCGATCCATTCCGCCTATCAACACATCCTCATCCATCCCCACATTTGAGAGGACCCTCCAGGTTACGAACTGTGCGTTTCGCAGAGGGTAGAGTTGTACATTAATTTGTAACTATTTTACCCATAGAATCCATATATAATCCCCATGAAGCCATAAAAATATAGTGTTTATAGGGCCAATGTTTATAAGGCCCTGACACCTGCCCCAGTTTACTGGTGGATCAAAGAGAGTTAGAATAGCATCAAGGCTGGAGTGAGCCGGAGATTTATTGTAAGTTTAGGGTTTAGGGTTAAAACAAGGGTTTAGGGTTTAGGGTTTAGGGTTTAGGGTTTAGGGTTTAGGGCAAAGGCTGGTGCAACTTAATTCACCAGTGCTGCTTTGTCTGCTGTAGCATTGCTGTAGGGGGTTACATTACCCTATAGTCTGCTCTAGTATTCTGCATCGTATACATCGCGCTAGACTGTCATAATGTAGTAGAATACGTTCTCTGTACAAAAGTGGTATTTCCGCCTCAAGCCTTCCTCGTTGACTGTATCGAGGTCCCCTTGCAAGGGTTCTCTGCTGACACCATCACTGCACAGGGATGTATGCGTCATGCCAACGATATGCTTACGCAACGTTTGCTGTCCGAACATTGTGTTTCTGAACCCTTAACCCTAAACCCCTAAACCCCAAACCCATGTTTCTCGGAACATGAGGCGCGAGCTTGAGCATCGTCGAAGAGGCGAACGCATTCTTGGCCAGTCGGATCCTCGGAAAAGTAGAGTACAGGACACTACTGTGGGCAGTTAGTGCTTGTACTGTATATGATGCTATAGCACAGCATATTATATAAAAAGCGGTGGTCCTCCACTTCGGGTTCCTCGGATTGTGACTGCTTAGCCAAGGACGACGACTACCACTACTTCGACCTAACAGCATCGTATGGTGTAGAGCTAGGACAGTACGGTATAGTACAGCGAATATGCTTTGCTTTTGTAGTGTGCTATTACACTATAGCCTGGCAGAACACCAGCGAACGCCCACTGCTCACGGGCAAGAAGGTCTGTCTCCAGCCACCAACATCCGAGTCAGCGATGAGAGTTTCGGACCACGGTCATGCAGCACTGCAGATGTCGCTCCTTGGTCAACCACTTAGAGCTTCGGGCTTGGGATGCCCCGGGTCGTGCTCCTAAAAACTGTTCCGGGAGAAAAAAAGTGGGGAGCTGTTACCATCCCAGCAGCTGCAGCTTGAGGGTGTTTCAGCTGTGGTGTGTTACCAGAGGTTTACATTCGCGCATGGCCTAGAAGCAGCTGGTGATCGTGTAGAGCAGCTGGAGAGGGGTAGGTTGAAGACTTCTCTTAATTTGTTTTTACTCTGAATCCCCTATATGATCCTTATATTGCCATAATCATTTAGCTATGTGATTTTATACAAGGCCCCCAAACCTACCCCAGTGAAGCCAAGGTTGCTTTTGGAGATCCCTTCTTCCAAGTTCCTCTGCCTCCCGCCGGTATTACTTCCACCGCCGCCTACAAGGCGCCTTCCATTTTTAGGGTTTGGCATGCCAGTAGCTGGGGTTTTAGGGTTTAGGGTTTTAGGGTTTAGGGAGCCATCCCGGTGCGAAAATTGCAAGGGCATGACATGTGAGCTCAGAGGCATTGCGATCATGACCTGGAATGATTTCCCGACAGCGTAGCGAGGGTTCTTCTGAAACGGGTGGTGACGGAAGACATGTCGGCATTGTTGCGTGCCGAAGGGATGTTGACATACATGCATGGAGATGTTGACGCGTGTCGCAAGCTTGTGGACATTTCGATGCGGCAAGAACATGCTGGGCATGCTTGCTTGCAATGTCGAAACCATGCCACCATGCCTGCATCTCACTGTCGATGAGTGTTGGAACATGTCAATATGCCGGCACGTCAACGAGTCGTACACTAGCATGCCAAAAATTGTCTCCCATGTCGGTACGGTTGCAAGGGTGCCAGCAGTATACCACACACGTTCATGTCAATCAATGCATTGCTTGACTTGCAGTGCAGTTGCCTGTTGATTGCTGTGAGGCCTTGCTCTTTGTGTCACCCATTTTTTTGTTCTGCTCCTCTTCCCTCTTGTACATACGTCTGTGTTTTTTCAGCAACATCGACTCGGCCACAGGCGAGCTTCTGCAGACATCGTGCGGTCCTTTGCCCCCCAAAACCACCCCTCGCAGAGATTCAAAGTGTCGGGCTCCCCTCTAAAAGCATCGGCATTTCCCCTTCTCATCTTTGCCCTCTGTCCTTTTCGGGGGGGGTGTTCCCTCTTATACTAACAGTCCTTTCTTGGGATGTTTTTGGGGGGTACTCTGACCCCTGTTAGCTTCGGGGGGAACATCGCAATGTCCATTTCGTGTCTACATTTTCCCTCTTACTGGGACTGCTGTGGCACCATATACATCTGCAGGGACAGGTGCCGGCCCGAACATGTCCAAACTGGGGCGGGGTGATGAAGAAGTTTCAGAAACCTCTGAAACGAGGAAGCTCTGAACCCTGGACCTTTTATAACACTCTTCCATACTTTACCAGAATGTGGGTTTAGGGTTTAGGGTTTAGGGTTTAGGGTTTAGGGTTTAGGATGTGCTCTATGCACTACTCGACTCTACCTGTTCACAAGCCAAGTGCGGGCAATGAGGTGACCGGAGAAGGCCGGGCACTTCTCAACATTGAAGGTGCCTCAGCCGCATTCCCAGCCCTAAACCTAAAACCCTAAACCCTAAACCCTAAACCCTAAACCCTAAACCCCCTGTCGTGCGGCTGCGGGAATCCCAGGAGCTTCAGAGGATGGACCTGCGAACCGAATCCTTGCCTGCCTTGCGCGAGTGTGAGAGCCGAAACGCCTAAAACCCTAAGCCCTAAGCCCGAAGACTTCGGGGCTCAGGGGAGTAAGTACTGTACTTGCTATAACAGTAGCCATCCAAAGAAACAGGGAACCCTTGTCATAATAAGGTTACTGGGCTCGAGTGCGAGTAATTTTGGGTCAGCGAGTTCTGGCAATCGCTATCAGGCCTCTAAAAAACTCAGCCCCCCCACCGAGCCGCACAGAAGCCAGCCAAATCCGACAGCTCAAGATTGCAGGCAATACCATAGCGCGATTGGACAACTACGACCGACTTCTCGTGAAGCCCAGATGCAACCAATTTAGGGTTTGGGGTCTAGGGTTTAGGGTTTAGGGTGGACCAAAGAATGGGCGAAGATGATGCCAGGACAAGCGTATGTAGAGTGGTTCGTGGGGATGTATACCGCAAGTCTTCCATAGCAAGTCCAGTCTCTCTTGGCTTGCAAGAACAAGCGGCCCAAATGCTCCTGCGACACCACTATACTGTAGCCATGCAGTACTTGTGTAGAGGAGCATGCTGGTGCCATGGTCTTCTCGTACCTCATATACTCACACAGCAAAGAACCTATATTCTTATAGCCCATATGCAAAACCAGCCCTTTTTCGACGGCATCCCATAGTTTTGGGGATTCTGGCAGAGTACCCGGTGATTTCAGGATCGGGACTGATGACCTGCTGAGTGACAACTGCTTTGGAACCTGGACAACAGGCGCACGTGCGCTTCAGATTTCACCTCTCCATGTGCAGCGATCAGCATCATGAAGTTTCTAGCTGTATGTAAACCCTAAACCCTAAACCCTAAACCCTAAACCCTAAACCCTAAACCCTAAACCCTAAACCCTAAACCCTAAACCCTAAACCCTAAACCCTAAACCCTAAACCCTAAACCCGAACCTGAAATTATGTAAGTGGCATGAGCAAGTGGAACAGCTACGGCCATCCATGTGGCCATGGAAACATGACACGTAAGACAAAAGCATGCCATACTCTGTTCGCGGACACGTCTTGCAAAGCGGAATCTGGAGCAAGTGTAGCGCAGAGCTGATGCGAGGGCAGCCGCCTTTGCAGGAAATGATGCTTTTGTCAACAACTTGCTGGCAATTCCATCGGACACGGCGGCAGAAGCCTCTTGTCTTCAGCTCATCTCTAGACAACACCACCAGCTTCATGCCAAAAAGCTTTCATCAGAAATCTGAGTGAGCTACTTCCTTTACCGCGCTGCCCTGAGAAGTAGGCGCGGTCATAGCTTGCAGACGACTAGGAGCTACTCCCTGTCCTAGAGGTTCCTGTCCATGCCCCTTCATATGCCAAGCTTGTGACCTACGGTAAGCCCGGTCAGCATTTGCGGCAATTTCTCTGAGAAGCAGCTCAGGAGGCTGGAGCCAGCGCATGATGCCGCATCGAGAGCCAAATGAGGTAAGGAGATGCCGAATCCAAGGTGTTGGTTTAGGGTTTGGGGCTTAGGGTTTAGGGTTTAGGGGGACGACCTGGACCCCCAAAGTATGTAAGAATATCTTCCCCAACCCATAAAGGTGCTGTCATTTTACATTCTTTGGGGGTCCAAGTAAAGGTTTTTCAAGGGGAGGGGCTCGCTGGCGGTAAAGGCACCCCATCCGCTCGCCCTGCGTGAGTGTGTAGTGTCTATCTCCCTACAAGGGCTCCGGCATCAAACGTTCTTTGCCGGTGTGGCGGGGAGGAGGAGGGGAGGGGGGGGAGGGGGGAGGCAAAACCAAAGGTTTTCACATTTGCCGTGTGGTTGGTTTGCTGACTTGATTCTGAATTGACTCTATGTTCGACAGTCTTATGCTGCCTCTCCTAGGCTTGGGGCATTGCTCGGGGGGACTAATGCCTTCACTTGGTGCTTTACCAGCTATGGCCTCGCCCATGTTGAGTCGTTGCAGGAGCATTTCCACAGCACAGAATCTACGCGCGCTTTCCATTGGTATAGCAACCCGCCCAGATAGCAATAGGACCACGACAGGATCCCGCGCAGCGTACACCCCAATCCAGTTGTGGCTTGGTTACTTGTAGTACAACAGCAAGTGCTCTCATTCGTAGGCATGGGCCAGGAATGTTTTCATCATTTGAGTTTGGGATGAATGTTGTTAGGGTTTGCCTTGCAGGCTGTTCATGGCTCAGCTATGGCAACTACCAGGTGATCTGAGCCTTGAAGCCTCAGCTAGACGTAATGTTTTATTTGTAGCACTACAAGCCCAGCCTGTTAAACAGGCTTTTTCTGCCGGTGGTGTGGTGCTAGTTTTGGGGACCTCTCGGGAGCATGCTGGGTCTGAATCATCACATGATGGCTTCGTGGTGTTGCGACATCATTTGAGCACTCCGTAGTGGTAGTGGTACTGCTTGTCATCGCTACTAGTCGTAGTAGTCATATGGCACTAAGCGGTATCAACACCCTCTGAAGCATTGCAACTGATGGTTTAGACTGAGTGGCATGGTGAAAAGATCTGGCTGAAAAAGCATCTTGTCGTGCTGGTGCCCAGTCCCCATCGTAATCGCTCGTGACATCGGAGGATCCCAAAGGGTCCAAGCCAAACGCAGGCCTTGGACCAGTATTTTGTACCACTCCAATGGGACCACTATTGCTGCGAATTAGGATGATGTAGCCAGCCATCCCTGAAGATCAAGGGCATGCATTCACAACAGCAGCAGTTGCATGGGGCTTGGTCCTTAGTTGTACTTTTGCGGCATCTCGCGCTTGTGCGCTCCTCTCTGCTCTGCCGCACTTGGTCGTGTGAGCAAAGTACCAGAGGCTTGCAACCATGACAAAGCACCGCAGCTCTAGGTCAAGTCACGACAGCTGCAGTCCAGAATCGAGACTCCTGAGCTCCATGCCTTGGAGCTTCCAAATAGTTCCTGTTTCCGACAGAGCTTCTGAGGAACCTTGATTCTCTGACACCGTTTGCAGAAATCAGTAGATCTACGAGCTTGCATGGAGCCATGGCCAGCACTGCGCCTTAGCAGCACGGAATTGCTTGAGAACGAGGAACTGCAGCTACTGCCACGGCTACTACAGTCAGGGGGCTTAGGGTTTAGTTTAGGGTTTAGGGTTTAGGGTTTAGGGTTTAGGGTTTAGGGTTTAGGGTTTAGGGTTTAGGGTTTAGGGTTTAGGGTTTAGGGTTTAGGGTATAGGGTTTAGGGTTTAGGGTTTAGGGTTAGGGGGCTTAGGTTCAGGGACTAGAATTCCCTGGTTCGGGGTTCAGGGCTTAGGGGTTCGGGGTTAGGGAGTTGTTCCCGTTGCAGGTCGAAAATTCTCCGTTTGTGTTGAGCCCAAAGCTCTGCTGTTTGCATCGGTCCAATTCAGAGGTTCCTCGAGTTCTCGCGTTCACGAGGGACACCTTGGCATGTGCCCCTTGTACGAACAGCCCCCAAAAACAGGGATTATAATGGGGGGTACTAGAACCCCTACTAAGGACTGTTAGTATAAGGGGGAACATCCCCAGAGACATCATTGAAGTCGACCACCAAATCGCTTGCTTTTTGTCAAGGCACACTGGCCGATGCCCGTCGATCAGTGCCGGGGCGGGCTATAAACTCCTCGGGCAGCTGGCTCTGAAGGAGGGGGGGGGGGGGGGGGGGGGGGGGGGTGCCCACAATGGCTTAGTAGAAGGTAACCTTGAACCTTTTCGGGGTGTTCTAATCCCTATAGAATCCCAAAGGTTAACCTTGAATTCCCCCAGGCTTTTGGACAACTAAGATGGAGGGATGCTTCAATGCAACGGAGCTTGGAGCACCATTTGAAGAAGTGGAGCTTCGGAAAGCGCTTCTCTTAAGGGGTTGACCTGGGCAAAGTGCACTCACCACACGATTCGTCACACCTGCTGCAGCAGCTGGCTTTCTTGGTTCATGTCCTGACCGATCGATCCCATATGAGAGATTGGGGGGCAAAGCATTGCAAAGCAAAATCATAGAGTTGAGGTGACTGGTCAACCAGTGCGCGGAATGAGCCTGGCAACACTTAGGCAAGATTCACCCGTCACCACACTCATTTCTTGGCATTTCTTGGCATTCAGTGATACCGAAGTCGTATCTTGCCATGGCCAGCGAGCTACCCAGCAGCCGTCATGCCTTGGTGGTGACATCCTTGTTCCTCACGCTGCCATCGTTCCACGTCCATGCCGCCGAAGTCGAAGGGAAAGCACCGGCTGTGCAACCTGGTGTCTTGAGGTTGAAGGAGACCCGAATGTATGCCTTGAGCTGGAATGCCAGAGGTGCCCTCAGTTGGGCCAACTTCTCCGTGTGTAATCAAAAGAATGGGCACATTTTACAGTTCGTGTTACGCATGGATATTGTTAGATACGCTCTCTTGCCACAATCATCCACTGGGTCTTCCTGGATACTCAAAAACCCTAAACCCTAAACCCTCATCCCCAGGTGTTCCCGGTGCACCTGCCCCGGAAGCTCTTGGGCCTACAGCAACATCACCGGCCTTTGCTACGCCCGTTTTCGAGCACAAATGTATCTTGTTGGTCAGCAGGGTTTAGGGTTTAGGGTTTTGCTACTGGGTAGCGGCATGGCTGTCAGACCGCGTTCAATTCGGGTTTAGGGTTTAATGTCGAGTGGCACCAACTCCGGGCGAAGTGGCAAGCCTGCTGCAAAAAGGGGGTGGGGGGGAGGGGGCAATAAGGTACCCTATAACCCCTTGAAGGCTATAAATGGACCCTCACTTTCCTCATCACCTGCTAACCAACAGGTATCAGCCAGACTGTGCTTGTCGATGCAGACAGCTGGGCGCTTCCATTCCCTGCGTGCGCTCGCGAGAAATGAACTTTGAGTTGGCAGGGGAGGATACTTGGCTTGGTTACCCCTGCGGGAGCGACTACTCGAATTGGCAATCTGGCCAGCCAGACCGCCACTGTTTTGAGCATGGTGGCTGCGAAAATGCGGTCGTTCTCAGGAGCTTTTTCAGAAACTCAGAAGGGGACCCCTTTTACGGCGCTTGGGATTTGCTTCAGATGTTCCTTTCTTTCGCTGCGTTCCGCTTGTTGGTGATGTAACTTTTTCCATGGTTTTCAACTGACTCCTATAACTCAGCAACTCCAAGGTGTCTGGCAAGATGTCCTGGGTCAGCCTCACCGGGAGTGGGGCCACACCACGTACTCCTGCGCGTGCGAGTACGACCCTCAAAACCCCAGCCCAGCCACCCCTTGCTCTGACCGCACGTATACTGAGGAGCAGCTCGCCCTAAGCGCGACTTTTAGGTTCGGTGACTTCATCGCGACCGCTGCGGCTCAGAAGCAGCTCCTTGGGATGCTCAGCCTGGCCGTGCTAGTCGCATTGAACTGAGAAGAGCTGCCTTTGTGAAGCCCTCCTGCGAATTCTGCGGTCCATCCCCAGTTGTGCCTATGGAGTGAAGCTGAACTAAGCAACCCCTCTAACTCATAAGAACAAGAACCAAAAAGGAGCATGTTGCACAGCGCGTGTGGTTTTCGGGGGGTGTGAGCCTTCTGTGAGCAAGTTAAGTTGGGATGGAACCGCTGTGCTGTCTCACCATGAGGATTGTTTCAAGCATTCCATGTGGCCTGCTCAGACTGCTTCACTGGGCTCTGCATGATGCCAGGGCCCCTCTGAGTACTTGGGGGTTCATGGTACTTATTAACCAATTATAATTGTACTTATAACCCACTTATAGTTACAATTAGCTACTAGGTACCATGAACCTTCAAGCAGGGCCTCTGGTGTGGCAGAGCCCCTCTGGTGCATGTCGTGCCCTCCGATCTCTCGGATGGTGAAACGGTCTCCAGGTTGCTCTTTTTTTCGGTGTGGCAGAAACGGAGCCTCGGTGATGTAAATATCCAAAACGGATGACTGATGTGGGTCGCCGGTGTCACCTCCACCTACGGTGACACGAGCTGATGGAAGAAAGGGAGCTGCGCAAGAGGTGCCTTAAGGCGGGAAGCACAAGCGCTTGCCTTTTGCTGCCTTTGCTTGCTCGTGGGCTCTTGCTTGGCAACCTCTTCGTATCTCTTTCGCAGGGGCTGCCATCACTAGCTATTCAGAAAACCAAGTTTGCCTGTGTCCGTGCGCGTGTGCTCTTTCATGCTTGCTTGAAACATTTGATATGGAGAAGAGTCCTTGTGGAGCGATGCAGGTAGCTGGTGGAGCAGGGCCCGGAAACGTGGACAAGACGGACTGGCAGGCTGTCGGTGCACGATTCGCACAACGATCGGCTAGTCATGGAGGTCCAGTGGCCAGCACTGTTCCAGATATCCCTAAACCCTAAAACCCTAAACCCTAAACCCTAAAACCTAAACCCTAAACCCTAAAACCCTAAACCCTAAAACCCTAAACCCTAAAACCCTAAACCCTAAACCCGATGAGTTGCTGATCGTTGCTGGCGAGCTGCATCAAAAAAACGGAGCCCAAGGCTGCCATCGCCTCAAGGGTCGGAAGATCGGACTCGAGCCCCGTGCTGTTTAGGGTTTAGGGTTCAAGGGTTCAAGGGTTTAGGGTTTAGGGTTTGAGGCTTTCGCCAAGGCAGGGTTGGCCTCGCACACCTGTTCCATGGAGCAAGGTAACAAATCTGGCTTGGTTTCTGCGAGTCTGGTATATTCAAGCACCAGTTTCAGAGCCAAGGTGGGTTTTTTAGACTGATATCGCATGTCTTCGCTGCATGGCTGCGGCAACGCGAGATACCTGGATGGAGAGTAGTATAGGGGTCGGAATAATTTCAAAAAGTACCCCCTTATGGTCCATCTGGAATTTTCCTATAATAACCCCTCACTATTTTACTTCTTCAAGCCCTATATTAGTTCGAGGGACAGTGCTGCAAGCCTCATTGCAGCCCTGCCCCACCATACCTTCTCAGAGGTTGAGCATCCTCTTGTGTTTTTTTGACGCTAAAGGGCTGCAAACCCAACGCACAGCCTTAACTCCAGCCCTGGGCTCCCCAAGACCATTGCAAATGCAAGTCACCCAGGTCTGGGATCCGCTGAGACTAGAGTCGTGCCGATGGTTTGGCTCAAAGCAACTCGCCCTCTGGCAGTTGCCTAGCTTGCTGTGGCCTGGTAGTACAGTTGGCGCACACCTGCGCCCATGTTTCATGACGTGGCTGGAAATGAAGAAGAGGCCCCATTGCGGTGAGGAGTTGGGCGTATTTCTTTCAAGGTGCAAGATGTGTACCGGGTGGACGCTGCGGAGCTCTCACCCCCGAGCGTTCTAGATAAACCCTACCGGTCACACCGTAGAGGCCCCACCCCCCGAAAGCCCCAACCCCTCGAAAAACACTAGACAAACCGCAACGCCCTGTGAAACTCCAGAAGTTCCAAACGCCCCAGCCGCCAAAACACCAAAAAACTTCCAGAGGCCCCACCCGCCCCCAAAACATGCGACCCCCAAAAATCTTAGTTGTAGAGTAGGTAACCTTTAACCCTTTAGGGTAGCATGTCTCACGCTCGACGCCGGGGATTTGCTGTTCACACGTCGCGCTTCAACCTTTTAGGGGTATTCTAATCTTTATGAAATCCCGAAGGTTAACTTTTAATTCTTCCAGGTTACTGGACAACTTAGAAATAATCCACTTTTAGGCCCTTCGCTGCTTTGATTCTTGGACCCGGTGGGGCAGGCGTAAAGCGCTTCTCCTGCTGCACCTGGTCCTTTGGTCCGACCATGGAGTCTCGGTGCGGCTGGCCAAACGAGGGCTTCTACAACCACGCGTTTTGGGTTTAAGGGTTTTAGGGTTTTAGGGTTTTAGGGCTTTAGGGTTTTAGGGTTAGCAGCGGTTTAGCGGTTTAGGGGTTTAGGGGTTTAGGGGTTTAGGGGTTTAGGGGTTTAGGGGTTTAGGGGTTTAGGGGTTTAGGGGTTATGCGCCTTTACTTTGTAGTCCCCACTTTACATGCTTCAGGAGGTCTTGAGGTTTCATGAAAGTATGGGACCTGGTGAGTTCCGCAGGAATCTGACAACAGCACAGCGAAAACCTTGAGTTAGGTGGAGGGGAAAATTTCGTCATGCTTTGAAGCGCTCAACTCTGCACAGGTTTTGTGTCAAGACGTTTCAAGATGCGTCGTTGAATCTCGTCCGTGAGACCACTGCACCTCTCTTGAAGTCGGATTAAATCCATGGCCCACGATATCTGCGCGTGTGTGACCATTGCATCCTAGCAGGCGCACACATTCCTGGCCGACGATGACTACGTCACATGAACGCGAACCAACGAAAAGTCCCAATGGCGTGGAGGTCTATTTCTGGGATCGCGTTGGTTTGAAAACGTGATCCTGACTTAGACTACCCATTTATCGTGCGTAGCCTGGGAAAACACAGCAAAAGAACCGTCGGAGTGCCCTGCAACAAGCCCCAAAACAGAACTGCGAACAAGCCTTGCAGCAACCCAACTCTTCGCAGCGATGCCCTCAAAACAGAGGCTTTGTTGTCCTGACTCCCTGAACCCTTAGTATAACTTAATATAACTTCATTCAACGTAGTATAACTTAATGTATCTTAGGCTACGGTTTCCACGGCGGGCTTAGGGTGTCCAAGCTCGAAGGAGCCATCAATCAAGGGGCCCACCGACAGCCGGAGGCCCAACAAAGACAGTTCGCGCAAGGCGGCCATCAAGCAAACCACGCACGGGCCCGCAATGGATGCACACCTGAACGCGTCGTGAAACGGGCCATCAGGGAAGGAGCACAGCAATCAGTGGAGCAAAGCGCAGTTCTGATGGATGATGGTGCGGAGGGCGGTGTGAAGGTTATGCGGAGTGTAAGCCCCAAGTCACTTTTCCCTGCGTTTTTGGGCAATTGCGGGCTTCGAGCTTCAGAGCCCCTGAAGGCTGTGCGGGACTTCTTGCTGGAAGAGACTGCTCCCTGGCCTTTCAGGCTTCACCAGGTTCCTCCCTGAACTTCGGATCTCCTGGCAGTCTACCAGCTACAGGGTTTGGGGTTTAGGGTTTCTAGGGTTTGGTAGGACAGATGAGGCTGGCTAGGCTCAAGAAACCCAGCCCTACTGCCTGCACAGACCTTCCCTTGGGCTCTTTTCCCAGCTGTCCTGCAACCCGAGACGCAACCCTTCCAAAAGCCTTTTCGCCAACAAGTGAGGAGGCTCAACAGCAACGACACCGCAAAAGCGAGACGATCCTCACACCCCCCCCCCCACCAAAAAACCCCCCAAACCGCCCTAAGGCAGCCAGCCTGCCGCCCCGAAGCGATGAGGAGCTGGAGGATCGCAGGGATCCCAGGGGCGCCTTCCAGGTTTAGAGTTTAGGGTTTAGGGTTTAGGGTTAGGGTTTGCTCCGTTTTCATGTTCAAACGTTTCGTCCGGGTTTGGATTTCTTCGTCTCCCTTGCTCTCTTTCCTCTCTCTCTCCTTCTCTCTCCCTCTCTCTCCCTCTCCTTCTCTCTTCCTCACTCTCTCGCTCAGTCATGCTCTCTCTCGCTCTCTCTCTCCCTCTCTCTCTCACTGTGTACTGTATCAAAGTGGAGGGTCCATGGCTTTATCATACCCCGGTTCCCCGGTCTCAAGTCCAAGCTCCGCATGCAGAAGGCTTATCCTATATACCCTAAACCCGACCATAAAGCCCCATATCTCCCCTAAGCCCTGTTGAAGCCCTAAAATAAGCCCCACAAAGACTTTAGCTGATAAGCCCGCCCTGGACTCCCACTGCCCGCGAAGCCGTCGCAGGACTCATCAGACGCCGTCGCCAGCGCAGCGTTTGGAAGCGATGGCTTTGCCAGCTCCATGTTGCAGACCTTGTATACGCAAGACGCCTTGCAGCAAGCTTGTGCAGTTAGGTGGGGAGGAGCACCGGGCCGGAAGTTTGGTGGAAGGAGAAGGATGGCTGGGGGGAGAGATTTGGCTGTTGTTCCGAATGCTCTGAATGGCTCTGCTCGGATGACGTCTGCATGGGAGCTGATCCTGCAGTTTGGGAGCCATGCTGAGGTTACAAAGCACATATTTTAGAAGGAATGGCTGGCAGCAGTGGGGGCTTCGGGTTTCGGATTTCGGGGTAGATGACTTCAGGTTCCAGTCCTTGTCCGGGAAAGCAGGATATGGAACTGAAGCTTTGAATCCTTTGTGCCCACCCGTCTGTTTGCTTATCTTCTTCGTTTTGTTGTTTCGGTTTCTTAGAAAGTGGTACCGCGCCGCCCTCAAAGTACTGGTAGGTCAGTTGCACATTCTTGACGAAGCATGGTATCAGGCACTGCTATACACAGGGCTAGGTTTGAACGTAATTGTTTTTGGTTTGTTATTACCCGTAATCCACATAATCCTTATAAAGCCCATAAAATAGTTAATGTCATAAGACCCCCAAACCTCCCCCAGCACAGTTCTCTTTAAGCGAACGAACGCGCATCAGAAGCAGCTGGGGCATGTCATGTAGTAATGTAGTATCCCTCCTTGGCTTCTCAGCTGCAAAGCGCCATTTACCCTCGGCCGAGTCATTTTTTGAAGTTCCTTAAACGATCACCGGTATCCTCAGAAAGACGGCTCATGGGCGCTTTTACCCGGTTGAGGTGTCAGGCCTGCAGCCGATACCGGTCCCCCTACAAGGATTTCCACGTATACCATGAAAGTCGTAGTTGTTGGAAAGCTGACAACTAGCCACTGCGAGGAGCGGGAGCCGTATACCAGGTAACCCAATCCAGTTTGGAAGATGACCGAAAAACCCTAAACCCTAAACCTAATCCCTAAACCCTAAACCCGTTGAAGAGTTCCCCCTCAAGGTTCCTCAGACCCTGCTCGAGTTTTAGGGGTACTCAGCCTGCCCTTAAGGAATCCAGGGCTGCCACGTCAGCCGAGCTCCAGGCGCGGCCATTGGGCTTTTGAGTGATTGCTGGGGCACTGACAGAACCGCAGGTTGGGGGGTTTAGGATTTAGGATTTAGGGTTTAGGGTTTAGGGGTTAAGGTTCAAAAGGGTTTATAGGGTTTATAGGGTTTAGGGTTTTTAGGGTTTAGGGTCAGGAGGGATGCAACAGCGGAGGGGGTTGAGGTGTGAGGTCATGGGTTCCGAGGCTGAGGAGGGATGCAAGTTGTCGCTGGTTGCAGGGTTGCGGTCTGAGGGCTTGGGACGGACTTCTGGGAGCAAGTTCAGATCCGATGGGTTGATGGGGAAAATATGGTCACTTCTCTAAATGATTGCCCTGTTGGGGTTACTATTCTGAGGCGGCCCCTAGACAGGAAGAACTTGCATTCAAGAGCTGAGGCCCTGCCAGACTAACACTAAGCCCGGCAACTTCGTCCTAGTCCTGGACCCACAATGACCGTCCAAGAGTTGAAGTTGGCCATAGCAGATGACCAGCGCGCCCCACCACCCTTAGCCGTTACTCGTGCTCGTTGCTTACAGGGACTGCGGAGCGCTTGCGGCTCTAAACCCCCTCCAACCCGGAGTCCGCAACCGAAACCACATCGAAACGAAAACCCTCGAAACTCGAATCTTTTTCCCACTTCTCAGGCAAGAGCGCAGCTGAAGGCAGCTTGTCTCGGAGGTTGACGGCTTCTGTTTCGTGGAGAGCGCTCCAGCTACTTGCAACAAACTTTGAGCCGACAGGCTCTTTGCTTGAGACCCGAGACCTTGGCATCCTCGATCTCCCATTTGGCGACCGGCAAGCGTAGAAGAGAGTGGGAGACCTCTCAACCCCTTTCGTTGGGTTTAGGATGATACCCTAAACCCTAAACCCTAAACCCTAAACCGTGATCCCCTCACCCACAGGCGGCCACGGCGAGTCTCGTACGCGGCACCGCAGCTCTCACAGAGTTGCTGCGCCCTGGCATCGTTACCCCCACTTGGAGGTTCATGATACTTATTACTGTACGTATAACCATATCAGGGCACTTGAGGGGCTTATAAGAGGGTTATAAGTACAGCTACAACTGGTTAATAAGTACCATGAACTTCTAAGCAGGCCTACCTGATTGCCAATTGCCACTTTAACGCCCTCCAAAAGTCTGCATCGTCATTGTTTTCTGTTGCCGCGAAGCCTCCCGGAAACCTCACCCAAAATCCATTTCAGGGCCCCACCTCACCCTCCCCACACCCCTCCCCAGTGGTTGTTTAAGAGCAAACCCAAGGACTGGCGAGGCGAATGAGCTCGTGGAAATGTTGGAGAAGACAGAGGCAAAGTGGGGAACCGATGCTTTTTGAGAGCCTGTGGGACCTATAGGGCCTATTTGGGTGTGTGCAAAATTTCCGGACTCGGAACAGAGCTTTGCAAGATCAGTTCGTCTCAACCCCAAAATGTACTACTCTCCTCTTGCTTGGTCGTACCTTTGGGTGGAGCCTTGAGGTCAGCCCTGGTCCCAAAAAAAGCGGAGGCCATAACGAAAGGACGAGGCTCTCTGATTTCGACCAAAAGAGGCTTCTGAACAACAAAGGCCCCCCCCCCATCACTTCCTGAACATTACCCCTAGGTAGGGTCTTAGGGCACATTTTCACATGTTTCCCTTCTGGGGTTTCAGAGGATCCTATTCAGGAATATGTTTTTCAGATGGGCTTAAGGGCCATCCCAGTCCCGGTACTCGTAATCCTGACCTCGGCACTTGACAGTGAGTGGGTCTAGGGTTTGTAGGGTTGATCCGAAGTCCCCAAACACCCCTATGGGCTTTCTTTGACTAGGGCAGCCTGCTGTCCTTTTGGAGGCCACCTCAGAGAAGTACCGGGAGAACTCCAAGGACGGCAGCGCACTAGCGCGGGGAGGTTTGGCTTCCCTGAACCCTAAGGCCCATGTTTGGTTGCTACAGGCTGCGGTTTTCTGCGCGGGCATCCGCAGCGCCAACAGCAAGAGAGGGGCACATGGCGGTGTCTTCAGTGATACATTTGGAGGCTGATCTTCAAGCGTAAGCACCGTGCAAGTTGAAGGGGGAGTACCACGTGCCTTGTTGCATGTTCATTGGCGGTGCAAACAAGACCCCCTGTGATGGCGAGCTAGATGTTTCCATGCAGCACCTTTTTTTTCAGGGGTGCAGGGGCATGGGGGTGTTGTCGGTTTTGGGCCTGCAGTTCCCCCTCAGAAACAACACCTGCCAGGATCCAGCTGTGGTCCAGAGGGCGCTGAACGTCTCGAAGCAGATGGTGGACCTTGTAAACCAGGCCTTGCTGTTTAGGAGCACATCACATCCCCACAATTTAGGGTTTAGGGATGGTTAGGCTCAGTTCCGGGTTCAAAGAAGGATGGTTAGGAATGGATCCTCATGAAGTTTTCCCAACGGGCCCAGGTACCAATTCAGGTGGTTACTCGAAAGCCCCTTTGCGGTTTAAGTCTCTACTCTATGGGTAGCCGGGGGCTGCATTATCAAATTTAAACCCCTGCTCCTATGGGGAGGGTTGGTTTACTTCCTGCAAGAATGATGTCCGAGCGTGCGCTCTCGCGACTTGCGTAGCAAGCCATCGAGCATGGAAGCTGACAGCAAGTGACAGAAGCACGGCCCAGGGGCGCCGTAGCACCTGTTTTGGAAGCTGAAGTGCCAGGGCCTGTTTTTAGAGGACCCCGAACCCAGCAGCTGCTCAACTATAGCTGTCAGGGAGCATCTGCCTTCGTTTCTATTGAGGATCCTGGCAAACCGTCCACCCTAAATCAACCCTACAGGGTGTTCAGGGCCCCAGAACAGAGGAAACCTTTTTCAAGTTCCTCTTTGACCCACCTGTCACGGACTCAACCTCGATGTAGTCCCGAAACCCCTGAAACCCTGATTGAGCCCTTGCCGGCAGAGAGTAAGCCCCGAAACCCTTCTTGCGGCGACGTTACGGGAATCCCAGGTAAGATAAGGGGGACCCTTAAAGGGGGGGAACCCTGCTTATCCCTCTTCTAGCTCTCTTGAACAAAGGCCTTATTCAGAGGGTCCATATCCCCAAGGGTCCCCCTAATTCTATCCCCTAAAAAAACCTCGCAGAGTTGCAGGTCAAGTCCCACGACACAGCAGTTCAACAGTCACTGGCGAAGACTGGCGCTCCCTGACTATGGCCCCTAAACCCAGGCCCTAAACCCTTAAAACCCTAAGCCCTGGCCGTACACAGCTCATGAAGGGCTGTTTAGGTTGCGGCCTGTTTTCGTTCAGGGTGTGGAAACAAGAAGAGAGAACAAACTCATGAAAGAAGAAGAAACGAAGAAGGGGTTGAGATAGATACATCACCTGGAGGCAGAGAAATAGAGGTTGAAGACTGCAAAGTAGAAGGAGGGGAGCTGGAAGAATCAGCAGCAGTGATGGGTCCTCTTGGGTGGAGGAGCAGGTGGAGAAGGAGGAGGGGGAAGGTGGAGGAGGGCGAAGAAGACGAAGAGGAGGAGGCCAGCAAAAGGCTGGTCGGCTGCAGCTCTTCCTTTTGGGATCTCGATCAGGCGTTCAGCTCCTGCTCAACGCCTGCGTTAAGCCATTTCGGAGCCTGAGAAGCCCATGCAACCTTGCAAGCCTTTCAAACCTAAGTAGGTGCAAGTTGTGTATGGACCTGGGATCCACAACAGTTCGGGGCTAATTTTTTAAAGGCCCAAGTCTTCACGTGATCCTGCTCGGGTCGCTGAGGATCCCCTGGTTTATGATGACGGCAGCATCGACCGCAAGGTGCTTCTTGTATGGGCTTTAGGAGGTGGGCTTTTGCAGCTTTTGCAGGCCTCAGAGGGGCAGAAGGGCTTTGGGGCGGAGTTGCTTAGGGCTCAGGGAAGAGCACATCATCCTTTAAGTGCAGAACTCTCCACCATGAAGCCTCACAATCGTGAGGCGCCTTGGTCCTAAGCGCCCCAGAGTGCGAGACGCACGGAAAACCCTGTCAAAGACACCTCAAGACACCTCAATAAGATGCACCAAGCAAAGACATGCGGACACCGTGTCTGAGCGTGGAGAACTCTGACAGGACATTCCCGATCCCGGCGAACAGGTGGGCCAGCTCGCCGAAGCTCGGATGGTCAGAGAAGCCTTAGACAGATATCGCGCGTTTGCGTGCTAGTCGCTCTTACGCGCATGCTCGATTGTTCGTTGGCTTGTTTATCAGCCAGGACGGCAGACTTCCTAGGTAGGGTAAGAGGCATCCTTAAAAGGGAACCTTCTGAACCTCTTCTGGCTCTCTTAAACAGGGACCTTATTCAGAGGGTCTATATCCCCAAGGGCCCCCCCTAATCCTATCCCCTAAGACTTGATGGTGTGCTTAGTTGCCCGAGGTTCGTGTTTGTGAGTTTCATTTATGCCTCAAGTGGTGGCTGGGGTCTTCCTCCGAACAATTGGAGCTGGTACTGCCACCAGCTGTTTTCAGAGATCGGATGAGATGTGTGTGTGTGTTTCTCAATATATACGCCGTGGCAGGCACGGACTACGCAACTGAAACGAGGGTTCCCTGAACCCGAAACCCTGTCATTTGGAGCCCGAGGGACGAGCGCAAGTCTCAGAGCTGAAAGGAGAATGTGGCCCAACTTTGAGGGGCGCTGTACCTGCCACCTGATTTCTTATTTTAACTCTGAACGCCGTGGTGCTCTGCTTTAGGGATTAGGCTGTATGGCTCATGGGTACGTAGAACCCCAAGTCTCAGTCTACTTCTAACCTACTTAGAGGGCTTATAGCGGGCTTTTTCCGTTTAAAAAATGTCATACTTCGGGGTACCCTGAACCTTCGACTCCCCTCCTCTCTGTCGAGTAGGGAGCCCAGGAAGGCATCGCGAAGTTGGCCAAGAAGTGGCTTGCTGGATTTGAGGAGTACCATACTTTAGGTATTCTTTTGGTTCTGCGTTCCTATTTTTGCTGCTTATACCTAAAAGTATATACTTTTTCCAGGGTCTGCAATGCAGGGGGTGTTGCCCCGGTGCTTTTTTGACTTCCACAAACACCCGTCGCCTCAGCGGACCTCGTGGACGCCCAGGACAAACAAGAACAACCAACAAAAACAGACATCTGGATTCAGCCGCATCGCGGTTCTTGAGTCGAGAGAAGTGGCTTCCCCCCCCCCCCCCCCCCCCCCCCCCCGCAAATAGTTGCTCTTGAAAAATCAAGCTGGAAGCAAGCTTATCGCACTTCACACTCGACACAGTCCCCTCAAAGCAGAGGCGGGGCGACCAGAACATGATCAAGAAGACCGAGGGCAAGCTTCTGCAGCACGTGATGGCCGTGGATAAGATGGTAAAGGGAGCACAGGATTCGAGTGCGGGGAGCTGCTCCTGACCTCATAGAAACATACGAGTTTGTACACCCCAAGAACTGTGCAGAAACCCTCCCCTTCCCTAGCAAGCCGGGTCAGTACACGGGGGGTACACAGGGGCCTTTAAACACCAGAAGTGCCCTGCGCCAGGAGGCAGAGGAGTCTGGAGCCATGTCTGCGAGAGCAGCGTTTGTTCGTTTTTCGTTCACTGCACCCTGCAAAACCTTTTGAAACGCCTAGCGAAACCCCCTAAATTAAACTCTTAGACAGACTTCTCCAGATGGACTCCACGCAAGCCTCAAACTCATTCCCGACCCCTCCCAGAAGATTGCCACCCCAAACCGATCCTCAACCGAACCTGGTAGCTATTAAGGTAAAGGAAGCCTCCCCCCACAAAAACTTATTTTGGAAAGCCTTGGTTACTCGAAACCCTAAACCCCAAGCCGTTTTTCCCCAAGCGGAGGTGGCGACCCCCGCGAAGTCCTGGCCGACGCGCCCGAGGACGACAAAGCGGACCTCGTGGAGGCCCTCGACGCGGACACCGTAGGCGACTCGGCCTCGCCGGAGCTTGTTTGCGGGAGTTTTGGGAGGATCTCAGGGCAGTATATATAGTAGGTAGTAGATATATATATATATATATATATTCAAAATGACAGGCCAGGATTGAGTATGCCTGAGGCCATAAGGATCAAGGCCCCCTACTTTTTCCAGGATCATGAGCATGGGCTAGCAGCGCTGCCTGTGTGATAGTTGGAGAACACCTGAAACCCTAGACCCAAACCCCAAACTCCAACTGCCAGGCGGGTGCCAAAAGAGACCTTAAAGAACTTAGTAGCTGAGTGAGCATACTTTATTTTTTGGGATACTATAATCCCATATAGAACTGAAAGTTTGCACTTTTTTGGGGGCTTCTGAACTCGGCAACTAAGAGAATGCTCAGGCACGGACACGGACGAGGAAGAAACCACCGCGGATGCCTGGGAAGTTGCTGAGCTGGACGTCCCTTTGGCACACTTGCAAGAAAAGCCCCTGTCATTGCCCTATGCGCACATTGCAAAGCAGACTGTGCCTGGTCTAGGCCAAGAAAGTACGGATAGGGTACGATTTTCTCGTCAATGAGCTTACAGAGCTTTGAAGAAGCAGTCGAGCAGTTTCATGCAAACTGTGCCTTCACAACAACATTCCCCCAGGTCGACGACATGGACGCCTTCACCCGAGTCGCTGCCTCAGGTCGCTGAAGGTGCAAGTGGTGGGTCAGCGGGTTGCTCAGATCTCCAAAGAGTTCCTGGCACCCTTTCAGGGTTTTAGGGTTTCGGGAGTGCGTATGGTGTCTGTCGTTTCATAGCAATGAAAGGCAAAGGTCATTTTTTTCTTTCGCCGTTCTTTTGGAAATCGATGTCTTCACAATTCAGGTTGAATTGCGCTTGACGGAGAGTGGACTTGTGGAAACTTTTGATCGCTCAAAGAACTGTGCCCTTTCATGTTGAATACATTTCTTCCCGCATTGGTGTAGCGTAGAGATCACGTGGTAAATCAGAAGAGCGCGGCGTGCGAACCTTTCAGTCGCACACGTTCTCGATTTCTTGGAGTTTTACTCAAGTCAGAAGTTATGCTTCTGCCCGTGCAGACTGTGGCTGATGGGCCACAACCACTGCGAGATCTGCCATAAGCCTTAGGTGCCTCTTAGCAGAAGGGTTTAGGGGGTAGGGTCTGGGGTTTTTAGATTGCGTAAGGCGTTCCTTCCCCTTGGCAAGAGCATGACCCAACAGTGGGTCGTGTCGGGACAGCTTTTGATTCTGCTTCGAGGACCAGCGATGAGTCCACCCAGGGGCGGTCCTTACCATCAGGAGATCCCATGATGTTGGGGGCTAGATGAAGGGCTCCTTAACGATGAAGACTCCAACCTGCACCAGAACGTGCTGCGCTCAGCAAGGCTGCGACCATGAATTCTCCCACTGTTGCGAAGATCTTCTAAGCCGTCTAGTGCCACAACCCCACAGAGAGAGAGAGAGAGAGCAAAAAAAAACATCCCACTTGAAAAGCAGCAAAGCAGCAAGAAGCCCAAAGCAGAAGCGCCCCGTCCTCGACCACTAAACACCAACCCCCTAAACCCTTAAAGCCCCTGAATCCTCAACACTAAACCCTGGACCCGCAACCCTGAGCCCTGAGCCCTAAACCCTAAACCCTAAACCCTAAACCCTAAACCCTAAACCCTAAACCCTAAACCCTAAACCCTAAACCCTAAACCCTAAACCCTAAACCCTAAACCCTAAACCCTACACCTAAACCCTAAACCCTAAACCCTAAACCCTAAACCCTAAACCCTAAACCCTAAACCCTAAACCCTAAACCCTAAACCCTAAACCCTAAACCCTAAACCCTAAACCCTAAACCCTAAACCCTAAACCCTAAACCCCAACCCTAAACCCCTAAAAACCCCTAAACCACTGAACCCCCAGGCATCTCAGAAGCCTCCCAGGCCAAGATCTGCGACCTCCTCCCCAGCCTGCGCTGCGCCGCCTGCGGGGAGAATGCCAGCACGCTGTGGCCCTGCCTGGAGGTTTAGGGTTTAGGGTTTAGGGTTTAGGGTTTAGGGGTCAGGGTACTTAGTAACCCCACGCATAAGCCCCTTAAGCAGCCGAATAGGGTTATAATGCCTGGTTTTTTGATTGCTTGGTTTGGTTCATTCTGGCGTTTTCATCATGTGAGACTTCCATCTCAGTGGTGCAAGGCACATTTTGTTCTGGCAGAAAATCAGTATCCCGTCTGTGTGATTGCTCACGCTCGGTCTGGTGGTGCTGTTGGATGTCTCTTTCGTTTAGTTGGTGGCGGTGCTGGTGCTGTTGCAGTCAAAGGCAAGAGTATCGCGACTGCGTGGGCCGCGAGATCTCGGAGTACCAGACACTTGCAGAACTTCATGTTCTGCGCAGTGGTCGCTGTTAGCTCCCACTTGATAGAGTGCCATGCTACGAGTCCACTTCAAGTTGGCAGGATTTTGAACTGGCAGTGCTTTGTTGCCTTGTTCTGTTCTCAGAAAGGGCCGAAGTAAACTTCAACACATCCCGGAGAGACCCTATAGCAACTTTCTTTCAGTCTGCAGAAGAGGCAAAATTTTCACAGTGGACACAATACTATTGAGCGCCTATGCTTCGTTGTGGGTGGCCTTCAAACCTACCTAGGAAATCCCACTTTGCGCAGACCCAAGCTTCCAACCCTTGACCTTGAGTATCCAAAAGACTCTTGACCAAATAGCTCGCGCCAGACGTGTCTGCAGTTTTCGACCAAATAGCTCACGCCAGACTTGTCTCTGCTGCTTTTTGACCCCAGCTGTGTCAAGAGCCTGAATGAGCCCCCGGCTTACCACCACACAAACTCAGACCCCCCGCCCTCCTCTGCTCTACAAACTCCGTTTTGTGCTTTCTCATGGGTTAAACCGGTTAAACCCTAAAAAACCTTCAGCCCAAGAGCAAGAAAACTCCAACAACTTCCGGCGCGCGAAGGAACAGCCGGAAGAGACGGGCCCGCCGCGCCGAGGCGAAGGTGAGCCCGAACGTGGCAAGGGCGGCGTAAGGGTGGCGGAACGGGTGATGAAAGGGCCTTTTTTGGGGATGTTTGAAGGTTATAGGGTGTAGTAGAGGGTTTCTTTTTTGGGGGGTTAGAAGGTTTGGGTTTGGGGCTTAGGGCTTATAGGGGTTAGGGTCGATTAAAACCTCAGAGGACAGACTGCAGACATGACAGCCCAGAAAGAGGCAGGCCCCATGCTGCTTGACTCCTTGACAAAACAAACACCACACCCGCAGCAGCCCCTTTTCGAACACAATCCAAATAATGCCTTTTTCTTCCCGGGTCCCTACAAGTTTGCAGTGATTTTTCGCATCAAAAAATGGCCCCTTCCCTATTTACAGCCACAGTCACTACCCAACATTCACATGTGAAAACAAGACCTGCCACGCCCATCTCAAGTGCCCAGCCCTTTTAGGGGTTTTAGGGTATAGGGTGAAGTGTGAACAGATGCGAAACGAGCCCAGCTCCCAAGCTACTTCATGAGATCTCTCCCCATGCCATGCTCCCACAGATATGCACACCCTGTGAATCTTATGCCGCTCCTAGGCTCCAAACCCTAAACCCAAAACCCTAAACCCTAGACCCTAAACCCAAAACCCTAAACCCTATTCCGCAGAAGCTGCAAGCAAACGAACAAGGCCCCAAGCAGTCGGAAGTCTTCCTTAGGCCCTGAAGCCCCACGACAGAGAAGTGGGGAGCCGACTGTGTTTCTAGAAGTTCCTTATAACTTACAATCGCCTCTCAACCCCAAAAAGTGGTAAGCCGTAAGCCCGCTGTTGCGTGAAATTGTGCGTTTCTTGGGAGTAAGCCTCCGGTTGAAGGCGCAGATGGACGAGACGGTGCAGCGGTCCAAGGAGCGACTTGTGCTAGAACGGGGGTTCAAAGCTCCACCAGGTCCTCGTCATGATCTTTGCAGAAGTCTAAGCAATCACTTCTTCATCCCAGGCGTTATCCCGATCCCCATGCCTGGCAGGACCTAACTCACCCAGTTTGAGGCTGGCTCTGGCCCAACTCTTTGCAGGCTCCTGGTGAAGGAAAACCCTGAAATCCGAGACTCGGAGGCCCTCACTGGCCCTAACTTAACACCCCCTTCACCAAAAAAGCCAGGCTCAACCAGCCCAAATGCCCCATCGAAGTCGTAGGGTTTCCCAAACAAAAGAGTATCAAAAGGACTTTAAACGTGATCAAGCAGAACAGCAGCCCCAAAACCCAAACCCTACACCCTCGGTTGTGTCTCTTTGTTTGATCCTTCTTCTCTTTTTGTTGATCCGGATGCCCCTTATTGAAATCTCCCTAAACCCTCAAAAACATGAGACAGCACTTGCTGCTCGAAGAAGGCTCCTCGCCCCTAGACCCTTAATCGACTAAAAAAGCCCTTCAAAACCTCGCGCACAAACCTTTAAGCTGAAACCCCCCCTTAAGCATAAAATAAGCTATGCAAATAATACGTATTAAAATGTTCATAAGAGTAACAATAATAACAATATTTGTCTAAAGAATTCTGATAATCATGACAATAAAGATACCTAGCACCTGACTGAAGCCACGACCCGAGGTTGAAAAACCTGAAGCGCCGCGGGATGCTCTTGGCCCACGACGCCTTTGAGCCCCTGGGAGCTTCCTTAGGGTTTGGGGTTTGGGGTTAGGTTTTAGGAATTAGGGGTTCCCCAGCGTGTTGTGTTGGAGCTTCCCCGTAGTGAGTTCGGGGAACCCTCCTGGCGGGGGCTCACGGATTCCTCTAAGGATTAAAAACCGGAGATCGGGGTACTGTACATGCTCTGAGAGGTGAGCGAGCGAGACCGAGAAAGAGAGAAATAGAGAGAGAGAGAGTGTTTCCCAGTGTGCCAAACGGGGGAGCAGAGCTGACTAGGCAACCAAAGTTTTCGGTGGAGCAGCTGCACCCGGAGGACAAGCAGGAAGCAGGAGCCGGCGCCGGGATGATTTCAAGACATCCAAGAGGGGGCGGTGCAGGTGGACATGGACGGACCGGATGCTGCAGCCCCTCAAGCAGCGGAAGGGCTCCAAGAACTCCCTTGGCGGAATTGCACGGGCACACCCCAAAGGCCGACCTGAAAGCAGAACAGATGTCGCGGAAACTCTTGCCAGCACAGATGCTGTTCAAAAAAGCAAAAAGACACGGCAAGAGACAAAAAAGAACAAGAATTCAGGTGGGCGCTCTGTTTAAAGCAGCAACCCGACAAAACGCATGCTTCCCAACACTGCTACCTTACCAAAGATGCAATTACCCCCATGCAACCAAGATAGTGGAGGCCTGCCTGTGAATCATCGCGCGCGCTTGTAGCTGCCAGTGCTCTCATTACTCTGTCTCCCTTGCTTCTTTTCCTGGAGTTAGTGGGCGGGAGTGAGACTGGGCGAGGAAGTGAGAGCGTGAGTGAGACTGAGAGTGTGTCAGCGGCTCTAAACCCCAAAGCCCCCAGAGAAGAACTACTTAACGAAAGACTCGAACCAGTACTGCGAACCAGAAGATGAGACAAACTACGCTGCATACATGGTTGAATGGACAATGCACACAGTCATACGTATCCGCACGCATATATAGAGATGTACACACACGCGCACGCATACAGTCACACTGACACGCACACCTACAGTCTACCTTTATACATACACACACACACACACTCACTCGTATGCATGCATACATATGCTGACATTCATTTCGGTAAGACAGGCGGACAGAAAGACAAACAGACAGTGACATCCAGACACACGGACATACACTGCCTGTACATGTATAGCTAAGTGCTAACAAAAGTCTTCAACCGAAGAGCAGCAATCCACCAAGGATGTGGGGGGTTCACCGGAACTGGGCGCGATGGACCTCCGACCCCACATGGCCACTGGAGGCGTTGAAAGGCGCCCTTATTTAGGGATGCTATACAGTAAACTCCTGAAAGTTGGAACATGGTTTAAGGATGATTAGAGTTGGGGTTGCCTTTTGTATACCTTTCGGGGTATTTGGGGATCAGGATGTTCCCCCACTTCTTGGAGTTTGCCGAAGGCTTCGCTGCCCTTTCGGGTTCCCTGGTGCCTGGGCATCATCCCTCAAATCCTACAGCCTTCCCTGAACTCCAAGTCGTCAACCCTAAACCCTGAACCACCAGCAGGGCCCTTGGGATATGTTTATGTTTTCCCTTATTGGGTTTATAAGAGGATCATACTCAGGAATATTTTTGAGACGGGTTTTAAGGGCCATCCTAGACCAACATCCTAAGCCCGAAGTCCTGAACCAACATCCGAAGCCTGACGGGGCCCCGAGCCCGAAGCTTGGAGGTTCATGTGTACTTAGAACCACAGAGTCATAAGTCTACGTAGAACCTACTTAGAGGACTTAGGGGGGGGGGGGGGGGCTTTTTTAAGTACAGTTATAAGTCTCCTTATAACCTACTTAGAGGACTTAGGGGAGGCTTTTTTAAGTACAGGTATAACTGGGGTTAGAAGTATCCTGAGCCTCCAAGAGCCCTTTCCGCAAGAGGCGAACCCGCCAAGGCCGGCTGGGAGTCCTTCACCACAGACTCTCAGGCGAGAAGTTGGGGGGGTGAGTCCTCGGGCTTAGGGTTTAGGGTTTAGGGTCTAGGGTTTTGGGCTAGATTGCTCATCATCACGAGGTTCTTGTCTTCAGAACTTGCGACAACTTTCAGACAGAGATGTTCGGCGGCTTTGCTGCTGCCGGAGCCTACGGTTTTGGGCGACTATCTTCATGGCTTCTGTAGCCTCCATCCCTTCAGCCTTCCGGCCGCGGATGTCTTCGCCATGTCCTTGCTTGACGTGAAGCCGGGCAGGGTTTTGCTCCCACCCCCTTGAAGCCTGCCCCTGCCTACCTTGCAATCACCCCCGTTCGTCTTAACAGTCCACAGGCCCAGGCTAAACTTGAGCAGGCAGACTACAAGGAAAAGCTAAGAGGTTGCATGACTCACATCGGCCCTGCTATGCAAGAGCCTATGGAGAGCTACAGAACCCCCCGCCCGCCCAGCTTTCAGCTGTCGTCAGCCGCAAACCTGGTTGCACACTCCTCTTTGTAGCTCAAACGAGCAATATGGAGGTGGCAGGGAGGGGGGTGCGGGGGGTTCGCTGCAGTGGCTTCGGACGTTCTACAGTTGGGCTTCTACAGGATTTAGGGTTGAATGGGGCGCGGAATCATCCTTTGGGGGTGTGGTTTTCTGCACAGGTGATCCTTGAGACGAGCATTCAGGACGGGTCGGGGCGAGAGTTCGGGGTGTGAATGCTCTGCTTTTGGCGGACATGCGCGCCCAAATCGATCCCCATCCTTCTCCAACCATTCCTCATCCCCCAAATCATCCCTAGCAGCTGAACAGCTTCTGCCCACGAAGCTACATCGTTAAAGCCTGGAGGCTTCGTCTTTCCTAAGCATCTCCAGACCTACCAGATCTCTCCGAAACCTCTGTGGCTCCTAGCAGAATTGGGCTCCACCAATCGCCCTCAGTTTGGGGATATCTGAAGGGTCGGAGCTTGGCAGAGGAGTTCAATCCTAAACGTTTTCGAGACAAGGCTGAAGCCCAAGTACTACCAGGGTCGCACGACTACTTCGGCTCTGGATCCCAAACGCCTCCGATCTGAAGTGCGACGCAGACGGTAGCCCCCTAAGTCCTCCAAGAAGGTTCTTCGAGTAATTGGGGGGACAAGTACCCATTAACCTCCAAGTCTACCCTAAAGCCAGGGCCAACTATAAGCGACAAGTCTTTAAGGAAACGTTGAAAGCACTACCCCCGACCGTCCGCAGCCCTTTGTAGGAAGCCATCCTTCCCACTCCCACAGGATTTCCAGACCGGGGCTGTGGACATTGCCAAGGAGGCAAGGAAGCCAGTTGTTGCAGTTCTGAGCGGCTTGCTATGGTGCAGGGGGGTGCGTTATTTGTTGTTAGCCTAACTGCCCACAAAGCACAGCTTTCGTCTTGAACGTCCTTGCTCACGTCGATTGGACTTGATGAAATGACTGGGCAGAATCCGAGCTGGGGCATCTTTGACGCAAGAGGCTCGGAGGCCCCCTAAACCCTAAACCCTAAAGCCTAAACCCTAAACCTTAAACCCTAAACCCTAAACCTCGGTTTCTGCCCGCGAGCTTGCCGAAGACGAAAATTGTATGTTCTGCGCGGCTTCCCTATCTTTCCTGACCTCCCCAAGCTTGTGAGTTGCCACCTAGGAAGGGACACAGGTAGGGACCCCTAGAAGGGACCCTTTTAAAGGTGTGTGTATATGTATATATACATATATGTATGTATACCTTATATAGTCTTTCGTCCCAAGAGTTTTGGGTTTAGGGGCTGAGGGATTGGTGTAGGGAGGGGCTTTAGAAACGGTCCCTGAGAGCTGAAACCCACAGGAAGGCATGGCGAGCGCCGACACCATCTACGCTACGCACTTGGAGGACCCACTATACGGCTCAAGCGTTTTGGTCCGAACCGCAGACCCTATGCGCACTCTGAGCCCTAAACCCTGAAGCCCAAATTCTATATCCGACACAGGAAAAGCCCATACAGCAGAAGTTGCACCTTCTGCGAAGGTTGGAGCTGCTAGTTCGTTTGGAGTGCTACGCATGAGTTAGTAACTTGTGCTGGTCACTTAGTTTACCAACCAAGCAATGAAATGATCGAGTTCGGTAGTAGTGAAAGCACGAAATACACACGTAAATGCATCCATATGCAATGCAGCAGACAGACCGTCAGACAACAAACAAACGAGCAAGCAAGCACAAAACAAGCCGGCACACACACACACACACACACACACACACACACACACAGACACACACACACGCACGCACGCACGCACGCACGCGCACACACACACACACACACACACACACAGACGCAGACGCAGACACAGACACAAACACCCGTGCACGCACACGCACACAAGCAAGCAAGCAGGTAAGCATACACCCAAATACACAACTAGTCGAACGCATGCATTCAACAGTCAACACACAACGATTCAAGAAAGCAAGCGAATGCATACGCAAAGACACATGGCTAGATGAACACATCAACTGGCAATCAAGTTAACGACCTAATGAGCTACTTGATGAAGTGCTTGCTTCATTGCTTTGGAACTTCTTAACTTGCTTTGGACTGGTTGTGGTAGGTTAGTTACTCAACTAGTCAGTCACTTGACTGACGGGCTGATTCATGGGAAAATAAATGAAGACAAACACATACCCAAAAGCCAAGTTTCCATACATGAATCGCTTCGGAACGTTTTCCCTGCTTGAGGACCACGTGGCCGAGGCCATGGATATCAAGGCTGGCGGTGAGGACGCCGAGTTTCCTATCCACTAACTATTTGTTGTCCTGTTGTTGTGGGAGTGACAGGTTCTTGTTTGCTTCGTTGTTCTTTCTTTGTGGTTTTGGATGGCTTCCAAGTTTCAGTATGGGGTTGGGCTTGTGCATGTTTGTTGGAGCTGCGAGCACCGCCAGTACACGGCCCGGCATTTGAAGGTCATGGTGCCGTCCTTGCCCCCAGTGCTTCAGAGCTTTGAGGGCGTAAGGTTTCTGTGCGGTTGGCTCAGCAGCATGACCACAACAAAACTACGCAGATAGGACAGATGGCCAATGGTCTCTAGACCTCAGCCGCAAAAGCATTCTTGCCTTAGAATTCCCAGCAAGTGTCTGGCGCTCTCATGGGTCGTGTCCCGGAGGACCTGATGGCTCGGGCTGGCGATCTGCAGCAGCAAGGAATGACAATGATGGGGGACGCCGAGGGACACTCGTTGCCAAGCCAAGTTTGCGACTTAAATTTGTTGGCCTTGCTTGCGACTGACGCGTTTGACCGTTTGGGTACAAGACCCCTTGATTCTCAGTAGGGCTTGAGGGCGTGAGGCACCTCTCATATGCCCCTACTTTGAGGGGACCTCATATCCTCCCTTCCCTACGAAGAGCCAGTAAGAAGAGGCAGAGAGTCCAGGGATTCCACCGAGTTTAGGGAAGTCTTAGTTTATATTGGGGCTAAACCCTAAACCCCAAACCCCAAAAACGTAAGGCCCTCAGGACGAGGCTTCCCGAACACGAGGGGAAAAAACCCAAGAACCAAGAAACGACACAACACATTTGCCCATCCGCACGCCCCACCCACTCCCCCGCACTTCCCTGTCAAACACCAAGGGGGTTCCATCGGGACGGCTTCCTGGGAGGGAAAGGTTCTTATCCTTCATTCCCAATCACTCCAGCCCAAAAAAACCCCGCTGCCCCGAAAAAAGTCGAGTAATAAATGTTGTGATTAATTGATATTAAGATCAATAAAAACAAATCTTGATGAATGAATACCATGATGATGAATCAGTATTGTGGCTAATTTCTAGTATGATTAATTTCCATCACGACCAACAAATATTATGACTAAAAGAAGAAATATGATTCATGAATATCATGATGATCTGAGTAATTACTATTCTTCAATATTATTAATACATTGGAATGGTCCCCCGTATACATACAGTCCTGAATCGGGATTATAGTACCCCTACTAGAATCCCGATGCAGGACTGTTGTTGTATGGGGGACCTTCCCAATTGATACATATTATGCTTAAAGACCCTAAACCCTCAACCCTAAACCCTTAACCCTTAACCCTTAACCCTAAACCCTAAACCCTAAACCCTAGCCCTAAACCCTAAACCCTAAACCCTAAACCCCCCCCCCATATGATTCAGAGAGTCCTTTCAGTCCGACCAGCCAGTTCTCAGGCACCATGGCGGAGGCTCAGGCCATCCAGGCCGATGGCCTCCAGCTTCAGGCCGATTTAGGGTTTAGGGTTTAGGGTTTAGGGCTAGGGTTTAGGGTTTAGGGTTTGGGGTTTTGGGGTTTTAGGGTTTAGGGTTTCGGGGTTTTAGGGTTTTAGGGGTTTAGGGTTTTAGGGTTTGGGGTTTTGGGGGTTTAGGGCTTTAGGGTTTCAGGGTTTTAGGGTTTTAGGGTTCTAGGGTTTTAGGGTTTTAGGGTTTCAGGGTGTTAGGGTTTTGGGGTTTTAGGGTTTAGGGCTTGTGTCAATTCCGTACTTCCATCGAGTCTAGGGACTACAGTTTAGGGCGTGGTTCGCTTCTTCTTCTTCTTCTTTTTCTTTTTTTTTTGGGGGGGGGGGGGGGGGGGTGGGGGGGGTGGGGGGGGGGTGGGGGGGAGGGTGGGGGGGGCGTGGGGGGGGGGGGTGGGGGGGGGGTGGGGGGGGGGGGGGGGGGGGGGGGGGCGGGGGGTGGGGGGGGTGGGGGGGGGGGGGGGGGGGGGGGGGGGTGGGGGGGGGGGTGGGGGGGGGGTGGGGGGGGGGTGGGGGGGGGGGGGGGTGGGTGGGGGTGGGGGTGGGGGTGGGGGGGGGGGGGGGGGGGGGTGCTTTGTTGTGGTTTTGGTTTTTTTGCCCCCCCTTTTTTGGTGTGTTTTGGACCTCGCACCAGGCAGAGATGCAAGAAACCTCGGCGGCTCTCCAGACGGAACTGAACCTGGGGCAGCCAGCAGGATGGGTGTGTTTAGGGTTTTTAGGGTTTATAGGGTTTATAGGGCTTATAGGGTTTATAGGGTTTATAGGGTTTATAGGGCTTATAGGGTTTATAGGGTTTATAGGGTGTATAGGGTCTTTAGGGTTTATAGGGTTCAGGGTTTTTGCGGTTTGTGGGATTTTGAGGGTTTAAGGTTTATGGTTCTAGGGTTTAGGGTTGAGCTCCTTTGTCTTACTGTTGGCTAATCGGGAATGAGGGAATGAGGTACCGTGTGTCCCCCTAAGGTCCCCTATACATACCCTTTCAGGGATTTCTAGGGATTTTAAGCTCATTCCCTCATTCCCTCCTAACCCTAAAGCCTAACAAGTTGTTCCCACCTCCAAGCAAGGAACCATTGCCAGCAGCCGCCGACGCCTTTTCAGCCCAGCCAGTGCAATCCAGACGAGCTTCTGGGCCGTGCAGTTTTCAGGGTTGAGGGTTTAGTTTAGGGTTTCGGGTTTAGGGTTTAAGGTTTCGGGACTAGGGTTTAGGGTTTAGGGTTTAGGCGTGCTAAGCATGCATGAGGTCGTGCCTCCTTGGTAACATGTGCATGTTTTTGTGGACGCCCTCTAGAAGACCTTCAGGGCAGTGTTTCAGACTATAGCTCGGTTTCTGCTGGCAGTCATCAAGTCCGGTTTCAAAAAAAAGGGTTTAGGGTTTAGGGTTTAGCGCGTTTAGGCTCTAAAAGGCTACCAAGGCTCGATGGGGTTGAGGGCATTGCTGTCGCTTGGGTTGGCTTTTACCCTTTCTTGAAGGGTCCCATTGCCCAAAAAGAGTTTAGGGTTTAGGGTGCAGGGTTTAGGGTTTAGGGGCCCAAGAAGCTGCCAAGCATGGCATAAGTTAGCAATCGGACCCTGCGATTTGCGGCTTTACTCACGGGTCTTCAGTCTTCTCACTGTTGCTTCGCCGCATGGACCGTCGTTCACTTACCCTAAACCCTATCCCCTTGGTTATAATTTAGCGTTGCCGGGTGTAAATGTGCGGTTCTAGATCCCCAAGCTCGCATCTAGACAACATTCGCCCCATCTAGCAAAGGAAGTTTAGGGTTTAGGGTTTAGGGTTTAGGGTTTAGGGTTTAGGGTTTAGGGTTTAGGGTTTAGGGTTTAGGGTTTAGGAAGGGGAGAACGGCGCACTCACCCGGACCACCGGAAGAACTGGGAGAAGACGAAAGTCAGGCAACGGCCACGATAACGGGGGTGGGCCACGCCAGGTTAACCAACGAGGGTTTAGGGTTTAGGGTTTAGGGTTTAGGGTTTAGGGTTTAGGGTTCAGCTCGCTCCGCTTGAACATCTCTTTCACGCCGAGCGAAGCCAGGAAATCTGGGCGCGCCGGAGTGCGCGGGGATTGGAGAGGGTGACCCCCTCCTCATGCCTGCAGCAGAAGAACAAGACGCATTGAACAAACTCACAAGTCCAATAGGAAGAGGTCTTGGAGTCAAAGCACCCCCTAAATCCCACAAGTTGCAAGCACCCTGGGGAAAACGCCCACGCCTGCCACGCGAGACTCACAGAAAAGCCCACTCATGAGTCCAGAGGCTAAAGCCCTCAACGGATCCTCCAAGCCTAGAGAACTGCGGTGCAACACCCTAAACCCTACGCCCCCCAAAAAAGGGCACCATAAGCCTAAACCCTAAAGGCCCTAAAGAACCAGGACCCCGGCATTGCAAGGATCATGCGCCTGAGCAACGAGATGGATGGGCATCGGCAAGAAGCCGAGGTGGACGGTTGGACACCGTGTGATGCCGGGGGGGGGAGGGGGCCTTGAAGGGGTAGAAGATGTTTGCGAGAGACTCAGGGTTTAGGCTTTAGGCTTTAGGCTTTAGGCTTTAGGCTTTAGGCTTTAGGCTTTAGGCTTTAGGCTTGAGAGAGAGAGAGAGAGAGAGAGCAAACGCTTTTGCCTCTTTGTGTGTGGCTAAGATGGCCATAGGGCAATGTGCTGGGCTTGCCTGTTTCCCTGCTTGCCAACTCCCTAAACCCTAAACCGAACCCTAAACCCTGAACATGCCGTTCAAGACTAGAGAACTCTAGCAATTGAGGCTGTGCGATTCAACCTGTTCTTTGGATCCACATCGGGTTATGTCCTTAGGGATTCTTGGATTTTCTTTATTTTGGGGTACTATAATTCCTAAGAAAAAAGCTAAGTAAAAATTTTTGCTAGGGTGCCAAATTCAGTATAAATTGCCTCACGCCTTTCGCGTCCCCGACCATCTATGCAGGCACTGAACTGGATAACGCACATTGTTTGGGATGTTCCCCCTTATACTAACAGGCCTCGAAAGGGATTCTAAGAGGGGGGGGGTACGATAATCCCGATTATAAGGACTGCAGTATAATCCCTAAACCCTAAGCCCAAAGGGGGGGAGCATCCCAACGTGCCCCCGGTGTTGGATCGCAAGTGGCAGGCTTTGGCTGATCGCAGCTCTGCGCTTTCGGAGGAAATGCAGGCTGGAATCGTGCGTGGCTTCGGCATTCATTCTCACCTTCTCCCAGTCAGGCAACATACTGGGCAGAAGTGCCATGTGGCGGTGCTCCTGTTGCGAGCGCGGGGGGGTCCTGGGCTGGCAGGGGGTGACCCCGCTCGCTCCGCTAAGTTGCTTCAAAGATGCCAAGAATCGTCGCGAACTCTGAAGCCTCGGAACACCTGCAGGCACATGCTGAGGAGGCTGACGTGATGGCCCAGGACTGACCGTGATACCTGCTTTGGATCCGAAGTAGTCGTAGTGGATGTATGTTACCGGAGGGTGTTGGAATTGTCCGACACGTCTGTTCTGATTAGGAAATGCCTAGGCATGCGAACCCAGAGACTCCACAACCCCTTAATCAAGGAACATCCCTTAACTTGCAATAGGATCCCCAATATGACTAAGGTATATTCCTTAATTAAGGGGGTTTGGAGTCTCTGGGAAGATGAGCCGCAACAAGGGACACCATACTGAAAGCGTAGAGCAAACGCTGTGATGCCACAAGCACCCGGCCTCGCGCCGCTTTCCATGAAAATTCCTATAGGGCGGTTTGTGCCACCCTAAAAAACCCTATACCCCATGAGCCTTAAACACCCCTAAGCCCGAAAAAAAGACCACCAAGCCCTAAACCCGGAACCCCAAAAAAAAGACCGCCAAGCCCTAACTAACCCGGAACCCTCAAAAGGAACCCTAAACCCTAAACCCTAAACCCGGAACCCTCAAAAGGAAACCACCGGGGAGGGCTTCGTTTTGAACCCCAGGAGGCCCAGGCGATGGCGGCCGACGCGGAGCAGCTCCAAACCCAAGCCATGGCGCTGAAGGATGAGGAGTCCCCTCATAAAGGGGCTGAAGAGTCCCAAAGTAGGGTTTAGGGCTTGAGGATGGTTTTATAAGGGCTTAGGGTTCAGGATTTTTAGGGTTTAGGGCTTAAGGATGCCCTTATTAGGGCTTAGGGTTCAGGATTTTTAGGGTTTAGGGTTTAGGGTTTAAGGCTGAGGTCCTCATGAGGGCTGAAGAATCCCAAAGTAGGGCGGAGGGTGTAGGGCTTAAGGATGAGATCCTCACAAAAGGGCTTATACGTACTCCCTAAAGTAAGCCTTAAAAAAAAGCCCTGTCTAAGGGTTTAGGGTGGGGGTCCAGGGTATTTTTTTGGGTGGGTTTAGGGCTTTAGAAGGGTGAGGTCCTCATCTTGGCAGCTGGGTCTGGCTCCAGCCATTCGAACCTTCTCACAGCAACCAGTTTTTGGTGAGGGATGTTCCGATGTTCCCCCGGGATACTAACAGTCCGTAATAGGGATGGTAGTAGGGGGGTATTCCTACTAGGGACTGTTAGTATATAGGGGAACATCCCAAGTGATTGCATTTCTTCTGTTGGCAACGGGGTTTCGGGATGCCAACTCGTTTACCTCCGGCACCGAAACTCCGACCCTGGCGTCGCGCTCAAGTCATCCATAGGCGCCCGAAACAAAACTCGAAAACCCCAAAGTTGCTTCCCAGACATTACTGAATCCACACTGGGGTGCGCACAAGAAATCAGAGCTGAGCCTTTTGTAGGTTGGGTGCGGGAGTTTCGTATCTCGAATTTGGGTTTCTTCGAGGCCTTGGCGGATCTGACCTCCAGCGAGACATTGCAGGCGCCATGTGGCACACAAGACCCAAAAAGCCGATACATCTTGGGGACCAAATGAACCGTAAAAGTGGGGTCATATACCCCGTACTACTATAATTCCTATTAAGATCTGTTGAGGTATATGAGCCATAAACCCTTTTAGGGTTCATTTCGTCCCCAAGGCAGACATAGACACAGTTTAGAAGGCTTCGGGGGTTTCAGGTTTAGCGTTTAGAAATGTGCTGGCGCCCCTGGTGGCCAAGGCTAACCGGCTGCATCCCACGTGCTGTCATGCTCCTTATGTCTGCAGCATGCAACACACGTTTTTCGTCAGCCAGTGCCGCTGCAACTGCCTTGAGAGGCGGTGGCCGCTGAGCTTCAGGACCTTGATGTTTTCGGTTCTTTCTTTGGAAGCTAGGCAGGCCCTTTAGGTGTTGAAACTTAAAAATCAATATATTATTTATGAAGGATTTTCCTTTGGCTTCAGCTGTCTCCACATGTTCCTCTCCTATAAGATGGTGTTGGCTTGAACTTGCAAGTTGAGCCCCCGGGAAGTACAGGGATCCTACTGCAAGCAGGGCCCTAAACAGGGGAAGCAGGGGGTGACCGGCATGTGTAAACAAAAATGCAGCCCCACCTGCATAAGGGGAGAGCGCCAGGACTGCGCTCAGCGGATTGCCACGCGAGTCGTGGACCTGGCAGCACAAACAGCCGAGCAGGTGACAACCCAGACGCTTGGAAAGGCCAAGGGCTGGAAAAAAGCGAACCTCAAACCCTAAACCCTAAGCCCTGAACCCTAAACTAAACCCTAGCTCTTCGGAGATGGTGCTGCGGATACTAAACCCTAAACCCTAAACCCTCCTCCCTTTGGGAAAAGGGAATGCGGGAGGATGCTTAAAAGGGACGCCGAACTACGGGGAGCTTCTAGCTCCCTGTCTGCATGACCTTATCGTCGTGACATTAGGGTTTCGGGTTTAGGGTGTAGGCTTTGCTGAGCTTTCTTGCGGCAAGGCTGCGCCAATAAATCGGTGTGGTCCACGCTGTGCAGTAATACTGGGGTCGGAATAATTTCTGATAGTATTCCCTTATGGCACCTTTATCTTTATACTACAAGAATCACCATAACCCTATTCTAGTTATTCAGGTCCCTAAATTACTCCTCAAGCTAGCAGCTGGGCTCAAGGTCCGTGGATCCCTGGTTTGGTAGGGGGAAGGAGATGTCTTCACACGCGTGAAAATAGGCCATCTACACAGTCTAAAGCATGAGCACAAGAACCGACCCGAAGACTCAACCCTAAACCCTAACCCCTAAACCCTAAACCCTAAGCCCTAAACCCTAAACCCTAAACCCTAAACCCTAAACTGAAGGATTCAACCAGTCCTCCGAAAGAAAGGATCCTGGCCCTGGTCCCCGACCTCTTCTTCGCCTGCCTCGAAGCGGCTCTGGACTCGAGGGCCTTCCTGGGCTTAGGGGGGGGGACTCTGTTGGGTAGATAGGGTTTAGGGTTTAGGGTTTAGGGTTTAGGGTTTAGGGCTTCAAGGGAGTTTAGGGGGTACCTCTGAAACATTGGGTAGATATGTTCAGGAAGGAAAGCAAGCGGGTTGATCCCTGTACATGGTCAACGGGCTCTATACCGAGATATCCCCAGCCAACACCCCTTGAAGCATGGAATTTGGTTCTCCTGATATGGTTCAAGAAGGATAGTCTTCGAGTAAGGGATACAGGGGGTCTCTCTGGGTTCGTACCCAACTTACCCATCCAGTCCATCAACTCATCGCCTTGTATCCTGCAACAAAGATGAATTCACAAGCCCCTTTCTTTCTCTAAACGTTCCCGCTTTGAACCGTAATTCGTGATAGAGTCCATCCTGTCCACATCCGGACCTCGTTCCAGGACATCATCACTGGCTTCGGGTGGATCATCACCGCTGCACGTGTCACCTACATGCTGGTGAAGTGCCCCAGGGACGGCTCGGGTACAGAGCCTGTGGTGATGTGAACACATGGACTTTGGCTTGGGTTTTGGTGGGGGGGGGGGGGGGGGGGGGGGCTCCTGGCCTTGTGAAGCGGGCGCATGAGGAACTTCGAGTTGTGGAGTTTTTCACAGTATCACCCTCATCTGTGAACCCCAACCACTTCAAAGCTTCCCTGGCCCTGACCATCCTGAAGCACCCAGCTTTTAGGGATTAGAGCGAAATGTTCAAGGTCGGTGGGCAAAGAAACCTTAAGCCTTGGACCCTGCCTTTCGCAAGGTATGCCTACAAGAAGTACAAGGAGTGGCGGGACACGAGGAGACCATGAAGATAGCATGTGCATCGCTGGGTTTTGGTGCATTTCATGATACGGGGTTCTCCGGCAATAGGGTGCACCTAGTTGGGGTCCTTACTGCACTAGGCTTTTTTCACCCCGGGGCTTGATGCCATGACAGCCAGAGGTTTCCTTCTGCATTGCAATCTTGGTTCAGGTGAGACGGTTGAGAATTCACAGCCCCTTCTGAGGGGTTTCACATTGCAACTTGCAAGATGGTTGTGAGCCTTTGGGGTCTTGTACCCTGAGGAACACAGAGGAGGACACGCGTCCGACAGAAAGGCCCAAAACCTTGGCAGCCCAGCGGTACCCTTCTCCCTTTCTTTGGCTCAAGGTTCCCTTATAAAGTAGCCAACCAAAAACAGGGTAGCCGTAGTATAAGATGGTTCCTGGGCTACCAAGAACCTACCACCCAGCCATCCCCAAGAGGAGCCAACGAGACCCATCTCTACAGAAGGGTTCAGGGTTTAGGGTTTAGGGTTTAGGGCTTCCACAAGGGGTCAGAGATAATTAGTGCCCTCCGGCTTCAGACGTGCTAGGACTCGAATGCTTGCAAAAACGCGATACAGACTGTTAACTTAAGCCCGAGTGCTCAAGCGTTTTGGCCCTCTTAGACAGGAAGCAGCAGCTGTGTGGCAAGACGCCCCAACTGGATTGCTGTGTGGGTACGGTCATGTCGTGGTATGACCAGTGCCTCTGCCTAATATGCGGTAGTTTTGGCCTAGATACCTGGCAGCTGTTCGAAGCTCCAGCTCCTCTTTGGCGGCCCTTGCCTTAGTCTCAGATTACTCCCAAAATACAGGAGATCCCCAAAAGCTCACTTTTCCCAACTCCGATTTCAATGCTTCGGGATCAGCGCTGCTTCGATCACAGCTTTCATCCGAGGAAGCAGCCCAGCACCAGGCCTGTAAAGTTTTCCCATTTGCCCGCGGAGTCCCTGCCCCTGCTTACTCAGGGGATAGCACATCTGCGAGCTGCAAGTGTCAGTACTGTAGCCTCATGGCCTAGAAGAAACACACTTGTTCCTCGAGGAAACCTTGCCGTCACTGAGTTGAAAGGGACTCGGGGTTAGCGGCTAGGAATGTTCCCACGATATGCCACGTCCAGCTCCTCCCTACCCACTGGCCCTCTGAACCCTTCCCCAGCAGCCTGACACAAGGCAAGTCCTTGCACAGCGGAAGACGGAAGCCGAGTTCCGTGCTGACAGATGCTTGCACTGATTGTGTGGAGATCTTGTAGAACCTTTCGGGGTTTTGGGTTCTTCCGCTACAGCAGAGCCTAGATTTCCGACACCGAACCCCAAAAGGAGCCCCCGAAGGCCCTTCAAAGGGCTTGATTGAGTGAGGCCTATTGACGGAAAATCTCAGGTTTGGGGTTCAGGAAGAACTTGCAGCTCTAGGGCTTCCACCTACAGCTATTCCCCGCCGCAATCCCTTCATGCTCTACTAGGTAGGCCCTTGGCGCATTTTATATTTTCCCTTGTGGGGTTTAAGCGGATCATATTCAGGAATATGTAGAAGAGGGGTTTAAGGGCCATCCTACTCAAGAGTCAGCTTGAGGCCATACCATGCCACACTTGACACCTGGGCTCGGGCGTAGAATGGGACATTCACTTCGCATGAGCGTTGGAAGCTCGTCAATCTGAGAACTCTGAGCCCTGAACCTTGGGCGCCTAGCAGCTCATCTTGCTCAGATGACTCAGATGTCCCGCTTCGTGGCCGTTCCCAACAAGCTCCAGGAAGCCCCAGTCCCTCACCAGCGACGTCAACCTCCTTCCGGACCCCAAGCTTCCCTAAACCCTAAACCCTAAACCCTCATCGGGAAACCATGAGGTCAGTGGATCCTGGCCAGGAAGCTCCAGGTCCCGAGCCTCGGACGTGAATCACAACTCTCAGAAACTGTCAGGGTTTGGGGTTTGGGGTTTAGGGTTTAGGGTTTGGGGTTTAGGGTGGCATCCTCAAAGTCCGTTGCTCAAGAAGGGTTGAGGGTTTAGGGTTTAGGGGGGTGCGTTGAACCCTTCTATCTAAGTGGCCCCTCCAAATTCCCCCCCCCCCCCGCCCCCGTAGCCAAAAAAATTCTCTCAAACCCTAAACCTTGATGGCACAGTATCCTCATCCCCAGGCATCGCTTGGAAAATCCCCAAACCCTGTGCCACCCACAAGACTCCTCCAGGTTTGGGGCTTAGGGTTTAGGGTTTAGGGCCCCATGCCCTAACAATCCCTATTACGACCCCAAATACACCAACCCAGCCCGACCAAAAAGGAATTGGAATCTTCGGAGATCCCTTGTTCCCGAGGAACTCGTGCACGCCTTGGTCCTTGACGTTGTTCGCAGAACCTTTGGACGACGAAACCGCGAGGGTGATCCTGGCCAGAGCGCCTCGTCTGCCAAGACCCTCAACCCTAAACCCGAAACCCAAACCCTTAACCCTCTCGTTGGGCGATTTTGGGGTTGGGGCATGGGTTGTGGGACGGTGTGAGGCCGAGGGTCTATTCAATTTAATCGGAGTCTAGGAGACGGCTATCGGCATTTCCACACAGAGGGGGGATGGGTTTTCGGGACACTCGAAGTCCTACTCCACAGATCATCCAAAACAGAAAACGCACATCTGGCCCAATCACCCCAGTGACGAAGGTTGTGCATCCCACTCTGTGCCAACCCCAAACTAGATGCAGAAACACCCGAAATTGATGCATCCGAAAAATCATGATTCCTTCGGGTAGTCACAGATTAAAACGTAAACCCCCTCTACTCTTAGAGGAAGTCTTGAGTAGCTAGATGGAGCACTTTTTGGCTGAGGGAAGTCAACACCTCTCAGCCTATGTCTGTGAACATGTTCTTTCGATATCTAGGCATGTTCTGAGGACATGTTATGTTTTCATATATTTGGGTTTAAGAGGATCATGTTCAGGAATGTCTTTCAGACGGTTTTAGGGGCCATCCTAGATATGCAACTTGGTTTTCGCACCGCCCTCAGAAGTAGAAATGCATGAGGTCTTCTTTCCGTCCACACGTCTTGATGATCTTCTTACATTCACTTCTTTCCGTTTGCCATTCTGTTCTCGCACGGAGAGTCACGTGACCACATTCTAGGTCTCCTTGAAAGTCACCAACCCCCAAAAATGGGTACCCTTAGTAAACCATGGTTTCCTGGGTTATTGAGGCATTCTAGTTTGAAGCCTAAACCCTAAACCCTAAACCCCCACCCCCCCCCAGCCTCAGGAGATGGCTCAGAACGCCCCTGCCATCTTCACCCGCCAAATCAGCACCTACTCCTGGTTCGGCGTGGGCCCCTCGATTGCTTCCCCGGTAGTTTTTGGTTGCGCTTGGAGGTGTCGAAGTTGTGGGCGACGTCTAAGGATTCCATGCCTCGTTCGCGTCAGTGCTCAGTTTCCGGTCTGCATGTACTCCTCTTGAGCTCACGGAGACTTTCTTTGTGTGGTGCGAGTTTGCGCACGTGTTTGCTTTGCTTCTCTCTATCTTTATAACTTTGGTTCGCGTCTTGGTCTGAGAGTCTGATATGTCCGTCCGGGCTTCTGCCGACTCTGTGTTGATATTCGTCCAGTCGTTTCTTTGTATATCCATTTGCCGTTTGTTTGCATTTATCCAATTCTTCTGACCGACATCCCTTTGTGGGTCCCGTGGTTGCTTCTCCCTGCTAAAGCATGTCGCTCCCTCAACAGACTTCTTTGGCTCTTCCTCGCAGAGGGTTCCTACACTCAGTTTCGGCCTTAGGGCTTCGGGTTTTGGAGTTTAGGGTTTAGGGTTTGCGGTTTAGGTTCTAGTGCCTGGTACGAACTTCTTGCGCACGCGGCGCTGGCGTTTGCACTGGTGTGGGCGTGTTGTTTTGGCTTCTTTCCGCTGCAGCATCCTAGAGTGAGGGCGTCTTCTTTGCGTCATCATTCATACGGGAGGGCTGTTGAAAAAGCATTCGCGTTTTCAGAGACTTCAATCTAGTACATTCCATCTGTTTGTGGTGACCCTCACAGAGGTCCCCAAAACGATGGTGTGGAGTCTGAAGTTGACTTTCGCAATCTGCTAAAGGCCTCTCTGGGCCCCCTGGAGCAGGAATCTCAGCCCGATTCAAACTACCCTGGACATGTCCGGCTTAGGGTTTAGGGTTTAGGGCCAACACCCCAAAGTTACATCCGCGAGACGTGCCTTGTTCAGCCCACACCGCAGCCTCCGAGGAAAAGGGTCACTCAGGCTCAAGGACGACACGCGGCTAGTGGTCGCCAGGCGGGGTACAGTTGCTTAGGTTTTGCTGTGAGCTGTCAGTGTCAAGGTTGAGGAAGAGTAGCCCTAAGCCTAAAGCCTAAGTACCCAACATTGCAAGAGCCAGGGAACAGGGCTTACGCCCCCTTCAGAAGTTTGCGCTTGCGGGAGCAAACCACAAGCCACGAAGAGCCGAAATAGGAGGCCGCAACCATCCCTGGGCACAATTACGATGAGTCGTTTAATCATAGATACTGAGTTCCTTCTGTTTTCTCAGGGTTGCACTTTTCAGGTCCTTCTGGTTGGGGGGATGGCGAGGGTTGGGGTCTGTTGGGGATTGCTATCTCGGCCTTGGGTGCTTGTGATTCTTGGTAGCGATGGTTGGTTCTAGCCATTCATGTAAGGTGAACAATTCAAACTGTGACCTTATCGTTCTTTTCAGCGGTATGCAGGCCGCATATTGCTGTTTTTCGCAAAATCCCTCCAACCCAGAAGACGGCTTAAGCATCCATGCCACACTGTGTGTAGGATGTGAACGCGGGCACCTGTCCGCTAAACACCTTGTGCTTACAGTAATCTTTGCACACGCGCACACTCATCCCACTCCAACGGCCACACCCACATGCCAAAATCATGCCTCCTTTCCCTCCTGACCCCTAGGCCTTCCACGCCCAGCGTTCCCATTTTCAAAGTATATTATGCTCATAATATTATAGGTATATTCCTCCTTTCCCAGATAGTGAGCCAGTAAGTAGCAAGCCGTTCTTGAGCTGGTCAGGTCGAGCTTCTTGATCGAGTGGCCCAGGAAGAAGCGCCAGAAGCGGGCGCGAGTACTCCGCTGGAGCACCGGATGCGACGACTTCCTGCCTCTGAATCTTTGTCGGGTCAAGAGCTGCGAGGTTCCAGGGTTGTGGCTTTGGTTGCTGGTTGCGTGTGTGTGTGTGTGTGTGTGTGTGTGTGTGTGTGTGTGTGTGTGTGTGTGTGTGTGTGGGTGGGTGGATGCGTGAGAGTGTTTTACGTGATGATTGGTCTGTTTTGGGGTTTGCTGACGTGCATTCTGCATCATGGCCTCCCCCTCTGAAGCCAAGAAGAACCTTCTCCCGCGCTCAGTCTTCAGTACATTGTACATACCCAGTGGCCTAGTGGCTTGTGTATTTCCGTAGTATTCCAAAGCACCCCACAGAAGCCACACTCTATTCCTGACATATTCTATGTATATGTGCAAGAATATAGAAATATAACTATACATATATGTATGTATAAAAATACACACAGAGAGACTCGCACAGACAGACGGAAAATCGAGGAAAGGAGGCTCCCAGAACAGCAAGGGCCTGCGCGCCAAGCGCAACAACGCCTCGCCTCTGGGAGTGCGCTTCAAGTTCGGCGGGGGCTCGAGGTCGAGCAGGACCTCGCGCGCATGCGGGGGGGTTAGGGTCTTAGAGCCTCAAGGGGTTAGGATCTCGAGAGTCGGGGGTCCCTTCGTCTTGGTGCCTTGAGCTAGGCTCACCATTTTGGGAATACATTTTGGGAGTCCTGATGTGTGGCTAAGGCAACATACAGGAGGAATCTACCAAAAAAGACCTCTGACCTCTGAGAATTTCGGTGATGTTATGCTGCCTTCTTTGCGGGGTTACAGCTGCCTCACCTCCTTAGGCACAGCCCAGACCCTACTTTGGACGTTCATGGGCACTTCTAACCTTGTATTGTAACCGTACTCATAAGCCCACAGCTAAGTCATCTCAGTAGGTTGTAAGTAGACAGTTGCAACGGTACTTATAAGCCCCCCTAAGTCTTCTAGGTAGGTTCTAAGTAGACCTCTGCGGGTCATAAGTACCCCTAATGAGCCTCTAAACAAAGCCCCGAATGCCACCCAGGGGTCAGGGGTCTCACTATTCCTCGTCAATCTGCTCAGCCTTAGGTTGGCCAATTTCAACCCCAAACCCTAAACCCTAAACCCTAAACCCCAAACCCTAAACCCTAAACCCTAAAAACTCTGCCCCAAACCCCAAAAAGCCCAAAAGAGCAGGGTTCTTCAACGCGCTGAGCCCTGAGCCTCTCCACCTTACCCCCCTCCTCTCCGTCCACCGGAACCTGCCGTTGTTGTTTTGGTTTCTTTAACATGATGTCTTGGGCAGTCTAGGTTTAGGGTTTAGGGTTTAGGGTTTAGGGTTTAGGGTTTAGGGTTTAGGGTTTAGGGCTACCCTATCCCTACCCTACCCCACCCCCCCCCCCCCAATCTCTTGCAAAAGGGGCTGCTCTCCAGGAGCTTCGACATGGCCTCGGACTCCGAGAGCATGTGCTTCCTGGCCAACGCGCCTCGCCTCGGCAGAAAATGCTCCCAAGAGGACTTAGAAGTACTGTAGTAGGGGGCCTTAGTAGTTTAGGAGAATTGAGGGTTTAGGGTTTAGGTGCCTCAAGAGGACTTAGAAGGAAGTACTGTAGTAGGGGGCCTTAGTAGTTTAGGATAATTGAGGGTTTAGGGTTTAGGTGCCTCAAGAGGACTTAAAAAGAAGTACTGGTAGGGGCCTTAGTAGTTTTAGGGTTTGGGGTTGAGGGTTTAGGGTCTAGGGCTTTTGCACACGAAACCTTTTAGCCTTTACTATCGCGGCCTTAAGAATTAGAACCTTTAGTTTTTTTTTGGGGGGGGAGGGCGGATACTTAGAGTATATTGTATATAGGGACCGTTAACTTTTCAAGTGGCCAAGACCCCAGGCGATGCGCCGCAAACGCTGATGCTACTTAGAATTTTGGACGCAGAATTGCTTTTCACAACGGCCAGTGTGGATGGTACGATGACGAGGCGGCAGCTCAATTATGTTCTTAAGCGCTAAACCCTGAACCTCAACCGGCTGTTTCGAGCACCCGGAGGCTCACAAAGCATCATCTCCCATGCTTCCAGCACCAGTTCTCGGCATCCGCCTCACGTTGCCCCAAAGCATAGCCCTGCACCCTACCTCAAATGCGCCTGGGCATTCGCTGAAGCTGCAAAAGCAACCCTCTATCCAAACTCCAATCTACACCCAGGGACTTAATAGAAAAAGCCCCCAGAATCTCGGCATCTAAACTGTCCAGTCACCTTCGGGTACACCCCGAGAACTCTTGCACCTGAAGATTCGAGGCGATGTGTCGGGCGGCCTGTTACAAGCCCGAGGCTCCTTTCCGAGCTTTCGTAGAAGGCTTCGGGTTTGGCAACCCTCAACCCTGAACCGAAAGGGCCTCCTTCTTCTTGATGTGGGACTTTGACAGCTTGGGGGAATTTCTTGGGGTCTTGTGCCTGCAAGACCATGGAATTGAGATGAAAAGAGGAAGGCCCCCAACCCTTTCTGCAAGTAGGAGCTTCCCAAAGATCATCCATTTGCTAGGTGTTCGCGAATAGCCCCGGGCCCGACAGCCTTCCCGCTTAGGGTTTAGTGTTTATACTGCAAACGATAGGTCCTAAATCACACGCAGGACCCATGACTCAATGACAGGTTTGTGACGAGCACCTTGATCCCCAGGGTGTGGTGGATCTTGGTGGGAGCCACGTCTTGACTTAGCAGCACACAGCGGCCTGAACCTAACCCTGAACGCTAGACGCAGTCCTCCAGGCGAAGCCCCGACGTCATAGCCTGAGCTTCACAATAAGCCTCAGTGCACACAGCCACCCAAACCCACTGAATCCCCACAGGCACCCATCCAAAACCAAAGAATACCGCACCAAAGCAAAGCCCTCAACCTAGGCCCCTTGTTCCCAGCTCTTGAGACCCTCATAGAACCTCTTTGTTTTTACCCTGGGAACCTTCTTAGAGCAATGACTAAGACCCAGAGCAGGCCTTTATTCCCTTAATTTCGGGTTTTTTGGTTTTCATTCTAAGCCCCTTTAATCCAAGAAGGGCACCCTTGCTATTCCTAGGTTACTCTGTTGGGTCAAGATTTACTATTTCTTGTATTCTTTCCTTATGGCCTCCAGACCCGAAGCAGTGCCCCACGCTCCAAGCAAGGGAGGCGAACCCAGAACCCAAGCCCAAGCAAAAGGAAGGCCGCGCGGAACGCAAAGAACCTCCTGAGCCTCTGCGCCCCCGTGTCCGGCCTGAAGCGCGCCACCGGGGTTGAGGAAGCGACGTACAGCCATTTGGCAGTGAACGCTGTTGCTTCTGTCATCTTAAGGTGCTCGGGAGGGGTGGATGACCTCTTCGCTTTCAGGAGAGCACTAAAGCTTTCATTCAATGGTGCTTGAGGATATGCTGCTGCCTGCCCTAAGGGCGAAGTTATACCTTCTCGGTCGAGGGCCCAGGAATGTAGGGCTGGGTTTCAAAGTGCTTCAGCTTGTTTAGGCTGGTATCAAAGACCCTTGTGCATAAAGCGCGCGAGCAAGCTGGAAACTCTGAGATCAGGGCAGAGTTTAGCGTTCTGAAGTTTCGAGGTTTTCTAGAAGTTAGAGAACAAGGGCCAGGCTTCTCAGCTGAGAACTACAACCTCCCACTGGGCCTCGTATCTGTTGCAGCATTCCGTCCTTCTGAGCTTCGGGAGTATTGTGGGTCAAAGCAAAGCCTCAGCAGCTCAGACTTCATCCTTCTGCCCTCTGCCCTAGAGCTGCAAACAGGCGCCCCAAACCCCAAAGTCCATCCCTAAACCCTAAACCCTAAACCCTAAACCTTCCAAGGCAAGGAGACCAAGGTTGGGCCCGCGGCCCTTCGAGCCTTCGTCACTTGGAGGGTGTTTGGGGTTTAGGCTTTAGGGTTTAGGGTTGAGGGTTGAGGGTTTCGGGCGGTTTAGGGGCCCCTTTTTGTGGGGCTTTGTGGGTCCTTTTGAGGCGGTTAGGAGGCCTCGGGAGTTCAGCGCCTAGCCCTCAACAGAAGGCTCCGAGCCCTAACGGGTCTCCTCTGTACTTCTGACACACCTCTTGGGGCATTGCGTGACATTGATGGCACCGAAGCCGATAGCAAAGTAGGGAGTGAGGGAGTGAGCTGTTTGTTTAGGAAGAGAGGAGAGAGGACCCAACGAGGGCCCCCGAGCTGCGCCTGTCAGTCAGTCCCCTTTGCAAAACTCCTAAAGCCCCCCCGTCTAAGGTTTGGGACCACCTTTTCCACAAAGGGGAAGGTGAGCCGATGTCCAGGACACTGTTAGGGGTTTAGGGGTTGAGGGGGTCTGAGGAGTTGGGGCTTGCCCTCGAAAGCGCATCATGCCCAATAAGGGTTTAGGGTCCCAGGGCTGTATGTTGGGGCTGCAAGTAAGCGAGTTCCAAGCGGCCCTTTCACCCTATACCTTGTAAGGGGAGCCTGGAGAGAGGGAGCACAGCGAACCATCAACTGTTCCAACTCCTCCGTTCCAAGCCCACCAGCAAGTTCATAGGACAGAAGCGCTGGCTTATTCTGCGGCTGTGTGCGACAAGCGGCCAGACCATCGTTCTCTTAGGGACAGGACAGTTGGGGTGCCGCTGTGTGTGTGGTGTCGGTTGCTGGACTGAGCGTTTTTGCTTCGATTGTCTGTTGGCTTGTTCGTTTGATTGTCTTGTTTGTTATTCGTGGGATGTTGGGATGTTGGGTTGGTTGGATTGTGTTCATTATCTTTCGTGGTTTGTTGTGTTGGGTTGCTTGCGCGCTTATTAGCTTGCTTGTTTAGTGTTGGGTTGTTTGCGTGTTCGTTTGATTTTGTCATTGATCGTTTGTTGGTTGATTTGATCGTTTATTGGTTGGATCGTTTGGTTGGTTGGATTGTTTCTTTATTTCTTTCTTTATTTTTATTGTTGTTTGCTGGCTCGTTTGTTCAGTTGTGCATTCATGTCTTGTTTCCTGGTTGTTTGTGTTGCAAAGCTGTCTGCGCGTTTGTTTGCATGTTTGACTGCTTGCTTGCTTAGCTGAGTGATGTTGTGATTTCTTGCTTGTTAGCAGCGCCGCGTGACTGCTGGGTTGCTTTTGACAGTTTGAGCGCTTGAGCTTTTGGCGGTTTCTTTGCTTGATGCCTCTCGAAGCGTTGACGTCTCATGGCACCTTTCGCTATCTTTCGCTGCATTGCTGGTTGAGTGCGCGCTTTTGCTTTTTTAGACGGACAACCGCGGACGGAAGCAAAAAAAACCCGCAGAAACCCTATGAAGAAGTCTCCCACCAAGGCACGTGCTTCCATTCTGGTCCTGCGGCGCGGAGGAGTGTTCTCTTTGCCAGGGCGTGGCTTCAATGCCACTCGGGATCTGAGGCTTAGAGGAGCTTAGGGGGACCGGGGGAGGGGGGGGGGGATGGGGTATTTTGGGATCTGGGTCTAACTAAGTCTCTTTCGGGTTTGTGGGGATGCTTCCTGTTCTTTTGGCATCGACGAATGAAGGGTTGAAGCCGCTGGGGTTGTTTTGCTTTTGTTGATTGAGAAGAGTGGAGCCTCTAACTGGTCTTGAAGTCTTGAGACGATGGTTCAAGATTGGTGGTAAGTTGCAGTTGCGCTTCAGGTATCCCAAGAGTGCTTTTCTTGTGAGTTGTGTGATTGTGTGAATGCGGGCAATGCGGGCAATGCACTGTTTAAGCTGCGGCCCTTTAGACACAAGGCTATTGTAGGAAGGGGTGGTTGCACAAGGGTTTACGCCGGGCTCCCTCGACAAATCCCACTTCAAGTCAGTGTTCGCCACTGCCTGCAATCAAGCCCCCATAATCGGCAGGAGTTCTGCAGTAGGTTTAGAATTTCATTCGTGCATCCCGGGATTGTCACAACTGGTAAAGAGGACGAAATGAAGTGCAAGTGAATGATGCTGGAGGTACACATCCTCTCAGTCAGCTCAGCAGTGGTGCAGCTCCTTCCATTTGAAGGACAATGTTGTTCTTGCGGGATGCGCTTCGTCAGTAGTGGTGAGTCAGCTCCGTGATGAGAGCATTCACACAAGCATACTGGCTCTTCTCAGGGCAGTTGAGGGTTTTTTTGGCAAGGGATGGTTGGCGTTATAGGGCGCCTTTGAGTCAGTTCTGTTTCATGATCCCCTATGTGACAACCAGGCGCTCCTGGAACCTTCAAGACTGACCTATAGAGTCCTTGTTCTGAAGCCAGGTCTGCGCAGTGGCGAGGGGTTGGAGGTGTTCGGGAGGCTCTGAAGATTGTCCGTAGACATCGAAGGTACTCAATCTCGCCTTATTGCAGTGCGATGATTCGTGGCTCCAGGGCTTGCGTTCTGTGCCCAGGACTCGGAGAATGTGTCAGAGACATATGCACGCGATTCGGGCCGCTACTTCAAGCGCCTTGGCACAGAAGAAACAGGGAGCAAAAAAAGAGTAAATAGAGTTTCCGACATCAGGGGGATGCGTTATGGGGGGGGCCCTTCTCAGAAGATACTCATGTCTTCATTAAAGGGTTGTTCATCCTTGCACCTGCCATCTGACAGTCCAACAGTGGTCCTTTCGAGCGTTTCCGACCATAAGAGTTTAAGAGTTTTTTCACCTCCTGACCCTTCTCTGATCCTGAAATGGACCTTTGGACCATGCAAGCACAGCCTCAGCCCCCCGAACTCCAAGAAGTTGAATTGTCCTGCTCCCAACATCCGGTAACCTTCTGACTTCCGAGACCCTGGCCTTGGGATGTTCCCCCTTCTCCTAACAGTCCTTCATCGGGATTATCATTAGGGGGGGGGGGGGGGGGGGGGGGGGGGGGGTACTAAAATCCTATTGAGGAGCTGTTAGTATAAGGGGGAACATCCCGACTGAAATCTCTTGAGCCTCAAGACTGTTTCTGCACCCATCCTGTTTGACTCTGCTACGGGCCTTGTATCCTAAGTGCAAGTTAGGGTTTAGGGTTTAAGGTTTAGGGTTGAGGGCTTAGGGTTTAGGATCTAGGGTTCAGTGGTCCGTCTAGGTGCCAGTACCTCTCAGAGTACTTGCAGAGCACCGAAGATCAGAGTCGGCTGCGAGATCGCAGCTTGTTCGCCAATGTGGGTAGTTCTCCAAAATGGGTCCCCTTTAAGGCTCCCTTTTTACGGGTGCCGCCCTATAATTAGTACCAAAAAAGGCCCTAATTCATAATGCCCATCGTCTGTTTTCTGCTGTATCTTGATTTTTCTCTTTACTCAGCTCTCTGTTCATGTATCTAGCTAAAACTGTGCCTATTTTGGCATGTCCTCACTCATAGGGTACCCTCCCCAAGCAGTTCTTCCATCGCCTTCTGGACCCCAAAGAATTCTCCGTGCAGGAAGCACAAAGATTGGGGAAGTACGGCATGCCCCCCCGCCCCCCCGCCCCCCCCCCCCCAACCAACAAGTCCAAAAAAACCAGCCGAAGCTTTAGGACTCCCCCGGCGCTGGGACTAAAATGCTTGGGAGAGTATAGGCACGTTGGCTCTCAAAGACCTAACGAAAAGGGGAGTAGCATCTCTTACGTCATTTCGAAAATTCGTTTGTTGCTTCGCTTGATTTCAGTTTTGCTGCGAATGGATGCTGAAACTTGAACTGAATGGTTGAAACAGCAAACCCTACTCAGCCTGAAAGCTGTCGCCACGTGACAGTACCAGCGAAACAACTTGTTGGCCAACTGCCGCACCGTGGTCCCTACCCAAATATAGGCACTTAAGGGGCTTATAAGTGGGTTATAGGTACATTTATCATTGGTTAATAAGTACCATGAACCTCCAAGTAAGTATTCTTGCGTTGCTGCCTTTGCAAGTTGTGCCGTGTTTGTGCGTGCCTGGCGGTGGTTGAAGCCTCCATGAGCACTTCATGAAGGGCGTCCTGTTAGCTCCGTTCGGCCACTCTTTCCTCAAGAGGCTGCCGAGTGCCGAAACTCCATCCCTCCAGTCCTCCACCCGTTGCCATCCAGCAGCGCAGACCTCATCTATGGGTCGTTGAGAACACCCACGACTCGGGCTGGGACTACAAAGCGTCTTAAACCTTTAGGACGTTAAGACCCCATCACTAAAACCAGACCTTACCGCTTTGTGTTCCAAGGCAGGGCCACCGTTGCGGAGACTTGCGAGTCGAGGACGTTCTGTTCAAAGGCTGCATGGCACTGCCAGGGTACTTCAGCCCTACAAGATAAGAACCCTAAACCCGAAATCCCGGATCCTGAATCTGAAAGTTAACCTCAGACCGACGGTAAGCCTTGAAACTGGGAAAGGCCTACAAGTTTAGGTGTCTGAGGAGTTGAGATTGACTCAATGTACTGATTGGGTCCCAGGTAGGGTTCGGCACATATACCAGGCGACCCAAGCGGGCATACAAGGGTTTAGGGCCATGTTGGCTCCTTTTTGCTTACTGTCTTTGTGTTTGGGAGTGGTAGGGAAAGAGGGCCCCGAAGACCAAGCAGAACCTCCAACGCCTCGACCTAGCGCTCTACAAGCGTTCTTCCGGACTTCCGGGTGTATAAACCCTCTATCAGCTCTCTATGCAGTGTAGCAAGCAATGCGTAGCCTTTGGGATCTACAGACTCGGGACTAGAAGCCGACTTGACAGAACGAGGCCGTCGCAAACCTCTCATGGGCATGGAAGCACCTCAACTGCTCCAAAAGAAAAACGCCCGTTTGTTGGCGGTTTAGGGTTCAGGGTTTAGGAGCCCTCATTCCAAGCTGCCCGCTGTCAACCAAAAAAGCCTCGAAGTCCTGCCAAGCAAACTTCTCCGCACTGGAACCACCCTAACCCCCCTAACCCCCCCCCCCTATGTCCTGTACCCCTTCAGGGAGAACCGCAAGCTCTCGGATCCCATCCGAAGGCGTCGAACACGCTTCCCACCTTGGATATGCGCCCCGGCCTCCAGAGAGGCCTGGAACTCCCCTTGGAAGGTGTACTGGCGTCTCAAGTTTGCAAGTTTTTTTCGTAAAGGGTGGGTTTTATGGTTTATAGGTTGTGCTTAAAAGTTGCGGTTGAAGGGTTTGTGTTTAAAGGTTTGTGTTGTTGTCGAGGGCGGGGGGGGTGTTCAGCAATGGTTTGGAAAGTTTGGGGTTCGGGGTGGTTTGGATACTTGGGGGTTTCCTGCTTGCTTTTGTCGGTTTGGGGGGGGGGGGGGGGGTGTCCTATTACAGGGGACAGTTGGAGATGATTGAGAGACACGACAATCATCTTGAGAGGGTGTTCTCATTCATCTACATGGGGTCTGCCCACCTGTTTTCCTTGGGGGCGGTATGTGGTCAACCCGCCTTGTAAGCCGCGAGCCCTCCTCAACTCTGCGTCCTGATACAGGGTCTGATGGGGATGCGGTCAAAGCGAGACTTCGAGACTTGGGTTCTACAACGTATTGCAGCCAGAAATGGACAAAACTGAAAACCCTAGACCCCAAAAGCCCCAAACAGGAAGAAGAAAACGAATAATGCTAAACGAGGAAGCTTGGAAAAAAACAGGGGGTGGGCGTGGGGAGGGGGGGATGTTTAATCACGTGTCATTATGGAGAAGGCTGCAACCTGCTGGCTTTCGACACCTCGAGAAGTGAACACTTAAGTCTTCCGTTAGACCAAAAGAAGCACAACCCAACAATCTCCCCCACCAAAATTGGGCAGCCTCAACCCTTCAAAACAGAACCCCAGGTGATGGGGAAGGGCTGTGGTTGAAGCTAACTAGATGTGTGGGACCTTTTCCCGCGCGACGTCCGATTCTGCCCGCGCAGGGACGCCAGAGTACGCCGACTCGCAGCGGCTCAGCTTCGGAAGCCGTTGGCTTGCTATGTTTGGACTTCTTTGGGGCGTTGGGCTTCAGAGTCAAACCTTAAGCTGGGGGGGGGGGCTGAGGCTTCAGGGGCCGAAGCAGTCAGGGTCTTCGAAAAAAAGCCGTCACCTTGGCAAGATGCATGGGAACTGGATTCTTCGAAGCTTGCAGAAGAAAGGTGCCGGATGTGTGTGGAGTTTGTCCAGCGTGCTGCCGCCGGCCTCAAGCCCAAGGCGAGCCTAGGCGGAGATTTTGCATAAGCTTCGGGAGTTTGCAGGGTCCGTGCAGGAGCCAGGCCTACTAATTGCTTAAGAACCCCGAAAAAATCAAGATTATTCTTCCTTATTAAGGGTAATATAGGGAGTATGATTATTTCTTCCTTTTGGGGGTTCTTAAGCAAGTAGGAGCCAGGCTCTTGCCTTTTTGTTCCCTTGCCCTCTTGCCAGCTCCCCACAAAGATGTGAAATTCTGTGTTAAGCCTAAGCCTGAGGCCGGGTCTGGATGAGCTTGTGTGTTGATATAATTAACCTAGATGTACAAATTCTTTCGGGTAGGGGAAGATCATTCGGAGTCCTGCATCTCCAATATAGGATTTTTGAAAAGCGGCGCATTCCGAGCAGCATCGGCGCGGTCGCAACATGTCGTTTGAACCTGTTGAAGTGCTGATTGGCTGTGGCCATGCGCAGTGATAGGTGTTAGCGAGTTTGCTTTCTTGCCTCGTTTTGTCGTTTTGTCCAAGTCATTGGGAGAGGGATGTGAAGGTGGTCGGTCTGGCTTCAATGTGACCCAAGCAGGCATACTTCTCGCAGGTTTCAGAACGTTATGGGCAAGGACACACAGCGAGACATCGTGCTAAGGTTCTGCAACGCGATCCCCAGCCGATACCCGCAGCAGAAGATCTTCTGCCACCTGGGCTTGAAAAATGGACCCGTGCAGGTCAACCTTTCTCAATTGTTGTCACGACTTCCTCATGTTCAATCTGCCCCTTTTTGTGCATCTGCTCTCCTGGTCCTCCAGCTTTTCCCTGTGTTTCGGGTTCCCGGGTTTCATAAGAATGGATGCTACCTTCTCTCTCTCTCTCTCTCTCTCTCTCTGTCTCTCTCTCTCTCTCTCTCTCTCGCTCTCGCCTCTTCTCCCTGTTAGCCTCCCACCCAACATCTTAGCGACATTGTCCACTCTTATAGTACCATTATAGTACTCTTACCCATCGTACTGGGCATTTGTATCTGAAACCATTGTGGAGCGCGAGGCCCCCCGCAATGTCACCAGTTCTAAGACCTCTGGGGTGCAAAGGGGTCAAGGTGAGGGCACATTGAGAGAGATGATGGAAGCCATCCCGGGAGTGAAGAGACTTTGGCTGCAACTAGCGATCCTTCGCCTTCTGTGTGCGTCTTCCTGTGCGTCTGTTTGTCTGGTCCCATCCCATCCTGCCCTGTCCCATACTGTCCCTCCCTCTCTCTCTCTCTCTCTCTCTCTCTCTCTCTCTCTCTGTCTCTCTCTCGCTGGATTTGTACTGTGCTTGGGTACAGGCGTCACACTCCGTTTGCATACTTGATCAGTTTTGCTCACCAGTCGGGGGCCCTAGGGCATTGTGACGCTGCGGAAGGCCTTCAGCTTCAGGACGCTGAACCCTGCATACCTGCAGTTACACGTGTTCAAAAGTTCCGACGCCTTCGAACAATTCCACAAACAGCGCGTCTGCTCCAAAGAAGGGGCCTCAGCAACCATGCCAGGTAACCACACGGTAGCCACACCTTGCAGCACGCGGGGGTGCTGATACCACTATACAAGTGCTCAGAAACTCCAAGTGTGAAAAGCGACAGTCCGGCCTTGTGAGCTTCCGAAACTCGACCTCCTACGAATCATTGAGATGCGCTGACTCGAAGAAGACCACCAAGCAACAAAGAAGTCCCAACCAAAAGACATCCGGTTCTTGTAGTAGACGTGTCTCCAACAGAGAGAGAGAGAGAGAGAGAGAGAGAGACGAACTCAGGAATGCTCAGGAGAAGGCATTCTGGAGCGGCTGGTTCAGCGAGTGGTCCGCTGGACTTAATGGCACTGTGTGCAACAAGCTGTGCAAGGAGCCAGCCGCAAGAGGGTCACAACTGGCAGTGGGTATCCTCACCGGAATATTCGCTGAGCCCGACATCTACACCCCTTCCTGGGAAGCGATGCTTCTGCATCATGCCTGGTTTGCAGTTAATTAGCGCTCTTCTCTTCCCTTCTCTCCACCCTCGCTGTGCCCTTGCACAAGCTCCCTGGAGGGCCCGGAATACGCATTCACACCCCTAAGCCCCTCTTCAACTCAACCCTAAACCTGAAACTCAGAGCTTGCACACAACTGCACTGCAGGAGTCCGTGGAGCGGCGCCCGGAGATCAAGCTGACCCTCAAGAATCCTTCTCCTCTCATCCTGGCAGGTGCTCTCTCTCTCTCTCTCTCTCTCTCTCTCTCTCTCTCCGCGTAACAAGTGGCTTCTTTCATGTGTAAGAGTGCTTCGCCAACTGATGTCATGAACTACTTGGGGCATGAGCCCGCGGGATTGCCGGCGCAAGCGCGCATAGAAGCCCCAGGTGAGGACACCGAAGCTGCGCCACCTGGCAAGCCCCTGGAGGACATGCTCCCTACGATGTGTCCTTGGTTGTGCTTTCGTTAGGGGATGGCGGCCGTGGGCCGGTAATTGATTAGAGGGCTCCTTCTGAAGGAGCGGTGATTATCGATTCCTTGTCAGACCTGTATACACCCAAGCTGCCAAGCGGCGAGAGGAGAACTGGCAGCCCGAGGCGGCAGACTCCATCACGACGGTCGGATGCATTTAACAATTTGAGAATGCTCAAGGGTTTTGGCTCTCTTTCTACCCTCAACCCTAAACCCTGGGTTTGTGGCGGTTATGGCTGTGGCCTTTGGGCTTGGGGTGGCGTGTAGAGATGATGGGTTGTGGGCCTGGCGTGCCAGGCACAGAAGGAGGGCCTAAAGCCGACTGGGATGTCTTCGGGTTCAGGCTTCAGGTGTTCCGACGAGTTCAGCCTGGGCACGCGAGTTATTCAGTGTGGCGACGATCTCGGTGACAGATCGCATGATGACTTGTAGCTTCAAGCCAGCAGCACGCAGTCAAGAGGCTGAGATGCCTGGAGCCCTTTGCCCTTCAGGTCCAGGGATCAAGAAGAGTAGTAGCCTGAAGCGGATCTCTCAGGCCATTGACCCCTAAAGTTCTCCGCGAAGCTCCCTTAGGATTAGCCTTTATAAGCCACGAGTCCGAGGTGCGAGTGTTAAGAGTTCCGAAACTTCGGGCTTCTGAGCCGCAGAAGCAACACCTTGGTCTTGGCAGAAAGGCACAAACCTTTCCAGACAGGAGAGAAGGATTGGCTTGCCAACCTTGCCAGGAATTGCCCAAACCAACCCTAAACGCTTTGAAACTTAGTAGTAGAGTATGCAACCTTGAACCTGTTTGGGCTCCTTATAACCCCTATATATTCCCAAAGGGTCAACCTTGAGTTCCTCTAGGCCATGTGCCCAAAGCGTGCTTTGAGGAAGTCGCCCTGGATGAAGCGTGCCCTGAAGAGCGTCAAGCTGTCGCTCCCTGCGCGGGCAGTCAGCGGAACGCAGGCCACCAAAAGACCCTGAGAAGGAGACGGAATCTTAGCGGCTGGTAATCATAACCTCTAACCTTGTTGGATTGCATATAACCCTATTACAAAAAAAAGGTTAGCCTTCTTGGGGCTAGCGTATTCAGCCCCAAGGAATTGGGTTTAGGGTTTACGGTTTCAGAGGAAGCTTCGGGAACCGATGTCTCTCCAGAAGAGGTTTAGGGTTGAGGGTTTCAGCATGTTCAATGTTCACCACATCGAGGCGCGTAACCACGCTAAGCGATGAAGCCCCCAGACCTGAGGTTGCTGGGAGCCCACACACTCAGCCTTAACCTTCCGGAGCTTTTGGGCGGGGCTAGTCCCTCCTCAAAAAGTTGCCACTCCTGATCTCCTGTGCCTTGATGTCATTGGAAGACTATTGGGTGCCCAAAGTAGCCGTTTTTTCTGGCGGTGGCCGCGAAATCTTCGGGAGGATGAAGTTCTCACAGAGGGCTTAGGGTGGCAGCGCGCTGTTTGCTTGGCTGCGGCTGACCGACTTAGCTACTAATTGTAGTTGAAGCAAGGGTTGGTACGTTGTGTTCCCAAAATGGCGTTAGGCATGGGATAGAAGTGCCAAGTGCCATTTCCCTGGGCAGGTGGTCATATGGAAGCTGGAGGACGACTGAAGACTTCCAAAGAAGTCTTCCTTGCTTATTGTTGCCTAGTAGGGAATGGGGGAATAAGGGTACCATATATTCTCCCTTAAAGGGCCAACCAACAGTAAGCTTAAGAATCAAATGGACCATCCATATTACCTTCAGAAGAACGTCGTTGTATAGGGTACTTCCTCCAAATGGGCTCGCAAAGTCTTTATTGTCCATATACCTTCATAGGGATTGTAGTCGTTTTGGGTACATGACCCCAAGATCTCAAGCGTGAGACTTGGACCCGAAGGCCCACACACGTGAGCTTGCTCAAGCTTATGGGCGCCCTTCTGGGGCTACCCTACATACGGCGAGTCTACGACAGTCGCGCGCGACCTTATCGATGTGGTTTAGCACTTTCAAGTTTGGAAAAAGAGTCCTCTCATCCATGACCGAGCGCGGGACCACCCAATCCGAGGCCCTAAGCTCCTCAACCCGAATCCCCTAAACCCGTTCGACAAACCCCAAGCCGCCGTTTGCAAGCTCTCTACCTCACAGAAACCGCATTCTAGGGTTTAGGGTCCTGAGCGGGACACAGGATCACCAGAAACGTGGCGCTATGTATCTGCTGTGACAAGCTGACACCAAAAGAAGCACATGCACAAAAGAACCCCAACGAAAACCTGAGAGACAACGGAAAGAAAGTGGAGGATCAGATGCAGAGCTCCATCTCCGGCTGGGAAGCCCTTCTGAAGGCAGCCTCATTTGCTACGGGGGGGATTTGCGAAAATCGGGGACCCCCAAAACTCGACCCCCCAAACAGTAGGATTCCCCTGTTTCCCCACTCTCGGCGTGTAGTCTCTGCAGTGAGTCTTACACTGGAGTGCCATGTCTGAACAGCCCTTATAAAGAGTCCCGATTTTGGGAGGGTGTATTATCCGCAGATATGGTTCCTACAGGTGTCAATGGCGGACCTCCAGCCGTTAACTCAAGCAGCCCCCTCTGAGCCCCTGAATCTCCGCCTTTGGTAGCTTGGACTAATTCTGAACAACCCCAAACCCTAAACCCTAGAACCCCAAGCCCTGGAACCTCAAGCCACGCAGACCGGAAAAGCCTGACCCATGAAGGAGATCGCCTGGGATGGGACCTTCACACAGAAACGTGTGTGGCCCAGGACAGGCGCTGGAGGCCTGGGGAAGCTGTGGGGCTTTTGGACTCTCGGATGTTTTAGAGAGTTTGCGTGACAGCGTCTGTACATTCTGAGTCAATGGTCTGTTTTGAAATTGTACCCCCGATGGCAAATGCGAGCCTCAGAAGCCCACTTGAGACGTACCTGGTGTGGAGAGTTTTGCTCCAAGGCAGAACGCCATGTCTATGCTGGAGAGTCAGCGCAGGCAGCTTTTGAGACTTTGGATGACAGGGATGCCCTGCTCTTGACAGGTGTGATCTCGCAGAAGGTGCAGCAGGCCGTGTTCCTCATGCTCAGGGAGGTCACGCTTTTGAGGACAGAGTGCACTTTGTGCAAGTGGCTTTGGGCCGGAGAAGGTTCGAGCTAGATGGCCAAGCCTTCGTTTTTTAGCTTCAAAAAACATCTGGACCACCAACAGGTAGACCTAAGATCCGCACATCCCTGTACAAAGACACCACAATGGGACCCTTAATTTCACCCTAAACCCCAAACCCCAAACCCTAAAGGCCCTAAACCCCAAACCCTAAACCCTATGCGGAGCTGCAGTTTGTATAAAAGGTAGTATTGAAAGGGTTGCAAAACCCGTTATCTATTTGGCTCAAGGCTCAAGGATGGCCAAGCATCAAGGCCGTTTCATTCAAAAAGTAGAGTCCGTGTGTGTGGGGTTGGGTTTAACGGGTTGTAGTAGTCCCGTCCCTTCCTCCTTGACCTTTAGCCCTGAGCTTGAGTTTTCTTTCTGGTTCGATCTGGGAAATTCACATCATAGGCAACTGTTAAGGGTTGATTCCTTTTCCCTTTTCCCCTTCGGTTGCCCCCGTAGGTTATGAGCCCAAGCGGTTCCCTGCGTTAGGCGGTTTTTGTTTGAGGCTTAGCTTAAGGGGCAATGTCCTCCTCAAAGCAATGGCTTCGATCAGATGGTGGTGAAAATGATGCAACTGGTGGTTTGGCTGGTGAGGCGGTACTAGAAGCGACAAGGCCTGGTGCTGCAGAAAAACAGCTGAGTGGTACAGCGGTTGCTGGAAGCCCCAATGCGGGTATGGTTCCCAATGTGGACATGACTGACAATGCTGAAGGTGGAGGACAAGTCATTTCTGTGCCACCAAGGGCTGGAGAAAAGAGGCCCTGGGATGAGACTGGTGGTGTAGACAACGAGTTGGAAGCGTCGGTGTTACGTGTGATGCTGAAGTCGGAGCATGCATCAGCGTGGCTGTGAGTCTGCGGTGTTTCTCGGCCATGCAAGCTTGCGTTGTTTTTTGGCTCATGGTTCACGAAGGTCAAGTGAAAGCACTTGAGCACTGCATTGCAGCAGTTATCTGTCGTTAAGGTCAGAAGCCGTAATGCAGGCAATTCCCGAGGAGTTGGTTGCGCGTAGCTCTGAAGCCTTCGCTTACGTGTCCGAGTGACAAATGCTCTTGGCAGTGGCGCTGCTTGTAAAATGGGCAGCTTGTGAAGCAGCCCCTGTGACTGGTCAGGAGAGCTACTTCATTCTGGATTGAGGGCACACAAGTCGAGAGCAGCCCTGCGTAGAGGTTTAAGGTCGTGTTGGGTTTTGGGGCTTGAAGGCTTGTACCAAGGAGAGCTAAAGGGGAACGCACCTACAAGTCTCACCGCGCACCCACCGCAAGCGGGCATCAGGGGAGTCGCGATGCATTGCCTGCCAAGCAAAGGCCAGCTGACCTCCACAGCACCCGACTTCTATTCCGAAGGCAGGCATCAAGCTCTAAGCAACATCACAAGACGTCCAACTACTTACTCTCTGCCAGCTTGACGTTGCCAAGTTCGCTTGGGTGTTGTGAAAGAATTCGCCTCTGGACTGCTGACATGGTGTTTGGCCAGTCGATGAGTCCGCAGGAAGGATACTGTGGCCTGAAATGCCAGCGCCAATCCCAGACGTGCTACTCACTGGCCTACAAGCTTTTCTCCTGCGAGACCTCACTTCGCAAGCCGAAAAGAGAGGCGCTATTGAGGGATGTTGAGGGGTAAGGTGCAGCTGGCGGGAGGGGTTGGAGTCTTTTTGGGGGTGGGGGTTCAGGGATCCCAGGCCAGTGGACAGAAAAGGCGCCAAAACAGGTTTTGGTGTTTTTTTTGTGCTTTTTGGAATGGTCTCTGTTGGGAGGGCCCAAAGCCTGGAAAGCTTCGTGGCGTGGGATGCTGCAGGGAAGGGGGGTGGTGGCGGGGGGTGGACGCAAAATTTCGGGTTGGGAAGGGGACCAAATCCTGCTCTGCTTGTTCTAGATGCCTCTCGGGCCTCTGGGCCTCGGGCCGAGGCGAATTAAGCTAGCTGACTGCTGTGATGCATGCGCTCAGCCCGGAGAAACTTGTTGCTCAGCGGGAGGGAGGGTTAAAGGACACATTCAGCAAGCACAATGTGACTGCCAAAGGTTCACTGTTCTCACAGTCTGGATCTGGATGTGAAGCGTTTTGGTGGATGTCGACATGCCAGAAACCCTCTTCTTGTCTGGTCTTTTTTTTGCAAGAAGTCGTCTGGGCTTATATGGTTTAATGATTTTAATGTCAATGGAAGGAATGCCGAACGTTCTTGGGATATTTGCAGAGGATTGCAGGCATCGGCCAAGGATTACCAGGTCAAAACAGAAGCCTGCCAGTGGGACCATGGCTCAATGGGTTGCCGGAAGGCGCCACGGAGTGCATGTTCTGCCTGGGCAGCGATGGTCCAAAGGCGTGCACGTACAGGCTGGAAGTCGGGCAAGGCCCAGACTTGGAGGCTGCAGGGCCTGAGGCCCAGACGAGAGACTGCAGGGCCTGATGAAGGACTCGAGGCTGCAGGGCCTGGAGGCCCAGACTGTAAGCTGCAGGGCCTGCAGGCCCAGACTCGGAGGCTGCAGGGCCCGGAATCCTAGACTACAGACTGCAGGGCCTTGAGGCAGACGACAGACTGCAGTTTGTAGTCTGGATTCCGGACCCTCCAGCTTCCAAGTCTGGGCCTGCACGCCCTCTCTGCAGCTTACAGTCTGAACCACCAGGCCCTGCAGCCTGCAGTCCTCCAGGCCCTGCAGTCTCTCGTCTGGGCCTCAGGCCCCATTGCGGCTTGGGCCTCCAGGCCCTGCAGGGCCTGAGGCCCAGACGAGAGACTGCAGGGCCTGGAGGACTGGAGGCTGCAGGGCTGGAGACCCAGACTGTAAGCTGCATGCAGGGCAGGGCTGCAGGCTCCGCAATCCTAGACTACAGACTGCAGGACTGGAGGCTGCAGGGCCTGGACCCACACTTGGAGGCTGCAGGGTCCGGAATCCTAGACTACAGACTGCAGTGCTAGACTAGAGACTGCAGGGCTTGGAGAACTGGAGCTGCAGGGCCTGGAGGCCAAGACTATAAGCTGGAGGCTGCCAGGCCTGGAGGCTGGAGCCCTCGTTATTCCCCTTTGCCTAAATAAGTGTTTACCAGATTTCACCTTCGCCCTCATCTCCACCGTCATGCCCGCATTGTCGTGCTCACCCCTCCGTGCATGAGATGTCTTGAGTCATTGGAGCCTCAACCATCGCGAGGGCCCAGCTACGTCCGCGCAGTACACTCCTTCAGGTAAATCCCATCCTGGACCAGAGCTGATTAGAAATTTGATTTTTTGTCCAACAGTTCCGAGCCTGGACATCGCGCAACCCTGGGCAGCTGCTGTTCTTCCATTGATGCAGGTGGGGGTCGGCGAGGGGTTAGAGACTTAGGTTCGAGAGGTCAACTCTAATGCTTCGATAGGACTTTCCAAGGCCAGATTGAGACCAGCACCGTGCCCCCAAAAGCTTCCAAGGCCCGAAGCACAGGAGAATAAAGTTTGCATAAAAGGCAATATGTAGATGCCTGTGCGTGTTTTTTATTGTCATGTATATATTGTAACGTTGCTATTATTGTGTTTTTTAATTGTTTCCACCCAGTATTATTACTATTGTGTGTATTGTTGTTTTTCCATATCATATCAGAAAATGTTAGAATATTACATACATATATATATATATATATGTATATATGTGTGTGTAGTACTATGATAAAGAACAGCATAGGAGCCACACGTTCCCAAGATGCAGAAGTCTTCAGTCGCCGGGGCACAGGTTTGCGGCATCTTCCTCTTTCCCTCCATTCTATTTCGTTGCTGCGCTGTGCCAAGCATCTGCAAATGCCCCCAAGATAGATCCATGTGAGCATTTGATCTTGCAGTCCTTCATCTGCACATCCCGAATTTGTGGTTGAATATTTCCGGCTGTTACTTGCATCACCAGGCGATGTGCAAAACCATTTTTATCTAGAGTCATACAGCCTGCGCCAAAATGGCGAGCTCATTGGGCTCACCGGGAAAATGCGAGGTACACGAGCCAGTGTGAGCCTGTGTGCAGCTTCGCACTTGCCAGACAGTTGGGGGAAAAACAGACGTCGCTGAGGGTCGTGATGTACTGCACTTGGTGCATGGCGCAACGACATTCACAGCACACGCTGCTTGTTTCTGACGCTTCAGACCCGGAATTATTGGTCAACTACTCTTGACTTAACGGGCTCAAGCTTGCGATTGTCGGACTCGCCAGCTTTAGAGTGACGTTGAGATGGTGGGTCCGCCGAACGCCAAGGCCGGCAGCCCTAGCATCGGGAAGCACACAACGAAGTGCAGGCGCCTTGGTCCGACTTTGTGCCCTAGGCCTGCCCGCCCTGCCCCACCCGAGCAACGCCCGGGTTGCGGGGCCTCCCGGTCCTATTGGGCCAAAAGGCGGACGATTTGAGCTTCTCACGGTGCTTCTTCCCTTGCCACATTGACATGGTCCTGGCGGTCCTGGCTTGCAGACGTGGGCGCCCATTGAGCGCCCCAGCCAAGATTCCCGGCCCAGCTGCATGCTTAACAACATCTCGGAGGGCACCTCATGCGTTGAGGCGTTATCTGGGAAACTTGTGCCAAACTCTGCGACAGGTGCAGAAGTTCGTGAGGCGAGCCGTGAAGAAGATCCCGGAGCCCTGCCCGGTTGCACACACAGCATGTCACCCACGTGCCACACCGAGAGCTTGTACTGTAAGGGTTTATAGGCATCCATTTGAGGCGGTGGCAGCGGTGGCGAGGCTGCCGACGCTGCCGACACCCTCCATCTTGGGGTCGAGTTGCTGTTCGCTTCCAGTCGGTCGCGCAGCACGTAAGCGCGAGGTGTCGAGAGCGGATATTGGGGGGTCGAGTAAGGCCGGCCGTGAAAAAAGTCTTGAACTTGAAAATTCAGTTTGTTGCGCCCGGGCTGCTGTCTCTGAGGGGCCCAGGGCCCCGAGCCTCGCCGGCCTGGTCGCTGGGCCCTCAGACTCCTCGGGCAACGTGCCCCCGTTTGCCCATCTGCTGC